TTATACATAGGAGTACCTCGGAAAAATACGTCACTCGTTTTCCGACTGAATCCTATTTTTTGCGACCTATTTCCAAATTATTTAACTATTCAAACTAAATCAAAACTACTATATTAATATGACCAGCAGTAAACAGCGAATGGAACTATTAAATTGAACCAATACGAATACTAATTCATACAACAATTGATAATAAATTTAATAAGCCTCTCACATGCCAAAGATCACTTTTCCGCACTTGTTACGGAATATACTATTCTGATTTGAGGGTCAATGGAAGTTGTGTGTAATATAAACAGTTTTCCCTAACGGTTTGAAGATTGAACTGGTGGGTGAAATACTGTGGAAGTAAAAGAAAGGCACTGATTTTCAACGGACTTAATAACCCCTCTGGGTTGGCCTCTTTTATTGCACAATCAGGTGGGGGACTCGTCCTTTCTCTGATACACCCCGTTTCCACTTTTTTTCTCATTGTTGTTTTCTATTTTCTCGTAATTTCCCCTCTTTTCTCTATAGAGCCGATAAACTCGGGTGGAAATTCGGACAAAGTAGCAAAATTAAAACGCCAGGTGTGTAATTAACTTTTTTTTATTGAATTCGTAGAGTAGATGAAGATGTTTTGGGGAATTCCGGAAATGGTTGCAAGGCGGTTTTCTGCATTGTTAGTTCGAATTAGGTGGAAATGTAATTTCAACTGAGCAAAACAACGGGCGAGGGAATTAGAATAAACGGATCTGCTTGAGAGTACGTCTTAACAACTCTGAAAAAAAATTACGATTACGATTATGGTATTTGGGAAAGAGACTTTTGCGAATTCTACTTTTGACGAATGATTCCCGAGTTCAATTACGTAAATTACTGTTTAGAATTCGGTTACTGACCTACTCTTTGTTAATTAATTAACTCAATATACATCTCCTTTAAAAATAGTTGATGAAAAAAATATGAATTACCGGATGCAGCACCCAATTGTAATTAGCTAAAATAAACAACGAACTTTCTGTTAAGGCAACAACTTTGTCTCCGCTTTTTTCTTTGCTTTATGCTAATTCTCTTTTTAAACTTTTCAATTGACTTTTTAAAAGACCAAGTTTAGTTCATTATATAATTAAAAAAGCTATAATTTTAAATTGATTTATCAATTACTAGTAGCAAATACATTTGCTTTTCAATTCCTAAAATGAATCATTAAAAAGATCACTTGACATAAAAAATTCAAATATTCAAAGAATCTTAAACATCTAAAAAAATTATCCATAATTTATGCTTTTTTCATCAATTAAATTCAATTGAAAAATACAATATTTTTTTTTTCATTCTAGACAAATCATTATTTTATTAAAATGGTATATTACATTATATTCTATGTAAAATATAATATAATATAATATATATGTCACAGCCTTTTTTTTTAAAGGGGAAGTAGATTTTCGTGGTCATCAGAATAATAGTATAGTAAGTATAGTTTATCGGTAAGAGAGACAAAAGTTTTCGGAGCAGTAATGAAATAGTCTGCATGCTCTAGACCGTCGTTCACCTAGTCTTCGTTTGCTGATGGATTTCCAATGGCCAATAATGGAATACTGTACACGCTGACAGTACAAAGCAGACTGCGGAGACTGTGTAATTTTTTCTGAGAAACTGGGGCAATTCCTGTGAGATTGTCCGACGAATCATCCGAGAGAGCATGCACTGCAACTAGTAAAATTTTTGAATACCTCCGCAGTGAGCACATACGTGTCCTCAATTTTTTCTCTCCCTCAATTTTCGATGAGGTTAAATTCGATAAGAAATTCTTGGAGGATTCGTCGAGTATCAGAAATGGGATTTCGGGAGAATGGAGTCTAAACTCAACCAAAAGAGAACCTTTTACCGCTCGCTATTTTTAGGAGTTATTCATTCCCATTTGTCGCTTCTATTCATTTAATTCTGAGAATTACTTCATGAATATTGATTTTTGAATTTCACTCTCCTCAATGGCGAGAAATATTCAGTAAAATTGCGGAACGATTGACATAATTCGAAAGAGGGAATCGTTTTCCGGTAGTTTGAGAGAGGTGAACAAAATCAAAATTGAAATCATCACGCAATTTTCACATTTATTTTTCCAGTAATTTTTACTAGATCGGTCTGTCCGTGTCTTTTCTTCTCCTTTTTTTCTAGGAAAAAATTGGTAAAGCGTACCATAAAATATGTATTTTACGATTATACTACATTTCTCAACAAGTTCAATATAATTGTCATGTTGAACGTGGGATTATTATGGTACGAGTGGTGTTGGATATAAAATATCTAGAAAATCGTGAGCATGGATGGAGAACATCGATCGTATTTCTCTGCGTATGATATGCAGGGCAGGAAAAAGAGGGTAACAAACCTCCATGCATGCATTCCAGGGAATGGAGGTGGGTGAGATTTGCTGGGCTAAGTGAAGTGAAAAAAGAGATGTGGTATAATTTCTATTACAAGAAACCTCGAGACGAAGAAAAAGCTGCAAATGACAAGTTGAAGATTATTGGATTTTCGTTTCCGGTCGCCGGAATCCGTGAGCTTTCATTCGATTTTTTTTCGACAGCACCGGATATTATTTATCGTTTGGTAGATGGACGATTGAGAAAATGTCCAGGAGAAAACCTTCAGGATTTTCCCTTGGTTACGAGATTTTCCAGTGCACTTTTTTTTTTAACTGTCGAATCAATCGAATGCTCGACTTGAGATTGATAATTATAATTTAATTGAGTGATAGTTTCAATTGAGAACTTCGAATTCAGGTTGTGAATAGGCTTTGATGATTCAATTTTTTTCAAATCCCATTTATAAGGGATCATGGAGTATTGTCCATCATTTTAATGAGATTTCGATTATGACTTTAGAGAATAAATCGTGGATAGGGACAGCGTAAGAATACAGAGTCATCGACCGAAATCGGATGGATACGGGGCAATAGGCAGAGATGTTGTCTGAACCAAGTCGCTTGCTCTACTGGGGCTCTTTGTGCGGGAGGAACCATTGGAGCAAGTAATGCGTCCACTAACCGTGAAAAATATTCATCACACGAACACCCTCACACGTACACTCTCCATCCGTGAAAAAAAAAAGCTGTAGACACAAAAATAATGTCACAGCTCCTAGGAGATTCCCACCAGCTTTGAAGCTGCTTCCGTAATCAGACCTCGGCGACGTCTGTCCTGAGGGATTTTTCGGTCGTCGCTTTGATCATTTTAAACATTCCTGGGAATTTTCAAATCTCAAAATGGAAAAGTTTCTCGTTAAAAAAAATCAACACGCGGAATGGTGAATAAAATTCCGGGCGTACCACGAGTGTCTAAGGGTGGAGGGTTAAAAATTGTCTCATCATAAAGCGAAGGAACTTAACGCTGAAAAACTCAGGAGGTCGACCCAGTTTGCTCGAGTAGCTCACACGAGAAGATGAAGAATAATTTTCAAGGTGAAGTCTTTACGGCCTTCCTGAATAAAATTGACTGGCGAATGATCCGCAAGCGTGTGAACAATTTCAGTAGTCCAACTGTACGTAAGTAATCTCTGGTAAAATAATTTGTACCGAGAGTAGAAAGTAGAGGCAATGTTTTGGCAAGTTTAATTACATAGAACACAGTAATTGCCTTGCATGCTCCAGGGTCGTAGAGTAACGCCAAAAGAATAAATATAATTATCAACCGGTTGCAGTACAATTTTGCGCTATTTATTTGCCGCCCCGTGTCTGAAAGAGAATTAAATTACAACGCATGTTTGACGCGATATACAACAGGTCTCTGATGATGAGCTTATAGATACTGTGTTGGCTCATTCGTTTGGTGTAACCTCACTGGTGGTGCTTTGAGCCCTCTACAAAGGCTAGGACGCTAATATTGATGCACGTGCGGTCACCCCTCGAGAGGGGCATCCCCAGCCCTCCCAGCACTCTCAGGAACTTATCCCCCTCGTACCGCTCTGCGGTGCCAGTTACAAGGCAACAATCAGGTCATACAAACAATCCTCCATCCTTCACGTGCGACGGTAATTAAATAACCTCTACAATTCAATAACTTTTTAATCAGAAAAATCAGACCAGAATACAGAATTCCCATCGGATATGTGACGAGACTAAAACTACCAGTTAAGACGTTAAAATCTCATTGAATTCGAGAGGTTGTAAATTACCAAAGGAAAATGCGATTAAAAAAAAAATCATTAACAAATCATGAGACTATATTTTTTTTTTGATAGCTTCGTATAGTGGAAAAACAATAGGACGAAAAAAGAGACTAAAAAAAACACGTAATCGAGCTTAAAAGCACCGGAATCGAATAAGCGCCCATCAGTCCTAATTGTTCTTTTTTCCAGGGACTCTTTATTTTTGAATTAAAAAAACTGTCTATGTGGAAAAAATAATTGAATTTCATGACAATGAACTGAATCAACAAAAAATTGCCATATAATATAAATATTCGGTGACGAAGCGAGTAATCCTTAAACTATTCATCACTGTTCCCTAAAAAAATCTTACGCCAGCACATTTGCTTCTTTATCCGATGGTTTACTGGACACCACTGGCATGGGGTTATCGCGACGCTGGGTCACCTCGAAATATCGTACCTAATATCTCTTGGGTACAGTGTTTTACGTGGAGGTATAAAAATACGGGGTGGAGGGTTAGGCCGAGAAAAAGTGTACGAATTTATCGTGGATTTATCAAGAGGCAATGGATAGAAGTGAGGGAAAAAATAAAGTTGAGATTGATGGGAAAAGAGATGGCCCGATCTTGTGGATCAAGTGAAACAGGTTGTTTCCTGTGGTGATAAGATGAGTATTGATATAAATTTGTCGCTTCACAAATTATTGTTATCTTTTAACTGAACAAAAGGATGACTTCGTCATTTTACAAATTTCGTTATTTCCATCTGTCCAGATTGTGTGATAGTGATTCTACCATCCAGAATATTTCAATATATTTAACATTTTTTAATCCCTTGTTTCTTTTTAAAAAAAAACACGTGACGTTTGTTGTAACCATTATTGTTATTCCACGTTTATTTAACCGCACAAACATTTTTTAAAATTTCAATTGATATTATTACTATTACTGCTAATTATTACTAGGAATTATTCTTATTATCGATTGCATACTGTTTTCTGTATGTATTCAATACGTAACTGTAAACACTTAACAAATTCTTAGTGTCTTTTCGATGGTTGACAATATGTTTTTTGTAAATGTACATTTGGACCACCTCACTGACGTCCAACTTAGTCGGGTGCGACTGCGCATCGAGGATCTCCGTTTGGTCGAATAAAAATTCATGACCTGTTGCAATATGATGAGAAACTAGCGATGTTTTACCCGTGGGTGTGGTTGTTTCACTTTTATTGGGACTATTCTGGGATTTTGATTTACCCGGGCTGCAGTCGTTCTTGTGTCTTCGCAACCTTGTCTTAAGCTTCTCTACTGTTTGTCCAACGTAACACGCGGAACATCCTGAACAAGATATTTTATAAATCACCCACGACCTGTTAAATTTTTGGGGGCTATCCTCCATCTTGGAGTATAAATTTTCTATGGTCCTAAGATTATAAAACGAGAACACGGCATCCGTATCCCTCAAGACCCGTTCCAACTCTTCGGACAAACCCCGAATCAGAGGGAAGCGAAACACTTTCTTGTTCCCTGAATTTGACCGGAGATTATATAATTTCCGTTCTCTTCCGAATTGTTTAACACAGTCTTTAATAAATTTGTCGGGGTAACCATTATTATGCAGCAGTTGCTGCACTCTCGCTCTGTTTTCTTCATGAAATTCTTCATGACTCAGTTCAAGTGCTTTGTGTAAAAGTCCGAAAATGACGTCCCTCTTCTCCGACGTGGGATGATTCGACTCATAATTCATGACTCTCCCTGCATCTATGGCTTTTTCATTCCAATTTGTCTTGAGAGATCCGTCAATTCCGCGGTAGACCTTCACATCCCGAAAGCTAATTGCATTCTCAGTCTCGTTTTCTAATGAGAAGTGAATACGCGCATGGATCCCGTTGAATTTATCTCTCACAATCTCAATATTATCTCGAGGAGTTGCAAGCAGTACGTTATCTCCATCCCGCTTGATCCAAGCGATGCACTCCAACTTAGCCATGGCTTTACTAATTACATAGCTCATCACCATACTTGCAAGAAACGAGCTCACCGGATTTTCCTTATAAATGCCCCTTATCTGTTGGTATATCTCCCCCTCAAAGGAAAAATAACTAGTATCGAAGCAAAACGTAATGAGTTGAATGACTAGCTCTTTATTTTCCGGAACTGAATTCAATGCGGCCCACTCATCCCAATATTCATTTACGATGTCGATCACTAAATCCTTCGTAATATTCGTAAACAATGATCTCACGTGGAGGGACACTAGTACGTTTCCACTCGATAGCGTAGTCTCATTGATAAAATTCACGAATTCTTGTGAATTCTCAACATCGAATTCAGAAATGTGAGGGAAAGTCGAGAACAACTTCGCCAAAAATCCAGATATCTTGGAGTTAGGGCTGTCATTGCAAATGACGACTGGTCGCAATTTGTAGATTTTGTGTTTATTTATTTCACAAAGTCCAAATATTTTTGGGATTATTGCGTCTCCGGTAGTCAGCAGCAGTGCCTCTTCCTTATCTATAAGATTTAGTTGATGGATAGACTTCACCAGGTTATTAGCTCTTTTCTGGAACTTGCTCGTGGGATCGGCCTTGATCCACCTGTAGATGAGGTCCTGTTCCAATATCTCGTTCATAGCCTCTTGGTACTCGTGTTTGTACATGAGTACTGTTGCCCCACCTTCGGCGGCCTTCGACAATATTACGCCAGGATTTGCCTCCAAAAATGTCTTTGTGTGTTCAATATCTGCCAAAAGGGGATTTTTCTTTTTCTTTTTGTTTTGAAAATTTGTTATGATGTTTATCATCTTTAATCTTATATCATTCTGTGCCATTTCTAGATTCTTCTCACCATTTTTTACTTTCAAATTCTGGATACAGAGCTCCAGGTCCGGAAGTATTGCAGGAATCGGCAAAGTTTCAGGTGATATATCCACTCCAAATTCGGGCTCTAAACACAAAACTCGTTTGACGGTATCATCTAACTCGAGATTTGTATAATTGTGGATGAAAGAGTCTCGATTTGGAGGAACTTTTTCGACAGGTGATTCATTAGTTGAGGTATTAAATTCATGAGTCTCATCAATCTTATGTTTTACATTTTGTGGTGATTCTTCTGTAACGTTATCACCAACTCCATTGCTTTGAATATTGAAACTCTTTTCGAGCTGTTCGATTTTCCAGTTTATAATTTTTATCTCCAATTCAAGGAGTCTCTTCACTTCTTCGTCAACTTTATTCTTGAACGGATGATCTTGTGAATATAATTCATTGAGGAAAAATGTATCGCTACTGATATATTTTTGGACTTCTCCCTTTTTACATCGTTCCAAAAAAGTTTTTCGCTTATCAAGCGATACAAGTTTCTTGATACCAGATAATTCCTCCATTTTTTTTTTGATGTCGAAGAGATCGAAATCATCATTAGCGAACGCGTCCATGGCGACTAGTGGTTCGTTTATTCCGATTATCAGGACTTTCAGAGAAAAAAAATCACTATAAAAGTAAAAAAAAAATAATAAGTGAATATTGCATTCGATGAATAAGCGAATGTTTTTAAATTAAATTAATTAAATTATTGATAAATATAACTTTTCTGATAAATTGATAAATATGACGTAAGCGGAAGTGCCAGCGATTGCAATATCACATGATTAATTTTGAAACAATAATCATCCGTACCTTTATTTGATGAGTAACGTTATTATGTAAAACTCTCGTGTTAAAAATGATCACTTGTCTCGGAAAATTGGTGAATAATTCTGGTAATTAATCTGGGAATAATTCCAGCGGGTTCTCAACAAATACTTCCAACAAGCGCAACTATGAAACTGACGCGAGCTATCAACTCTCCTGCTATGAATCATCATATGTGAAGTCATGACCTCCCACTACTTCCAACATATGTGCGATTCTTAAAATGAAGGTTGATCATGTCGATAAGTAGGAACTGTCATCGACTATTATCGACGGGGTTTTTGCGCTCTCTCCGCGGAAAACATTTTTTATTTAGAAAAATTTCCAAACAACTAGATGTATTTACGAAAAATTGCGAAAAAAATATTTGCGGAAATTTACGCACAAAAATTATTCAATTTATTATTGTTAAAAATCATTTAAAAAATAATATCAATTAAGTATTTGGGGATTAGTCAATTGATAGACTGCCACACTCGACAGAATTTAGGAAAAATAAAAAAAGATAACTAATGTGGAAAAATTGGTAAGAATAATGTACGTCGTTGAATGGGATTGGAATTTCAACGATGTGTTTTTATTTTTATTACCAAATTAATTGCGTCATTGAATAATTAAAAGACGATTTCTTTCGAAATCATCAATTTAAAAATCAAACTGATTTACTATAGCAATTATAATAAAAAATTGTTCGTGTTAAAAAATTAATACTTATGAATAATATATGCAAACATAAATATTTTTTCAATTATATTTTCAGGCTGAGTAGAATTGAATTTTTTTTTCGTTCGTCGAGCATTTTTTTTAGTGATTGGAGACCGAGGAAATGAATTGCTGGAGATTAGGTGGACTGCTGAGAAATGGTACAGTAGAACACAAATGAGAAGATAGCCATCGACTCGATGAAAGCACCTTGGAAATAATCTAGTGAATCTGTTCCAATTCCGGAATTGCATCCCTTTACAGCAGTACGAAAAGGGAAGTAGAGGGTCTATTCCCCCAGCACTTTGATGAAGGTGTACGTAGAAATCAGGTGGATAAGGCAAAATTTATCGAGGTCAAATCAAGCACAATGGAGCTGTTGATAACACAGGTACGCTTTATCATTTGTGGCTGCACCAAACAAACGAACAATTTCATTAATTCCGTATTCTCTTGTTCAAGCGTTAAGCCCGCGATTAAATAACGCGAATAATAACTCGATACATTGGGCAAATCAATAACTGATAAACCGAGGCAAAAAGTTTTTCCACATAAAGTACAAAAAAAAAAACCTCCAAAGCACTGATAAAAATTGCAATTCGCAGGAATGGAAAAATTATAAACCGACTTCCAGACCGAACCCCTCATTATGTATCCGATAATTTGAGGCCATGCGAACACTCCATATAATCCTCGATATTTTTTCAATCCCAATAAACATTAATCATTCAATTGGAAATTTTCCATGAATTTATTCAGCGTTCGTATTCCCTCTGCAGTGAATTGCATCCCAGAGTCAAATAGCACGTGAACGTATCTTGGGAAACGTGACCCGAATATAAATGCTGTATAATTTATACAATTGGGTAGTTATAACACGACTAACATTTGAGTTTTTTTTTTTTGCAGCTAATCCCCGTTCTCTGGAAAAATCACAACAATCTGCATTTTTTGAAAATGAAAAATAGATAAGTCCTGGGGGACCTGCAGTGATGAAATTGATAAAGAAATGTTAAGTGCCGGTTTGACATAAAGACTCTCGGGGGACATTAAGAATAGTACATTTGATACAACGGGTGTACATCGCGTGGTTGGGAATTATATCCCCTTTCTTTCTATTTTCCAACAGTTGGAGCCGACGGTTCGCGTGATTCTGAATGGTTGCACGACAGCACTGGGTGCCGAGTCGTTTTAAACGATTGTTTTCATTGTTTTTACTTTTTCTAAACGACAATTCTGGGCCTCTTGGCCTCACTACGCTTTCAGGGTACCTAGTCACTTCGTCGCATTTCCTACCATTTGTCGCTTTGTAAAATGAAATAAGAGAAAAAATAGGGGAATGCATTCAATGGAGGTCAAGGATGCGATTCGGGGTGAATTGGTTTCACCGAACTATCGTTGAATTTTTTTTTATCGGGCTTCAGGCTTTTTTTTCTTCGGCTTTCCATTCTCACGTGATAAATATGCGGGGAGTATTGATGGAAAAATGAAGCGACAGGCGGACTGGAATATTTAAAATTTAACAAGTCCATCAGTTTGAATTTATTTTTCTTATCTCGTCTATCTCCGATTGTTTCAATATTTTTAGATTAACATTGAATTTTACAACGAAACGGAATGTCTTCATAAATTTAATATTGCCTCACAGTATTAAATTTAACTAGTTAAAGTCTCGACTTGAACAATTTTTCGTGTTCCTGAAGGCAATGTTAATCAAATCGAGCAAAAAAAAATCGAATAAATCATTCGTTCCAATGCATCTTCACTGGGAGAAACTTTGAAATATTTATCACCCTGGCTTTTTCAATCTCACCCATCTATTTATCCCCCATTGAAAAATGATGCCACATAGTTGATGAATGCTGGGGTACTCCCTCACGCCTCGACGTCGTCGTAAATTTTTCGTCCAGCAGCTTTGAGATTGGCTTCCTGTGGGATTAAAGTCAAGAGAATGTCAAGAGAGAGCCCATGTTTGAGTAAATAACACCCGGTATGGGATGAATGGTGGCGTTGGTGTACACCCTAACGAAGATTGACTGGCATAATTTATGCGCTAAACATTAGTGCGCATTCATTATCGCACAATGTACACTGACGCATGATATTTTGCATTCTTTCCGAGACAAGTGGAGTGGAGTGCGATTTAGTCAGACGCTCGTATTTACTGTTGGAAATTTTCTTGGCATTTTCATCGTGCACAGTAATAATATCACTCACCAATTATTTATTTATATTGAATTGTCATCATGCATTATTAACGAAGATCCCCCGTTAATTATCAACGCACGTCCATTTTGACTTAAAATTTTTCGATGACCAATTCTTTCAATGACATTTTTCATCACGTTAGTATTTCGAATCCGTGACTCTGGCATTCGCGGTTGAATTGTTGAGTAATTAATTGATTTGTTAATTGAAAAATTGATAGCCCCGGCGATGCAGTGAGGCGTTAATGACTTGTACTCCGTCATCGGTCACCCGACGATCATTCATAACTGTTGAATTCCCTCGTATCATCGATGATACTGCTATATTTTGATGTCAATATCGAATAGAAAAATAGGAATAGCATTTCTCTTGGGTAGTGCAGTCATTTAGTGGCTCTGCCGCTCAAGTTCCTCCCTCTCGATTATCCCAGGCACACATAAGCTGCGTAATTGAATGTTTTCCATAGTCGAGTGCTCTCAAACAGTCGAATGCACGCTATATGATGGGTTATTCGAGCACGAATTTTCCGAGAAGGCAAACATCCGGAATTTCTCAATTGCCTACTATTTACTAGCGAAATCACTCTCTAGCTGCCATGTTCATTTCACCTTTGATGCATTGGAAAGGGATTAATTATAGTTCTTCAACGATTTTTCTTTCTCGGAATTCCCAGGGGGAAGTTATTTGATAGTGTATCCAATTAGTTCAGTTGCAGACAATAAGGAAGTTCTCCCGAAAATTCAACAACTTCTCTAGAAATAATTTGTCCTTCGGAGATGGATACGAATTATCTGGGGAATGCATTAATTCACCGATAAATCGTGTCATGTTTTTACTATTTCGATTCATGTCGAGTCCTAATGAATCCAATTGCCAGTACCAAATAGCTTCCCCCACGTGTGATACATTAATTCATCGGAATCGATTGATCATTACCGCAGGCGCATCACAGTGAGAATTTTCACACCCCAACCCGTGTATATTCACATATCCACAGTATGAATAAATAAATGTTGATTAAACTCACGTCACTCTCCATTTTGTCATGAAATCTGAGCCGATGCTGAAAACAGGAGTTGTCGTGCGATTTGCCTCGGTGACATTGAGACCGGTATTATCAGTTGCGTTGTTAGTCTCCATCCCCCGATTTTCTCCTCTTCCGTCACGTCCAACTTTCAGATTTCTTCTGTCCTTTAAACTGAGGTCAATGACCAAAGGTCAATGACCCACCCCCTCACTCCTCCCCTCACTGTCCTCCAGTCATCTCGGAGACATTCTGAAAGTAATTACACAATTAAAGTATTTTTTTTTAATTTTTTTATTTTACATTTCCATTTCCTATTACTATAGTTTTTTTTTTTCTGACAATTAAAGTATATTTTTTTATTAAATCAATCAATCGTTCACCACAAGCTTGATTAATGAATTAATTTCACGCCAAAAAAATTTCTCTTAAAAAATAATTCAATTTTCATTTAATTACGCAAGTATTTCGCATTCACTCACATAATTGCAATTAGTTCTAATGGACCTCGAACGTTCAATTAACGGTGTAATGGCAAAAATTTAACATGATAATAAATGTTTGGGTCAGGATTTGGATGGAGTTGGGGAAGGAAATAATGAGCTCATATATGAAATACTCGAGAGTATTTTCCCTAGTATTTTGTATTTTTGTTTTCGTCCTAGTACTCAGTCCAGCAAGTGGCGACTCGTTAACCCATCCGGAGAGATTGAGGATGGTGAGGGCAGGGGAAAGGACGGATGGTAGATGGGAAAGGCCGTTTCATATTGCTCGTTATGCCCCCCGTTCTGGAAATACCGTGGCCGAGCATCATTGAAATTGAACATTGTCTAGATAACCAAAGCGATGACATTACCCTGAAAGCACCGAAAAGGCCTTGCACACCTATCCATAGTCAGACCTATTTTGAGTCAATCCCCTAGAATGGTTCTTGAATGTAGGTGATACTCATATTACCTCACATTTCCTGACATTCAGTCGACATACATTTTTTTTTTGATAACCGAGGAAACACCGGAGGCAAAATTCTTTCCTGTTTTATTCATTCTGGAAATATTACCGAGAATTTTAACGGCATGAAAACATAATTCTAGGGGTAGAAATGACTTGTTAGTCATATTCATTTGATCTTGCGACGAGTTCAAGTCGATATACTTCATCTTCTCATCACCAGATAAAGCGGGTAAAAACCAATTGGCATTCTCATCCCCTCGTAGCGACCATTTCATTTTTGTCGAGCAGATGATTTCCCTCATGATCCCTCCCACTATCCTCATCTCAATCTCCCCTCAACTTACACTCTATCCCGACTCTTCCCCAACGACTCATTCTTCCTCTCATCAACTGAGGGAAAATCGCCGTTAACCGAGTCAATGAGCTTTTCCCTCCTCTGAACGTTTGGGAGCCCCTCTCAATTTCCCCAGTCACAAATTTATCGCCTCAAACTATCACCATAACCCTCTCAAATTCACGTGCGGTACTCCCACTGAATATATTTGTATCCCACCCTCCGGACAAACGATTGGGGCATTAGTGACACTCGACAAGTTAAAACGAACGCCGAGTGTCACACAGAAAATGATACTGTCGTGAAAACGACAGGATTTTACCAAGTGAGATTTTGCGGCGCATTTACTTTCCGTTTTGCGCTTTAAATGTTTTCATTCCACCACATCTTTCCGGTTCACTTGCACGCGGCATCCATTCACTCCTACAACGCATTTTCCCTCACTGTCGATGTCTCCACTTTTTCCACTCCTTTTTCTCCTCCATTCCGCTCAACAATTGTTACATCGTGGGTAATAATATCGCAAAAAAAAAAAAACTTATCCAGCCAGCTCATTCATCCCTCCCGTCTGTTCCAATATTTTAAATAGAACCTCTCCCTCATTTTATGCCCTTCCCATTTATTCCGGGAATGGCAGGGAAAAAAAGTGATACCCGCGGGTAGAATAGACTGGGGAGAACGTATTGATGCTCATTGCAAATTTGAGATTTCGAAGATGAATGTAAATAATTTCCAATCGACTGTGAACAATGCTGACATTCGACAGATACAAAAAATGGACAATAAATGGTAAACAAAAAGTTACCATCGCAGTCGGATTTCCGAGGGCCGTTAATTTTCTCCGTTCAACGTTAAAGCTCTGTCTCGTTTCTGCAACACACCTGGCACCCATATCTGCAACAATCATCCAGAGTTCTCTCGGCCATTTCCACCGATCTCACTTATTTTTTTTTTGTTTTATCCTTTTTTTTTCAGCTTCACTACTACCATATCTCCAATCCCTCCCGACTGCGTTTGAGTCAGTAGTGTTAGATTGGCTTTTTAATCGTGATAGATATGTGTATCTGAAATCACGGCGAAAGATTGCGGATTATTCTCCGAAAGAAAGTGGAGGAAATGTAATGGTAATTGGTAATTTTTTTCATGTTGGAAATGTAGAGATGTCGAAGAATAAACTGTTGAAAATTTTTGTCCAATTTCCCCACGACTTCAGTGTTTTTTCCAATACGCGGTTGAATTTTTTGGAGTAATTAGATTGCTGTATTTATATATGAATGTAGATGTGGCATTTGTCAGTTTTTTTAACCCGCAATATGTGAATTTTTACAGAAGTGACTGGATTACTTAATAAAATACTCAATTGAATTCCGCTAACGAGGATGAAGTCTAGCCTATTTGCCGCCTTCGCTCATCACCCTTATCCGGCCACATATTCACTCACCCTCAGCTCTCCTGATAAAACATTCATGAAACGTCCCTGGGATAATCGATAAACTGCCATACAAGAGCCATTATGGCATTCACCCCCAGCAACGTACGTTGAAATGCCAGGACTCGAGTGAAAAACGATCACTTGGTCATTATCATTGGGTACGGTATCCCATCGAATCCATATCAAAGTAACGATTAAATCTTCGATTCACACTGCAAGCAATTGGCAATCCTGAAACGATATTTACAGGGAAAATTACTTGACCGTCATATCTGGTGGCAATGATGTACCTATAAAAGTGAATGACGGAATTATCCGTTTTCGGCTCGTCTTCGTCGCGGTAGTGACCTTTCTTCTCCATTTATTTCCCTAGCCGCCATGGCAGTGAGGAAAATAGAAACTCGATAATCAATAATTAATCTTTCGTAGAAATCTCTCGGCCACGAATAAGTGTGGGAAATGGTCTAGCTTTCAGAATTTTCAAAAAAAAAAAAATCTCTCGTGACTTTTCAATAAATGGGAGAAATGGAATGACTGCGTCGATAAAATTATACAGCAGATAAAATCGATAATAAAATAAGCAGTGGTCTCCAGAGCTCTCCGACAATCACAATGAGTTAATTCAGGCTGATTGGTATTCTCGGCTGGTCTCAAACTGTGAACTCACGGATGTTCATAAAAAGATAGACGACGGGAGTTAATTATGAAGCCATTCTGCAGTTCTTTGCCAGTGGCAGACACTCGGAAACCTCACTGGCATTGGTAACGAAGTTTGTGGCCCACCAACTGAGATTTCTTCGCGTTTAAGGAGATGAGGATAAAGAGATGAGGTACGGAGGATTCTCGGTCAGGGAGACGCGTCTTATCCATCCTACTGCTTCGCAATGGTCGTCCCAATTACAAATAATCCGATGTACCCAAGGGTGGGGACACACTTTTTTTCTCTTCCATCTGTTTTTCTTTTTCCCGATTTTTTTCCTTCTTATTTTAACATCACAGTTCTAATTTCCAAAGGAAGCGAGTTTCACTCAATTGGTGGTACTGCTTCCGTTTTGCTCCAGAGAATTAGGTCGAAGTGCTGGAATGGAAGGGGATGGAGGAGGATAGAATATAGTGGATGTGGCAAAGAGATTTCTTGGGTTATGAAACTTTGGGCTGTTTATTGTACGGTATATGGCATGTAGGAAAGTATAAACGCAGAAATGCTTCATTCTGGATTAAATTTACCACGGGTTTTCGCTGACATTTGTTTGGAGGAACACTCAAGTATTTCGCCTTTTGCAATATGATAATTACGTCGTTTCCCGGTTGGACTGATTCCCGGAATTTTTTTTCGTTCGAGTGTGACAGAGAAAAATTGACAGGGCGAGTATTCCCGGGAATTTGTCCGTGTGGTAATTAAATATGGGGGAAATTTCCCATGGTAACAATTAACAAGAGGAGAAATGGTTCAGGCAACAATTTATCGAGGGAAATGATTATTACTCATAATTTCATCATTCGTGTTCAATTAATTGCGACTTGGAGTACCTATCACCGATTTTAATAAAAAAAAATGCACGAGAATTGTAACGTCACCGATCACGATTATTCGAGTGCTTTTATTTTCGTACATTTTTTCAATCGTAAACAAATTTTAACTGTCGCATGTACAGCTGACCCAATAAACCAATTTTCGCATCGATGTAAACGACTAAAACTGAAATAGGCTCCGGTACACATGAAATTTCGAGTGTTTGATCCAGTCATACGATTCGTCATGCCGTCACGTCCCGTTAATTGGGGTTTTGCTATCGCACCAAGCCCAAGGTCTCCCGTTTTCTGTCCAAAACTACGTGCGAAATTAATTATCGATTATTAATTATTCACAGGTTATTATCAACGGATTTACGTTCATCAATTTTCTCCAGTGTAGTTCGCCGGTGTAGCTCAACCAGTGGACGGATTTCATATTGGTTGAGCGAATAATTTGATAATGTACCCATGCTTGTTGGCCCATTCAAATCGCGATTGTTGTGTGTTTAACGATAGATAGACTGAAAATTGATTGTAACCCAACAAATTTCGTGTAATACATCTCTGAAATTACAGCGGATCGCGCAAAAACACGCATTCGAAAGCGTGAAATACGATTATTTAAAGGTAACATACATTTACATTCCCACGTGTATTCAAAAGGGAAAATCCAGAGGTTGTCATTTTGATTGAATTGAAAATAATTGAATTTTCCGAGGTTATGAGACCGCTGGGTGAAAGCGCGTCGTCAGCTTCGCAAAGAGGGCAATTTTCTCCGCAACACGATAGGAATCAGCAAATAGGAGTTTCAGGATGCAAATGCTGGGGTCCAACTAATCCCGCCATCTTGCCGCAACCATTGAAATCCCGTTGTCATCCAGCCACTCGACAAAAGAAACTGAAAACCATCTCTTCTCACTGCCCTGAAACAGTCGAGGCACTTTGGACAACGGAGGTTTCTCCTGCTGGCATCCAATCCTAAATCTCAAGTACTACATAAGCTTCCCACAAATGCCAGGGTGGTAACAGCTTTTCGAGACCCGTCTGACAGAGTGTGCAGAAATACACGTGGCTGAGCTCATTCCTCAACTTGTTATGTACTGAGACCGTTGGAGGATGAAGATGTATTCATTTTTAATGTCGTTTATAATTCTTTAACTCTTTTCTTCCTCTTTTTTTTATGAAATGGGTATACGGATGTATTAATTTTCACCATTTTACAACCCGAGGAGAGAATTAACGATAGAAAAGTTCAACTTCAATTTCAACTTCACATTTCAATTTTGAAAAGTTCTGGAAACACTCAGAAAATTATTCTCTCCGAGGATTTGTTTATTTGACAGAAGTGGGTATTTTCTCGTGATTGCTTCAGTTGAGTAATTAAATGTGTAATTGGATAAATTGCAGTGATTATTGTCCATTTTTTTTGCGTGGAGAATTTCCTGAGGAAAAGAAATTGACGGAATCGTTTTGTAGTGATGATTATTGGTCGGCTTTTTGTTGGAAGTGATTTCTGGGATTGCTCGTTAATTACGGTGATTTATGGAAATGTGCGATTCAATACTTTTCGGGTATTTTAAAGGGATATAAATAAAGTTTGATATTTTGTGATGTGACATTTTAGAGAATTCTGTTCAATCATTTAATCTCAATCGATTGATGAAAAATGTCGGGTAACATGAAATGTCATTTGGAGTTAAAAATTGGTAAATGTTCTTCTCGGCTAGTGCCAATTGCAGGGGCTTTCAATTTTATCACGGTGATTTTTATTTTCAATTGGTGGAAGGTAGACCGCGGAAATTTCATTTTAGCTGTGGTAAATTTTACGTTCTCCCATCGGAAATTCATTTTCTTTCCGGAAAGTTGTTTCAAGTGGTGAAAAACCTTGAATTTATACGGGACTTGGATTCATCTTTCAATATTCCCCCGCTGATGGGAAAGAAAACCGACAAGCCGACGGAGAAAATTTCCGTGGAAGCGTATGAAAATTAATTTTTCATTCCCACCCATCAGAAACAGATGAGCCAGTGAAATTCAAATTTTTATACCTCCAGGGTTATTCCGTGGCGTCGCAAATTACGATTGATTCAATTTATCATAAACACACATTGTCTGGGAAATAATTGCCATCGAAAAATTCGTGACCCATAAAAAATGACAGGAACAACGGGAAGACGTAAAAATTACCATGAATCCTTTTTTAAATTCGGTATATCCCAAAAATTGATTCGTAATCACACGAAGACATGAAATCCCGAGTACACGCGAGGTGCCTTGGGTAACGAAGAAAAAAAAACGCAGAACATGAAATTCAACGCGAAAATAAAAACTACTTCGTCAGCCGTGAAAATGACACCAAAAGAAAAAAAAAATTATCCTAAAAAAAGTTGGCCCTGCGTTGTGTACACTGACATTCTCACGTAAAGCTAAGAAATCGTCGCGACACGTGGCGACTTTAATCATGCCACAAAGGAGAAAAAAAATCCAACGAAACCTGTGACATATGTTTTATTCAGCTTTTCACGTATGCTTCTAGGTTTTATTTATTATAACCGGAACGAAATACTCCCCCGCAATTTATATGGAAACCTCAAAAATGATCATTTATTCATTTTTCTCCAGTCGGTGTATGGGACATGAAGCTCTTTCATTGAAAGGCCTCACAATGGCTTTTCATTAGCATGTCGTTTTCTCCGCCAAATCTATCCAGAAAATCTCGTCGGCTCAATTTCACTCGCATGAACTGCCAACTGTCACGCGTAAATATAACGTGTCACATCGAGAAATATTCTGGATTCATTCAGAATAATAATGATAATTCAATTGCCACTGTAAACTACGGCAAGAATTTTGATGAAAATTTCAAATGTCATACGCCATTAGTCGACAGAATAGAATTCGCTGAAACTCCACAAATGACGGAACGATGTTTTAGTTTTAATTTTTCCTCCACGCGTAGCGAATTAAATATTTTATATGAAATTTCTGGTGAATTCTCCACTACCGAATCATTCAATTTTTTCCAGATTCTGGCAATTCTCTATTTTCAGGTACACATGGCACCGCGAAACCGCGGAAAGGTGAAAAATTCAACGGATAATTTCCCCGAATTTTCAATCTATTGAGCTTTCATCTAAAAATCAATTACCATCGAACGTGATAAATTCAATTTTCATAAATTGCCACGATAGATGAGAAATTCAGTGACCGGTTTGTCTCCAACTGAATTAAAATGAAAATATTTAATGCAGCAGAATCGGAATAATATACAACTTTCGGTGCACGTCCTAGAAAAATTGTCAATGAATGTCACATTTTTTTGACAGGGGAAACTTGAAGAACCTCAGCAAAGCCACTCACGACAGGAATATCTTTGAAATCGTGCAATGCCACGCGAACAATGTCACGAGTGTAACCGGTGGAAGAAACCTTCAACTCAACATGAACTATCAGTATGCATATTCCCTCCATCAAGTTGCATAACATCCGAATTTTAGAGAATCGATCGAATATTATCGATTCATTTGGAAGATTTGAGGGGAAGGGATATATTCTTCACCTTGATATTTTTCATTTTCAATTTTGAGACAGGTGATTAATAAATTACAACAGTACAATGTTACAACACTTGTGTTTGTGTTTAATTGTAAATGTCGCAATACACTGGTATTTTTAAGTACATCAAATCCATGTTTTGCCATACTATGTAAATCTTGTCAGCCTCGTGTATGACGCTACCACATTTTTCTTTAGAAATAGTTTTTTGTTCCATTCGATCATTTCTTCTTTTATTCATTCTGGTGATATCCGAGCTAAATCAATTGCTGATAAGGAATTGGCAAGTGGGGGTAATGAGTATTATAAAAGTAGTTGTTACGATCGAACTATCAATTATCTCATCGAACCTGTTCACCTTGCTCTTGGTCTTGAAAATCACATATCTGCGCTGTTGTTTTTTCTTGTCAGAATTTCTGGTACGTAGATTTTTTTTGAATTTTCATCATGTCACAGGTTGACGCCTCAATCAAAAATTGCATTTTTGGAAAAGAAAAATTATGGAAATTCAAGCACCACAACAATTTAGAAAATTCAAAAATATAAACGTGAATTTTCCTGAATTTTCTGTCAATTTGCTATTCAACAGAATGTACAAATTAAAATGATAATGCAATTTTTTAAGTGGGTGACAATAGAAACAAATAAATCTCTGTGATGTGATGATTTTTTTTCGATAATCAAGATTATTAATTGATGAATAATAATTTATTGGTAAAGCCGGAGAAGATCTCTGGGACACAATCTCAATTATAGACCCTCAATTATTAACTCGTCATTGTGAATCATTATCAATTAACTATAAGTCGATTTTTATTTTTTTTTTTTGAGCCTTTTGTGAGAATGAGGTGTATAATTTTTCTGTAAAATGGTATAAAAATGAGGTGCCACTCTTTTCAGTGATTCCCTGTAAAATCTGATCATCTCGGAAGTGTTTCCTCCCTACTATAATTGCCATGAACATAATGAGAAACAAATTGGGCAGTTTTCTCCTGCTAATTATCGGCGGAATAGGGCAACTGTCATCATCATTGCCATATTCTCTCCCGATCAACGAGGACAAATCGATATCCGGGTCGTACCGATTTCGTTTACCAAGTCACACAGCTCCGATATTGTACACCCTCAATATAGACCCTCACATCGACGAAAAAAAATTTACTTTTGATGGTACCAGCGCCATTATATTCGAAGTCCTGTCACCAACATCTGCTGTAACTCTACATACGTCATCATTACTTGAAATTGACGAGCAGTTCACGTCACTCGTCCACATCGACGGAACGATTGAGAAACCCATTTCTCAAAAGACCGACACAGATCTAGAGTTCTTCACTATTTTATTCGATCACATCCTAGACATAGGAGCTTACGAACTCAATTTGAAATGGACGGGAACACAAAGTGGAGATCATATGGGCTTTTACCGAACAATAGACTACACTAATCCTAATCACACTCGGTAAATACTCAAAAATATCTGAAAAAAAGATCGTATTATTTCTTTTCGATAATAAATAACGGACCATTACTTAATCACGAGAGTCTCATTCCAGATACGTTGCCACAACTAAATTCCAACCGCTGGCAGCCAGACGTGCATTTCCCTGCTGGGATGAGCCAGCATTTAAGGCTCAATATGACATATCTCTGAAGCATTACGTGGACTACACAGCACTGTCCAATATGCCTGTTAAAACGCAAACGTTGGAGGAAGATGGAATGATTTGGACGACTTTTCAGAGATCGCCGATGATGTCAACGTATCTGGTAGTTTTTGTATTAGCGGAATTCGAGAGTCGTTCCAATGATAATGGCAATCTAGCATTGTGGGGACCACCAGAAAAATTGCATTATGCAGCAGCTGTTGTGGATGTTATTCCTGAGATTATGCGTACCTTGGAAAGCTACACGGGATTGGCTTATAATTTACCCAGACTAGATGGTGTTATATTCAATACGTACCCATCATTAGCCATGGAACACTGGGGTCTTATCAGTTATTCGTAAATATCACTCAACTATAGTTGATCATTGCATCATTCCCAATCTAATTGTTGCTATTTCAGTGAAAATATTTTATATGATCCTGAGATTGACCCGATCTCGCACCGCGACGATGCGTTTAAACTAGTTGCCCATGAAATTGCACATCAGTGGATGGGGAATTTAGTAACTCCTGCATGGTGGAATGATGTGTGGCTGAGTGAATCTCTCGCTTCATATTTGTCGTATGTCACTTTGGACGCGGTAATTGTTTACATCATCTTCTATTATTCGGACTTGCGTACGGTAAAGTAAATAAAATGCAAAGTAAAATGATATTTGATGCATTGTTCTTCAGGTACGGCCCAATTTGCACACTATAGATAAATTCGTTGTTGACGGTTCTGCATATTATTCAGGACCGCGGAATATACCGGTTAGATGGATGCCAAATAGTCCGAAAGAACTTCCCAAACTATTTTCAAAGCCCTACATTAAAGGTAAATAACTCATCATCAATCTGAGTTTCTACTGGTTTACAATTCTGTTCGCCACCCTTTAACTTCATTTCAATGTAACCGCTTTGGTCTGTGTGTAGGTGTGGCTATAGTGCGGATGTTAGAGCACATGGTGACCAAAGAGGTATTCCACAGTGGCATCAAGAATTATCTCCGTAATAAGTAAATAAATGCATCAATATAGACCACAGAATTATTGTCTTCATCGAGAGCAAATGCTCATGTTTTTCAACGAGAACTCATTAACGAGAAATTCACTGAAGCCATTAATTTTTCAGTCAATTCGGCTCCGTAGTAACGGACAACCTATGGGAAGCTCTGCAAGAGAGCTACAATGAAATACAACTACCGCATCTCAATATCAAGGAAGTAATGGATCCGTGGTTGGACCAAAGTGGGTATCCGATGTTGGATGTCACGAGAGATTATGAGACAGGCCTAATTACGATCACCCAAATTAATGCGGAAAATTTTGACTCCGGCAATATGTGGACGATTCCAATAACCTATGCAACAACTTCAAAACCAGATTTTTCAGTGACACAACCAAATCACTTCTTGCGAGATGTAAAGATGAGTTTCATTCCTGATGAGATCAACAGCAACGACTGGATCATTCTGAATCTTCAGCAAACTGGTACCACATTTTTCATTCGCGATTATATTCCACACTTGCTTCGGAAACTTTTCTGCTCCGGGCATTGATGTCTTTTCGAGTTGTTTTCTATTACTTTTTTACTTTCCTAAAAAAAATCGTTCTCCCACTTACAACCAGAGACGAGGTTTACATATCACATGGGTATGTGATCCGTAAACTTTAAAACCAAGGAACTGGCGTTTTTTTTATCTGCTTCAATGAAAACTTTATCGATGAATTTTCCATCGCCTGGACTGTCACGAAGTTATCTATATTTCCAGGTTATTATCGGGTCAATTATGACTGGGAGAATTGGAAACGTATTGCTGCGTATTTAAACACGGAGAATTATCAGAAAATCCACGTACTTAATCGTGCGCAATTGTTGACGGACATCGTTGATCTAGCCGCAGAGGATGAACAGTATAACGAGTTATTGATCGACATGATTATGTATTTACGTCGAGAGACGAATCCATTACCATGGATAAGCGCAGAAAAAATCCTAAAGAAGTTTTCAGACTGCCCATTTCAACTATATAAATCCGATTTATTCCAAAAATTTGTATTATCTCTCATGGAAAACGCGATTAATAATTTTGGATTGAAAGATTCGGGGGAATCTGAAGATAGTCTGATACATATGGCAAGGATTAAACTGTTGCCATGGGCCTGTGAATTTGGTCATGAAGGCTGCAAAGCTGTAGCTCCAGTGATGTTGAGGGATATTTTGACTGGTCAAATGAATAAATCGTAAGTAATTATTAATAATCGTAAAACTGTATAATTATGATACAGACTCGAGAATATTCTGTCCTTTTGCAGATTTATTCGCGAGAACGCAAAATGGATTTACCGTACTGCTCTCACGTATGCGAATGAATCGGTGTGGGACCAGATGATAAATGTTCATATGGCGAGCCCGAGCGAGCACAATGTGTTTCAATACTTGGGATATTCCAAAAATCTCACTCTAATAAAGAAATATTTGCCATTACTCTTCACCGAAGAAACTGGTCTCTCCTCTCTAGATATAATCGATGCATTTGATAGTCTGGCGAAGGGATCAGCAGACAATTATAATTTCGGTCTCGAGTATCTTATTAAGAACATCGGGACAATAATCGAAATGTGAGTATTCATGACAGAAAGAAGATGTACACTCAGTACTTAATGCACTTTTGATAATTTAGTTTCGACAAAAACGATGACGGGTTCATGATTGAGTGGTTGTGGGGATTATTCGCGAATGAAGCTCAAACTCCGGAGCAGTGGAAAAAGGTAAGACAATGAGATTAGAAAAGTCTTTTCATCTGCAGGATTTGCTAACGAATTGAAAGTTAATTTATTCATTATTTTTGTAGCTAATGAACTTCGTCGGGACACGAAGTTTCAAAGAACAAATAGATGCTGAAGAGTTCATAGAAGATTACGAATACAGACAGTGCTTTGAGAAATCTTCTGCGGTATTGAAGGCCATCAGCGAAAAAGTTGTTCTTTACAAATTTTATCTGCGGGAGAAGTTATAATAATACGATGTAAAAATAAAAAATAGATAAACCTGATCTCAGATAGTATTCCTTAAAAGTAAGATGACGCTAGAATAAATATTATGACATAGTAAATAATGGCCGATTATTCAAATTGATTTTGGCAAAGGAAATTTCCGTGACAGAGTATATTTTTTTACCAGTGATACTGGATTTTTCTGCGGAAATACAATACATCGTATAGAAGAATTTGCATTTGTATTTTTCGAGTGATGGATGATCATTTCAAGATCTCGTTTTCTCTGACTAGAATCGCTACAAGGTACAGATTAATTCGTGTGGAGTCTCAAGACATAAATTCATACATAATCCAGTATAACTCAATCAGACGACGAAGAAGCTGATCCCCTAGATCGACAATAGAAACATAACCGAATGATTAATCTCCCGTCACACATATTGTTATATACAAATAGCGCCATTTCGATCATATACCCATCTGCGATCACCCTATATTTCCCTATAAATCATAATCCTGAGGTCGATCGCGTGCCGACTGGAACCGGTCTATTTCCCCCAGTCTATTTAAAGTTCTAAGGTCACCAAGCCCAATAAAATTAAATAAAAAAACAAGGAAAAACTAAAACAAATTTTTTCGCCACATGAAAAAAATGAAGATTTGTGCTCACCTTGGGGGCAACCAAGTCGGTTGATATCTCGCCGATACACAGTCCAAAGAGCTCTCAACCAATCAAAACAGATCGAGTCATTATTCCCGTCAATATGATCATTCACCCGACGATAACTGTCAATGTCCCCCCGACGATGACAGCTATCCAATTATTGGCAATGCTAAACACCCGAGGTGCAAGACTCTCGACACTTTGATTTTTATTGGATAATAAAATTTTATGTTAGCGGCAAACTTCTCAACTCTCTGGCTGCCGAAGATTATGTCTATCACTCGTGCAGCTCTCGTTCTTCTTAATCCGACACATTACATCAACGAATTTTCATCGAGTTCTCCTCTCCGATGACAGGTGATGATAACTGATGATAACTGATGATAACTGATGATAATGCTGAATGGGGGTCAGAAACAGATGGATATATTCAACTTTTGACGATGAATGGTGATCACAAAGTGTTTGTTAATGTGATCTTGAGTATTTTTGACATTATTGCCGTTTGTTGTCACGTAAACACTGAACGGTAATGTATCTGTGGTGCGACGGACACGCGGTGTGAATTGAAGTGAGCGCCAGGGCTCAAAAAACTAGCGTCAACGAGCGCCGTCGCGCATCCTGGTGCTACCGCTCAAACGCAAGCGCTGTATGAGCAACTCTCTGAGCGCGATATAACTACCATCGGCATGAACGCGCGCCCCTCATCCTATATACCGTTATTACTGATTTATCAGAAGCTGGTTTTTTTCTCGGTTTTATCCCACTGACTATCCCCCCTTACCCCAACCCCGGACTCCTTTTACACTCCATCGTCCTCTTCTTTTCATCTCTTTATGATGGTAAAAGAAAAAACAGTGCTTTCTCTTTATTTTTACATTTCTTTTTGTCTTTGTGATACTTCGGGGGGACCCACTGGTAATTGTCGATACTGTCATCAAGGGAATATGTACTTTCAAAAGCGGTGGATTGGAATAATCTTTAAATAAATGGAGTGTATTAAAATTCAGTTGGGGAGAGCGCTCTTCAGGTATTTTTAGGATTTTGTTGCAGCCTGATTATTGTTATCTGCTGGACTGGGAAATGGGATTGAATAAGATAGGAAGAGATATTATATTTCGAGTGCATGGAAAGGAATTACGGAATTACAGAAATGCTCCCGGAAATATTTCTTACTTGCGATTCAATCCGAAATTACGGTAAAGATTCGTAATTTTTATTGAATATTTCTCTCGATGTAAAGAATATCGAATTCCGTAGATTATTGATCAGTGATCTGTGTTGATGATTTTGATGGAAATGTAGTGGAAGAAATGTCCGTTGAAATTTTACCAATTCACCAAGTGAGTGGAAATTTATGAGATATGAGGTGTTGAGCATGTTTCCAGGAAAAATTGGTAGATGGTAATCTGGTTTGAGTAGTTGATAGTTGGTTTGAGTTAAATATTCATGGCGTGGAGTGTCTCCTCGACAATGATACTTGCTGGTATGACAGTGAGAGGTGTACTTGATTGTCCAGTGGAACGAACTGTCCACTGAATCATGGTATGTGCCATGTCTGAGATGATAATTAACGCCGGAGGCGGTGACTCTGACGTCGTCCTGACGTAGTAGGCCTAGGAGTCCATCAACTCGTCTGTGCGAATTGAGGTAGGTGAGCAGAGATGGAGATAGAGAAGCCAGTGGGTCGTTGGTTGCGAGGTAGGTCATGACGGTGGGAAATCTCCCTTTTCCCCTCGTCCATACTATGTATTAAATGCATGTGACACGAGCTACTGTGCCACATAAAAGCCAAGGCCGAACGCTCCGTCGACGATCGATCCAACAAATATTTTGAAAATTATGAACATTTCATTGTGGTAATGATCTGTTCTGATTCAATGAACAATCACACTCCAACTAATTAAACAAAATTGCGGGGGACGCAAGGGAGCGTTTGACAAGTCCTAACTCTACATAAATATTGAATCTCCAACAGCGATGAATAAATTTGTTCATCCTATTCCTTAATTACTATTCTCTTCTTCTTTCGGAGTAGCGGGAGAAACTACCGGGATTGTTTGCATTTCTTTTAATTTCCTTGCAGGTGAAAACTTCCGTGTCTGAGGGTATGAAAAAGTTTTCTTTTTCACTGGTGAATTCTGGTGCAGTTGAGTTTTTAATTTTTTACTCGGGCTTTTGAAAGCAGCGATGGAGATCTAAACTTGAAACTTTAACTTGAGAAGTTTTTCAAATGAAACTCGCGTTCTTCTTTATTACTGGATTTTGAATTACGCGAGAGACTCCGAGATTTTGGTACGTGTTAATTTATTTTTTTCACAAATCAGGGATACTCCCATTTAAGAACATTCAGTGTGACTTCGTATAGTTCTCCCGTCGTTAACAAATCTATTTTCATGAGGACAACTGATAATTGTCGGAAGATGTGCTCTCGGTGTTGAATACTGAACACTGTCTCCTGAAATTTCAGTCCGACAAAAATTAATACTCATGGAGATGTCATCAAGATGCACTTTCTCCTTTTGTAAGTCAAGTCGAAATGCATTAAGGACAACTCGAGTAGAGTCTGGTTTACCGGTTATGTATCGGTGATGACACCAGCAAGACGCCAGTGATATCCATAATACCCACCTAGGTATACTTTTCACTGCATTCAACTGGGAAATATAGGAAATGAAACACCCCACGTATTCAACCGAGACCCATATGCATCATTTACATGAGACTCAGATACTCCAGTTATGTCATCAGCCCGAGAAAAAAACGAGAAGTTAAATTGAGTGAATAAAAAATTCAAACTGACAAAAAAACATAATTTATGCCAATGATTTTTTTTCTTGAAAGTATTTTTTATTAAAAGTGGTATTCCTCTAGGTGATCTTGATTAGGTGTTAATAATGGAAATCATATGTTGGTACGACCTTGACTAAACTCGACCAATAATCATCGATATTGAAAAATTCAGTCGATATGATCTACAAAATTTTGGTATCTGAAGAAAATTCATGATAATATTGGATTATTAATTGGACAGGCAACCTTCTGAGAAAATACAGATTTCTCTCGAATAAATGGATCTGTCGCGAAGATAATTTTTTTTTCGTCCAGCAGTATAAATTTTTTTGTTATTGTTTAATAACCCTGAGATTATTGACATCACAAAACTTTGATCTCGTGTCCTCGGATAAATAAAATATATGGCCTCCGTATCGAGGCCACTCGAAATCTGGACGAACATAAAAATTCTTATTGCCGCCCTCGGAAATCGAACAAGAGGCCAACATGTTCCAACGTGCAATTAAAGGAAATGAAAACCAGCGAATTCATGAATTGATTGTCCTCCGGGCATATTCCCAACATATTCATATTAACCCTCGCAATTGGGTTAAATATTACTTTCAGAACTCGCCAATTAAATGTTTAATTGAGTCAATTGGGCGAAATGTAATTTAGCACTGATGAGTGAGTTTTAATTGCATATGCTGTATTTAGCGGACTGTTGAGATCCAAAAACACGCCGATAATTGATTGCTTTTTCGGGGAAAATTGGTTGTTTGTATTAATATAAAAAATTACTATTTCTTGTACTTCGGCATTTAAAAATCTTTTTTTCCTACACTGCACTACCGTATGACCGATCAAATGAATTGACATTGCGATGCATAAATTAAATAAATAATTTCACGTATCACGAAGAGTGATAGTATTTCCCCGATTGTCTCGCGTAATCGTTGAGATTTTTCTTTCATCTCTCCAGGAAAAAAGAGGGTTGTGCAATAAAGGAGGGAAGGGTAAAGGGGTGAAATTATGAAAGCGGGGAGTTTTATAAGAGGGGCAGAGGTTTTGGAATAGGAATGACTATGGGACGGGATGGGTTATACATGAGACATTGGACTAAGGTGAATGGAGAGAAAGACACGGGGAATGGCTGGCTTGCCTAGCTCTCATCATCCTCCGCTAATATTTACCTGGGGTTACACAAAGACCTGGTTTGTGTACATCCCAGTGGTGTGTGCCAATGTGTCTGTGATAAAAATACCCGGAAGTCGGGCCGGAATCGACCGACAGTGAAAAAAAACGAAGGGAAAAAAAATATCCTCTCAACTGAGATTCTTTCTGCCTTCAACTCGTCTTTTTATCCACTGACGGCGCGTCACTGTAATCTCCACATGTTGTACGACAGCATATAAATTTCATTTTAATAATGCGGCGGAAAATATTTATCATTCCTCACGAGGACAAGGAAATAGAAGAATTAATCCACCGGCTGTTATAAAAATAATCTGAATTGTTTCTCAAAATGCAAGAGAAGACAATGTCGTTGGAATATTTTACTCACCCGGGGATTCATCTCCGAAACCTTAAAAACATAATAAAAAACCATGACAACAGTATCAAATATCGTTTGAATCGTGAAATTGAATACAGCCCAATTACGAGAAAATTTGATAGTGGATGTATTCACCCGTCCGCAGGGTAGACAGAGCCCTTTCCTGGTTCTCCAAAATCATCACCTCAAGAGTTGAGTAAAAATCCCCGGGGCTAGTTCGACCCTCTGTCACCTCCAGTTATTTACCCTCATTAGAGCTTTTTGATAGTGTTATCACCAAGCACTAGTGTAAAATTCACGGGAAAAGATAAACACTATTGAGACGCGGGAGGGAGGTTGATGCCAGGTAGGCAGTTTCCGAAGGGCGAGCGACCGGTAACTATGTCTGGTGAGCGTTGAAGCTTTCAAACGATCCTGTAATCAAATTACCTGGAGGCTTCCAACATCGTTGGTTGCCGTGGGCGAGGGTATGACTTGAAATACGGTAGATGGCAGTTTCCAAAGGCCCGAGGTCACACCGATACACCATCATCCCGACGCAATTCGGTACAACCAATCATACATATCATAATTGGCTCTATCAATCGACATCCATACTCTTCAGGATGATGAGTTTTTCACGTGACGGTTGATTCAGGTAACTCCAGTGATTAGTCAACGGATTTGTCTCACATTTTTGACAATTTAAATTGACTAGCCACTCTGAGTTGTTTTGATTTAAAACTCGAGGCTGGAGGCAGTGCAAGATGCAGTACCTGGTGCAACTCTTCTTGAAAATCGGATTGTCGGAGGTCCATGAATCAATTGCGTCTGCACTCAAGCTTGACTGGCATACACACATTCAACATTTCTCTCTCGGTTGTTGCTTTTGAATAAACCACCCCAGTGTATTTCCACCCTCTCAATGGCAATACTGTGTGCTGCATACTACGGTACCTTGTGATTCCGGTCTGAAGCGTATATTGCTGTGCAACCGAATTAGCCGTCACCGTGGTATACGTGATTAAGATCTAATGAGATTATCAAGGGTATCATGCACGAATTTTCAAATAATTCAGTTAGACAAGGTAGGTAGAATTTTATTATCGATGGTAAGTGGTTTTTATTGGGGAAATTTCGATGGGAAAAGGCCAATCAAAGTATGAGCCTCTCTCATATTTATATATAGGTGAATAATTTTAGGGGGGCGTAGAGTGCCCCGTAAAACAAACCAAAATTGTAAAATTTCCCGTTCGGCTTGACGAAAAAATTGTTCTATTCCACATGCAAAGTCATGTCGGTCACTCGCTAATTGATTCGAATATTGTATCAAAGAAAAAATGGATTTCGAACCGCAGAAACATTTGTGTTCGTTCCATTTTTTTTTTTTGGAAAAATGAAAAATAAAAACTAGAACAAAACATTTTCCAGCGAAAGGAACTGCGTTTTTATTGGCCACTCTGCGGTTCAACGAGCGTGGAGCTTTGTTTGTCGCCGTGAATGACAAAATGAGAGAAAAAAGAGAGGGATTGTCGGATATCACCGGAACTTTTCTACTTCACTAGTGGCGATACCGTTCACGAAATGAGAGTAAGGGAATTGAAAATTAAAAAATCCACGATATCATGATTGAAAAGAAATAAATCTGAAACGCTCCGGAATTTCTCGAGTTCAGTATTGGAAAATGTAAGAAATTACGATGTAATTTTCGTAGAACAAGTGGAATCTCTCAGATAATTTCCGATTTATTACGTGTATTCCAACTCACAGGTTCTTACTTTAGCTTAATAGGTACACGTTCAGAAGATCAAAGATGGTAGACAGGACCCTTTAACCCCGACACTGTGATACGTTTGAATGGGTAGAACGCAAAAGCCTGAGGTATGCTCGAAAGATTGAGAGTTACCTAGAGGTTGTACTCGAGTACAAGATGGACCTTCATTATGCAGGCCAATCGAGCCCTAACTTGCAGCCACTGTCGTCTTACCGCAGTCTTGTTAATTATGTAGTTGTCGGGTTCTGAAGAAAAACTTGACATTATGCGCACACTCCAAAGCCTTCAGAACCTCCGAGCCGTTTAACTAAGTGCTATCTCAACTATCCGATACTTGCCTTTATTCAATTATAAATTTCAATTACCGAAGATTGCGCAGGTGGAATTTTTGAACAAGTCAATTAAAAAGCGGACTAAATGATCGATGAAAAAGTTGATTGAATGATTCGAGTAGTTATTAACGAGATCCACTTCTCCACGAGTGAATGCCTGCACCACAGGGACAACGAACGGTATCACTTGAAAGATTCAATGAAGAATACGGGGAGCAACCTCATTAAGTCAGACGACTCATTAAATGGCGGCTGCGACGCTCGTTAAGTCCTTGTAATTATTCATCTTGTGCTCATTGTTTCGTGAAAATTCATTGTTTCGTCCGAGCGATAAACTTATTCAACTTTCTGCATGAGATTGGCATCAGTCATTCCCACCATCTCGGAATTTTTAGGGAATCCCCGTTTTATTTCACCCGATGTAATGTCTGAATTCTCTGCGACGCAACTTAGCAACGAAAATATTTGATCTGCGTCGTTTAAACAAAATCCAATATTTGAGAAGGCAATAAAGAAGGCTGAAGATAGTTGTAATCATTCCGCTATCTTATCGGTGACAATGATTGATAACATTGATTATATTTTACGCCATGATCAATCAAGCGACAACCTGCAGACATCTCCAAATATCCACTCTGGGTCAAATTCCCTCGGTCATTTCGATCGTTGAAGGATCATCGAAGGGTCCTGTACCAGTTTTTCAGCCTGCCTTTACAAAAAATACATCGAATACATTTATTTCGGGAATAGTAACGAAAATCGGGGGATTCTGTACCCCAAAGTCCACAAACCACAAACATGTCGATCCTAAACTGTGACAACACGTGTCGCCACTCAATTAAATGCAAATTTCGACAATTCATCTCGGGTCCTCACACGTCCCTTTCAAATATTTTCATGATTCAGAAAAGTCTCCGCAATATTGATATTGATGACGTTTATTTAGAGAAAAAGCCCATTGGAATTTCACTGAAAGTTTATCCAAAAAAATGACACTCCGGGTTCGTAGATATCCAAACTGTCTAGACTTCCTCCGAACTCAAGATAATAGTAAGATAATTATTATCAATTGACGTCTTAATTCCAGATTTATTGCATGCGTGTTGGACGAGATTATTCTATCTCCGCGAATGTCAATCAAACGCATGGTACGAGTATCGATTGATAGTGAGTGCACAATGAGACGGAGAAAATTCGACTGCCATTTGTAACGAACGAAGTGAACTGTGAACCGTCTTAGAAATATATCAAATAAATGTATAAATAGAGAATAAATACAACAATATATTAAATAATGAAATTTAATTTGTCGATTGTTCGGGATGTAATGACAATTATTCTCCTCGCCTTATTAAATCATGTTGAAAGTGACGTGATAAATCTTGAAGGGAGAGGTCTCCACAGACTGCCCGATAATGTTTCTCCAACCGCTTACGAATTATGGCTGTACCCTCATCTGAAGTTGAACAACTTTACGTATGAGGGTCGGGTAATTATAAGCCTCTACGTCAGTGCAATGACAAACTCCATTACCCTAAACGCAGATGGATTAAATATCATGGAAGAAAAGAGCGAGTTCCGCCAAGGGAACAATACGATCCCTATTTTTCTCCAAGAATTGGACGAAGAGAAACAGTTCTACACGATCTCACTGATTTCCAGGATCGGAATCGGCAATTACACCTTGCGACTGGATTTCAGTGGAGAAATACGAGACGATCTCTTTGGATTTTATCGAAGTGCCGTCAAAGACGGGAGCAAAACGAGGTATGATTGATGCTGAGCGGATCTGGTGGGTGGAATGACTATTTGGATGGAGATTAGGGGACATCGGATAGGATTAACAATTGGGGGTTTAGGAAGATTGATAATACTGGGATGTTTGATTTACTCCATTTCAGATGGATGGGCGTTACACAGTTCTCACCAACTTTTGCCCGTGCCGCTTTTCCTTGCTTCGATGAGCCACACTTGAAAGCAAACTTTCAGCTCCATCTTGGACATTATAAGGATGAGAGAGTCACATCAAATACGTATCCACTCGTCACCACCCCGACGTATAAAAAAATATTTTTCAAAATCTAAAACAGCTCTTAATCTAGTACATTTATTTAAAAATTGAATATGAAATATACTCCATTAAAAACCAGGAGTGGAATCAAATTTATTCAAAAAAGAAAATTTATTCGAAGCCGAATTGCTAATTTATCAATATATTTTTATTGTTCAATTTTTTTTTGTAGAGATATTGCTAATTATACACTGACGACAATGTTGAGAACACCGAAAATGTCGACGTACCTTTTTTGCTGGTCAATTCACAATTTCGAGTACGATGGATTATCGAATATTTCATTCTTTGGAATTTGGACGAGAAGTTCAATGAATGGAAAAGGCAATAAAGCTCTAGAAAACGGGTATAAAATATATTCGAGCCTTCAGTCATGGATGAATATTGGAAATCCCGTGAATAAAGTAGTACACCTCGCCGTACCTGATTTCCACTTTTCCGCTATGGAAAACTGGGGAATGATAACTTTCCGCGAATCTGCTCTTCTCCACGGGGAGAACGTGACCTCCACGGAGACAATTCACAAGGGATTGACTACAATGGCTCATGAATATGCTCACACATGGTTCGGCAATCTAGTGACTCCGAAGTTTTGGACAGTCGCGTGGCTGAAGGAGGGTTTCGCTACTTATTTCGCTTATATCGCAAGATCACTTGTTGATCCTGGCCTGAGATCCATGGATCTATTCGTCGTTGAAAATCTGGAGAGCGCACTTGCCGAGGATTCCAGAAAGCATCTGAGAACTATGAACGGAAAAGATGTTAGTGACAAGAATAGTTCTCTGAGTATCATGGATTTTGTTCCTTACAAAAAAGGTTTTCCACTTTCCTCCACTTCAACAAATACTTCACAATGATTTTATTTTATTCTCGAATAATTTCCCAGGTTCCTCCGTGATTCGAATGATTGCAGAATTGATGGGCAACCAATCATTCCAAACGGCGATGAGATCTTACTTGAAGGACAGGTAACAGTAATTCCCAGACCCACTAATTATTTCTAATTATTTCCCAGAGTGACCGACTTACAGATCCTACGACTACGGTACACCATCACTGCTTTACGATCATCTTCGAAGGTATCCGGATGGATTGGTAACTCCAGTTGACTTGGGAGAAGTGATCGAAAGTTATGCCAATCAGCCGGGCTATCCTCTCATAACTCTGACCAGAGATTACTCTTCAAATTCTCTGACTATCAGTCAACAAAGGTTTTATCAAAATCCGAATTATGGGTACAGAAAAAATTCTACATGGTGGGTTCCATTGAGTCTAACAACTCAATATGGATTTGACGCCGATGTATCAGGTTTTGGCGCAATTTGGCTGAGAAAAAATCAAATGACAATAACGATAAACGTCGGGAATATTAGTACAGGAGGATGGATCATATGTGACCGTCACAAAGTTGGCTATTATCGTGTGAATTACGACCCACAGAATTGGAACATGTTAACAGAACATCTAGTGTCCGGAGGGTGCGATAGGATTAATCAGGTGGCACGAGCAACTATCCTTGATGATGCTTTCAATTTAGCCCGTGGTGATTACATTAATTACAGTGTACCATTTCGTCTTGCTCGGTATCTCATTGACGAAACCGAGTACGAACCTTGGCTAGCGGCAATCAACTCCTTCGCTTTCTTGAATAAAAATTTCCAACATCTGCCCGTCCTTCGCGATTCTATACAGGTGCGGTAATCAAAGTTTCCCGAATTCCATCGAAATTTCACTTGGTACTTTCCAATGAAACTTTCGGTGATGTTTCTCGTAGGTTAACGTTTGCCTCAATAACTTCTAGGATTATGTGAGACGTCTGTTGGTGCCGATTTATCAATCTTTAACCTTCACTGCATCAGGCCCAAATTCACTTCGGGTGAAACTTTTCCGACAGCTGATACTATCCACTGCATGTGCTATGGGCAATGAGCATTGTTTAAATACCGCGAATTCACTATTTGAAAAGTGGATTAAAGATCCTTCGGAGAGGTAACTTGTAATCAAAATACGATTGTTATCTCCTTCATTCGATTTTCGAGATTTTCCATTTCAGGATTGATGCAGATATGAAAAGTATTGTTTATTGCGTTGGAATTAGGAGAGGTGGGGAATGGGAGCGAGTGTTTGAAAGATTTTTGAGAGAGGAATTACATACCGAAAAGGAGGTATTGATTGGTGGACTCGGCTGCACGAACAACTCTGCTTTCATTACACGGTACATATATCTGTTTATAAACTGTAAAAAAAACATTCTAAATTTTTATTTCTTCCAATGAAATCTTTAAAAAAAATTTTACACTTCGGGGGGAATCGAATCCGAAAATTTTTCGACTTTTCCGAAGTTGCAGGGAAAATGCTCCATTCAAAATAAATATGAAATTTAAATTGTTACAGGTATTTAAATTTCATGATGAATGATACTGCGCAATTACCTAAGCAATACCGTTTGAAGATAGTGGAGTCCGTCTTGAATGGGAACCCGGAGAATGTAGAATATACTCTAAATTATCTATCCAAAAATGTGCGAAAAATCATAAACATGTGAGTAATCCACATATTACTGCGCTCTGAATTCAATATTTCATATTCACTCCTTTTTCAGAAGAGGCTTTCCTTTTCTGGATAAAATGATCGCTGCAATCGCAGATCGAATCACATCATTAAAAAACCTACAAGCGGTACGTTTCTAATATTTATCCGAGTATTATCCTGTTTTATCTCTGACTAACAGTCTGAAACTTTTCAGTTCTTATCAATTATCGATAACAACGCAAGTGTTTTGAAACCGTCAGAGGGTAAGGCGACGAAAGCAATTGCTGATATTCAAGCGAATCTTCTGTGGATACAAAAATATTCACCGATTATTGAAAAAGTTATTAAAGAAATCATGTAAACTACTTGTAATATTTTAATTGCTGTATTAAATTGATGAACAATTTCCAAATGCTCGATTATCTTCAGGATTTACATGTTGAGCATTATTCACAATTCACAACTCATTTTGTGAGGGCGGGAGAAATATTCGAAATATACTCGAAATATCCGACTCAATCCTTGAATTTTTTTCCTTGATTAAATCAATAATCTTATCGGTTAGAGCTCCGACGGAAAAATAGATATCATATCTTCCCTCAAATATGTATTGAGACATAATTTTTTCTTGCGAATTTCGGTGAATGAATGCATTAAATTTTTATTCAATTTTTGGCGACTTTCACATCATGTGAAGTAATCATGTGAAGTCCACATTGTTTTATGGAAATAAAAACAATACATTTGTTTGTACAACAATATTGTCAAATTTATTTTAACGAGCATTGCCCAGATAATGATGATGAAATTATCTTTTGTGAGTATGTCACAGCAATTGGTGCTCAGTCTTCACTCATGATAATTCACTCGTCATAATTTTTCATAACAGGTGAGTCTTTGTTTATTTATCATCTGCGGCATTTATTCTAAAAGAGTTGTGAAATCCAGCAAATGCAATTCGAGTTAATTTAATAGCCACTGGTTTTTTGATTTTTAAGGGGATCCACCCGAAAGATATTGGGTAAAAGATAAAAACGCCTGAAATAGATTGTAATCACGATAAGCGCTGCAATTTCGTTCTAAAGGACGGCTTCTCGGAAATTATCAAAAAATTTATCAAGACCATTCGACCGATTTTTCTACTGAACAGATATCGAGTACCTAGAATTTTTTCTCTCTAAAAAAATTGGGGATTTTGGTGATTCGACTCACGAATCTTTCAAAATCATAATTGAATCACGTGAAAATGACTAAATAGTATACACTATTTCCGTACTAGATGATGAGATTGAGTCCATCAAATCTTTTCTTTGATTCTCGTTTTTGTTTAAATGTTCAGGAAAGAGTCGGGTAAAAAATAAAATGATTAAAGCCTCTCTGTGCGTTCAGTACCGCGTAATTGGTATTTCCGAGTGATGAGAAATTATCACGTTAATCATAAAGTGCGTCTCGAGAACATTCATTTTCGGTTACCTTATCTCGTTACGAGTTTATCACAATGCGATATGAGAGATTGATATCGAAATACCAATTCGGTAGAATTTTCAAGTGAAAATGGAGGACGAAGTCGAAAATCAACAACCATGACACAATTATATCGGAAATGTTGAATTTTGGATATTCACATCCCTTTGGTATTTACGTATCTGAATTCCAAAGAAATTTACCGATTCTTAATTAATGCTGCTTTTTCGGTACTTACACCTCATACAAAGGGTAAAAATTAAAACAGCTATCATAAAAATGATTCGGTTTCATCATTGACTGTAACCGAATGGTTGAGACGATTGAGACTCGTAGATAAATAAAAATCAAAGACAGTATCAAATATGATTATGAAAACTTGGAAAGAATACCTTGTTTGATAGAATAACCCAGATAAGAGCGATCTTCCGGCGTACAATATACGAGTTCAGACACTGATAAGATTATCTCAGCTCTAATTTTGTTGATATGAATGTCTCTAAAATGCTTATAAAACCCAAGTGATTCTATGATAGGTTTGCTCAATCCACTGTTGGAGAGTTACGTGCAGTAGTGATAACTTGATCGTACATTTTTGGATTGTTCATCGGAACGTAAGTATAATGGTATCTTAGACAGACCGTTAAAAGTGTAAATTGCATCCAATAAATTGAACTTCTGGTGAATCTAGGTGTAACGAAATGGCGTATCTTCTATCACTCCTCGCGGCCATTGTCGCGGTGACTTGCGCAGGAATTATTCCGCCATCAGAAGATGAATTTTTAGTTACTAAAGCTGCACCTGAGGCTCCTGCCAACCCTCTGGACTATCGACTGCCCACCAATGTCGTTCCTACTACCTATGAAATTAAGCTCGCACCTGATCTTGAAAATTTCACTTTTAAGGGTGAATCGAAAATAATGCTCTCTGTGAAAAAGGCGACTAAACAAATCGTCTTGCATGCGAAGGATTTGAAAATCACTTTGGCAGTACTGCATGTGCTAAATGGGACAACCCATATTTCAAATGTAGCAACAACCGCATTACCCATCAACACGACCAATGATTGGCTTGTCATCAATTTAATAGAACAATTAAATATTACCGGAACTTACCAATTGGAATTACACTACGAGGGTACATTGAATGAAGACTTGAAAGGCTTTTATCGTAGTTCTTATATTGATGATTACGGCAAAAAAAGGTAATTTCTTCATTTCTCATGATTACGTATTGTATTGTAATTATACAATTTTTAACTTACAACAGGTGGTTAGCGACGACGCACTTTGAACCCACGTCAGCGCGTCTTGCATTCCCCTGTTGGGATGAACCACATTTGAAAGCAAAGTTCACCATTTCGATCAAGCACCCGAAGAAACTCCACGCCCTTTCCAATTCGCATTTAGTGTCAATTACTCCTGATGTAACTGATAAAACAAGCTTTATAACACAATTCGCGGAAACACCAGCAATGTCGACTTACTTAGTGGCTTTCGTCGTCTCAGATTTTGAATCTTTATCGAATAAGGAAGGAACGTTCACCGTATGGGCAAGACCAAATGCTATCCGACATGGTGAATTCGCCTTGGATGTCGGTGAAAAAGAGCTGAAAGAACTAGAAAAAGCGACCAATATAGCATTCTCTACTCATGGATTCACAAAAATGGATTCGATTGCCATTCCTCAATTTGCTGCTGGCGCCATGGAAAATTGGGGTCTCGTTACGTACAGGTAATAGAAGAGAGTAATAAAAATCATTAAGTGAATTTCAAGGTAAATATTTTTAATTCCACACGGATGATATTCTAGAGAGTCAGCACTTCTGGTTGAAGAGGGTGTGACAACGACTACAGCTAAAGTGAATGTTGCTTCGACTATAAGTCACGAGTTGGCTCACCAGTGGTTTGGAAATTTAGTCAGTCCACAGTGGTGGCAATACACATGGTTGAATGAGGGTTTTGCCACTTATTTCCAATATATCATCACAGACTTGGTAATGGGCCTTACTAAATAGCCAACATTATGTCCAGTTAAACGTCTTTTATTGAGAAATATTTTTAATGTAGATTGAACCGACGTGGAGAATGAAAGAACTTCAGGTGGTTGTAGCTCTTCAAGATCGTGCCTTTCCAAGTGATAGTGTCAATACAACAGTAGACATGAATCACGATGTGAGCAGTCCAACTGAAATTAGCGCCAAATTCAACAGCATCTCTTATCAAAAGGGTACGTAAAGATTTATCGGTTGCTCGTATGTTTTGATATTATTATGATTTTAATTTTATTCAGCCGGTTCCATCATCCGCATGATAAATCATGTGTTCGGAGAAGAGAAATTCAAAAAAGCTCTGCAAGCATATTTATCGAAATAGTAGGTATTCAGTACTCAGAATGATAAAAATCGTTCCAGTTCATTCTGAATGGATATAATTATTTGATTATTAACTTCAATTTGTAGTAAGTCTGGCACCGCAACATCTGACCAGTTGTTCGCGGAATTCGCAACGGTATCTCCAACTCTGCCAGGAACGCAAATAAAACCACAAGTTATTCTCAATGATTGGGCAACTACACCAGGATTTCCATACATCACTGTCACGAGAAATTATACAACAGGAAAAGCGACGATTAAACAGGAACGTTACCTGTACAAACCAGAGGAGAAATACAATGAAGTCTATTACGTGCCGATTAATTACGCCTCGGAGAAAAAAGATTTTGAGGATACAAGCGTAAACATTTGGTTAGAAAAGAACAAGCCTATTGTCGATCATGATCTGAAACTGGCGAAAGACAAATGGGTTATCTTCAATAAACAGCACTTCGGTAATATAAAAAGATTGATCAACCGTACAATGCGTGACATTCAAAGTCTTCTTCATTTCTTATTCTGTCATTTTAAATAGGATACTATCGCGTCAACTACGATGAGAATAATTGGAAACTCATTACCGAGTTTTTGAAGACTAAGAATTACACGGATATTCATGTACTCAATCGAGGACAAGTAGTTGATGATGCACTGAATCTTGCGAGAATTGGAAAACTGACCTACCGAACCGCATTTGGTCTGCTGGACTTCCTTAAACAGGACTTCGATTACGTACCGTGGCATTCTGCACTGACTGGTTTTGCTTATTTGCAGAAAACTCTGAAACAAAGTGCGATCTATAACAGCTTCAAGGTATTGCTACTGAATCCAATCAGATGATATTCAAATACCATCTCTTAATATCTCGATACTTTAACCTCGTTGATTATTATCTGCAGCAACATCTTCTTGCGTTGTTGGGACCCGTCGTGAATAATGTCACCTTCTACGAATCGCCAGCGGATGGTTATTTGCGAAAGCTTTTGAGGGTAAAGGTCTTGGAATCCGCGTGTGCACTTGGATCCAAACCATGCAGAGACCAGGCATCAAAAAATGTTACAGACTGGCTCAAAGATCCCAAAGCATACCCGTAATTTTCAAATTTCATACCCTTCAGCCACATAATTTCTGTTTTAATTAATCAAATAATCATCCATATGATTCAATATCTTGCAGACTTTCGCCTGATCTAAAGGGCGTCGTTCTCTGCGCGGCTGTTCGCAATGCCGATCAGGCACTGTGGAACAAACTCTACGCCAAATATTTAGCTGGTGAGGAGAATGCTCTCCTCAGGGCCCTAGCATGTTCCTCCAATAATAAAATCTTGGAGGGATACTTGACCAAAGCCCTGAGTGCATCCGTTAGTACCGAGAATCGTGACGAAATTTTTTCGGCTGTCACCACCAGTAGCGAAGAAGGTGTTAATAACGTAGCACTTGATTTCGTTCTTGCAAATGCAAATAAAATCTACGAACTGTAAGCGAATAATCATCATGTATTTATGAAGTGATGATCAAAATTATAATCTTCATCTTTAATTTTCCAGATCTGGGAACACCACCAAAAGCCTCAAGACGTACGTCACCAATATTGGATCTCAAATCAGTAGCGCAGCACAACTTAAAAAGGCAAGCGGTTCCGTCTGAATTATTAAGGAATTAAGATTTATAATTAATTAATAATAATATGTCTCATTTCAGTTGAAGGAGACTACGGATGAACGCGTCAAGAGTGTATTCACGGACGCTATTAATTATGCTCAGGAGTCCCTCGACTGGTTAAATACGCACGAAAAACAATTCACGGAATATTTCAAGAAAACTAATTCAAACAACGGAGATGGAAATTCAGCTGCAGCCGTCACCTGGTCTGCTCTCTTATTTACACTGTCATTTACAGTGTCTCAATTGTATTAAAAAATCAGCCAATCATGTCACAAATGTTTAGATATGTACGTAAACAACGAATTCTGTAAATAAAGTGAATAAAGTATGATTTAACATTTGATCTGGTGGAGTCACTTCATTTACTTGAATTACTCGTCAACAATTTTTCCCACCGCCCTTGCGGCTGCAAATGAAACCATCTGAGAGAACATTGAAACAATGAAAAAACTATAACTATTCATAATAACGAAATAAATGGTGATATAGTTGAGAGTTACTATAATTTTGGTAATTAGTTCAGCTGAGGTAATAGTTCATGATATACAGACGATGTATTATTTCAGAGGAAAAACAAAACAAAAATATAAATTAATTACATACCGTAGAATTACCGGGTGTTTCAGATTGATTAATTATCGTGGATCTCACTATAGATAGGATTTCTGAAATATTTTCACTCTGGAAATTCACGTTTGTGAGATCGTGCACGAGGAGACCTGAACAATGACTGATGGAATAGAGTCCCATATTCTTTACTGAGAGTCTTCTCCCGAATACGCTAATTATGGTCTCACGCTTAACGCTTTAATATACTAATAATAAACGACACCCATTTTGCATCGACTCATCTGATTTCCGAGAACGGAAATGGAGAAATAGCCTTTCTCACCATCATGAACGGTAGCTAGGTCACAGATGCATTTCATTCTCGCACGCGTCGAACTGCCATTTGATAAATTAAAAAAAATTCAAAGCCCTAATCTGATAATAAAGGAAATGAATGATAATATAATGGGAATAAACACCGAAATCGAGAGAACAACTCGAGTAGATTATTTCAAATTAATTATTCGCTACTGGTGCAATCATAAATATGATGACAAAATTAATTCATAATTTATCCTCATGATGCAAAATTTTTTGTTACAAAACGCGGAACCATGGCCGCTGCCAATGAGTCAAGGTTACAATAGTGTTTATTCCGTAATGATAAATAATTCAATCGGTAAGTTTGAATTTTTCACTGTTATTGCCAGTGCGACTGAATAATGGATATTTTCCAACGGTATCATAATCCACACATTAATGCAATAAATAGTTTTATATCGGAAGTACGCGTTCAGTCGAGTGATTCTTCATGGATAATATCAGAATCGATTGTACTGAGTATCCACAGTATCTGTTGTGTTTGCCAATACACGATGAGCTCCTGCATATTCATGGATTTTTGAGAAGGTCAATGAATAGGTCTTTCGAATTTTGAGCTGCAGTCTTCATTCAACTTTCGTAGCTCGAGTATTTCACGAAGCATTTCTCACTCTTCAATCTTCACTCAACTATGTCATAGAACTCCGAAAGGATGGAAAATCAATTTATCAGGATTTTATTACTAATCATCACCGTAATATCGCCATCGTCACCATTGTACAGCCCCACGGAATATGAGGCTCAATTGGTAGCCAAAGTTATTGGGTATCGATTACCCACTAATACAGCTCCAAGATTATACATCTTGAAATTAGAGCCTCACATTGATGATAAACTCTTCACCTTTGATGGCACCAGTAGCACTGTCTTCGAGGTGCTTGATCCGACATCGAGTGTAACTTTACATGCCGCTGCGTCAATGAAAATTGATGAGACGTACACCAACCTCGTGCATAGTAATGGTACAGAGGAAAAACCTGTTTCTCAGAAATACAACTCAAATCTGCAATTCTTTAATCTTCGATTCTCTAATGAATTGAGACTGGGAAATTACACGTTGAAACTGAAATGGAAGGGAGATGATTCCACCTGGTTACGAGGATTCTACAGAGCATCGGATATTAATGATTACGGAAAATCTCAGTGAGTAATTCATGATTTGTACCGCAATTTTTAATATGAATTCTCCGTAAAAAATTATTACATGAACCACAACATTTTGTGATGAATGGTAATTTTCAGGTACATGGTGGCGACGCATTTTGAGCCAGTAACAGCTCGAAATGCTTTTCCCTGTTGGGATGAGCCGGGTGTTAAGGCTGAATTCGAAATATCTCTGAAGCATTACGACAATTATACAGCGCTCTCGAATATGCCTGTGAGAGAGGAAACATCGAGTGAGGATGGAAAGGTATGGACGCACTTCCAGAGGACTCCAGTCATGTCAACTTACTTAGCAACATTCGTTGTGGCTCCTTACACCAGTGATACAAATAGAGATGGTAATATGACGTTCTGGGTACCGTCGAATAAACTGGGGTCCATCACTGTTAGTTTGGAATTGAGTCCCATGGTTGTCGATGCGATGCAAAATTATACCGGAATTCCTTACTCCCTGCCTAAACTGGATGCTGTTTTCGTTCCTTCGTATTCCTCTGGAGCAACCGAACACTGGGGTCTCATCAGTTACGTGTAGGTCCCATATAATGAAATTTTATTATCAAGTGACGTATTTTCGCATCATAATGGGACGTTTTATTATTTATTTTCTAATTTTCTCCAGGAATTACGTCTTATTTGAGCCAGGTGTTAGCACACATCGACAGCTGATAGCGACTGTATCAATAACAGCTCATGAAATTATTCATCAGTGGTTCGGAAATTTGGTGACTCCTACGTGGTGGAGTGATCTATGGCTGAGTGAAGCCTTTGCTGTTTATCTGGCACCTAAAATTATCGATAAGGTGTTCATTATGAGTTATTTATGGATTTCGTAATTGGTTGGGTGCATTACAATTTGTTTTTCGCTCCAGATTATACCCAATTTCCACGCAATGGATCTCTTCGTCACTGAAACTGTTAATCGTGTATCATTTGAAGCAGAAAAACACAACAGTGATCCCCGTCCCATCAGATGGGTGCCTGATTCTCCGGAGGAAGTTCGTCGCATGTTTTCTTCTGTAACCTATCGAAAAGGTCAATATTTCATTACCCACGGGAGAAAAATCCTTCATCAATGCGGAAAGCAAAATTACGTACTATCTAGTACCAGTATTCAAATAATATTGAATGTTTTATGTTCAGGAGCTGCTGTACTTCGAATGCTGGAGCACATGATAACCGAGGAGGCATTCCATCTGGGCATAATGAAATATCTCGATAAACAGTAAACCAGGAAGCATGATGGGTAATTAATCGAATGAATATTGGAGCTTATGCAAAATATTTATTTTCAGCCAATACGGGTCAGTAGAAGCCAACGATTTATGGCGAAGTCTTCAGGACGGATACAATGAGAAAAAAGTGGCCCCTCATTTGAATATAAAGGAAATCATGAATCCGTGGGTGGAGCAGACTGGATATCCACTCCTAAATGTCACACGAGATTATAAAACTGGATTCACCAGTATAACTCAGAGCAATGCCTTGGATCCAGAATCTGAAAATCTTTGGACAATTCCCATAAATTATGCAACAACATCACGACCTGATTTCTCTTCAACTCGCCCGATGCATTTTATGCGACGTGCAAACGAGAGTTTCACGATTTATGGAATTGATAGAAATGATGGGATAATTATGAATATTCAGCAAACAGGTATGAATCGTAATCTTGTACTTTCTGAAAGTATCAATTTGTTCATTTAAAGTAACAAAAAAAAAATGCAGCCAATACCCAGTGTCTCAATAACTGAAGATTCATATTTTTAGGTTTTTATCGAGTCGATTATGATTGGCAAAATTGGGAGCGTATCGTTGCATATCTGAATTCGGAAAATTATCACAAAATTCATGTTCTAAATCGTGCCCAATTGCTTCATGATGTCGCCTATTTTGCGGATAAAGATGAACGCTATTATGAACTATTGCTGGATATGGCGGCTTATCTACGCAGAGAAACAAACTTCCTGCCTTGGGCGGCTATTTCCGCAGTGATGGACCGATTTGCAATGCCGTTGATGAATACATCCACCTATGAGTTCTTCAGAAGTTTTATGTTACATCTTATGAATAATATAGTAGATCATGTTGGATTCGAAGAACGCGTACTGGTCGATGACAATTTAGTGGCTCTGACGAGGGCTGAGCTTTTCACGTGGGCATGTGCTTTCGGTCATGAAGGATGCAAAGCCATAGCTCCAATTAAACTCATGGACATTCTCCATGGAAAACTCTCGGAATCGTACGCACTTTCAACTGCATTTGTCATTTTAAATGAAAAAACTTGAAATTTTTAAGACAAAAGTGCCATGACATTTCCGTAGAATTCTTCATTAACGAATCGCTTGAATTTTTTAATATTCCCTGAATTTTCAATGTCTTGGAAATTTCATTGTATTTAACGTTGAATTTTCATGATGAGCATGACAATTCAAGTTTCCATTGAAAAATCAATCATCATGCGATAAATCATCATTCAACATGAATAAACCAATTTTCTTGAATTTTCAATAGAGATGAGAAATAGAGTGATCATCTTCAAATGAAAGTCATCCAAACTGATATATTTGAAACGTTCGAAGACTTTGTGATTAAAATTTCAAGGAGTTTTTAATGAAATGTGAAGAATGATTATAATTTCAATCTTATGGTTTACCCTGCGTTTTAGGGTTAGGAAGGAGAATCCATGGATTTACTGTACTGCCCTAGCTAATGCCAACGAAACCCTGTGGGATCTTGTGATGAACGCCCATTGGGCAAATCCTGTGGAACACAATGCTTTCCAGTACCTGGGGTGTACAAAAAATCATCATTTGATTAAAAAATATCTCACTCTAGCTTTTGCAGAAAATGCCACTCTTTTGTCCAACGATGTGGGCGAGGCATTGCAATCCATGATTATGGGACCAGTGGATAATTACAACTTTGGGCTTGACTATTTTATTGAAAACATTGATTCCATACGACAGTAGTGAGTATTTTCGATACACGACTGTTTAAAATGAACTGAAAAACCCGTAACACAATGTTCACATTACAGTATGAATGAGAGAGGTGCGACTTACATTATCCAGAAACTTTGTGATGGCTTTGCAAGAGGAACTAAAACCCTGAGCCAATTTGAAAAGGTAAAACTTGAGGCCTGCTTTATTTTCTTTATTCTCTCCATTCGGATGTATCTTGTTGTTTCAGTTGACAAAATTTCTCAATAAAGAAACTGAAAATGGAAAAATCAGCAATATCAGGGACTTCATTGACCTAGCAAGAGAATCCATGAGGACTTCTGAGAACACAGTGGCATTATTCAACTCCATTTTACGAAAAAAACCATATCTTGTAAATTTCGTAGAGCATTAGAGTGTAAATATGGCGGTCAGCAGATTCCACCAACTGTAAATTCGGAATAATCAGAAATTTTTTTAATAAATGTACCCTTTTCTCATTATTCTCTTCTTACATTTTCCTCAGCATTTTTCACAGATCTTCCAGGATAATCTGATATAGTAGAATCCCGTTATTCCTTCCGGTTGCCCCACTAGTACTTCCGGACCACAAGATGTAAAGTTTAATTTTAGTTCAATTTCAAGTTGAAGTTTAAATTTCCGACAGCGATGTTTAGATTGGATTTACCCAAATTATCAAAGAAAATTCGCTCCGGTCGAATATTCTCGCCTCTTCGTTAACTGAAAGAGAAGACTCCAAAATGGCGTTAGAGTACGCGTCGAGCCGCTACAATTTAACCAGTATGAAATGTAATTACCGTAGTCAATAGGCCTTTAGAGACGGAGAACACAAATGCCTGCAGACGTTCCACAATACAACGGCGTTTCAAGCAGTTCAAGTGTTTCAATGGCACGAGAGTCGGTATGGAAGCGGACGAAAGCATATTTTCGCAGGTATTTCTATAATAAATTTTCCCTCCCCCAAAATCAACATCTAATCATCAAATTGGCAAATTAACTCGTAGAATGCGAGGGAAAAAGGTCGGCGGGTGGATCGCTCTTCTGCTTCTTTTGATATGCGGACAAGAAATCGAGGCTCATTCTCCCACTGATTGGCCCATTCGAGATACCTCTTCAATCAATATTATTGAATGTCCATATGACCATAAAATCGGAGACAATGTCATGACGTCGGGTCCTGCATTAAAAGGCGAGGCATGGGAAATGAATGGATTTTCTGATTTTAATCTGCGATCTGGATCGCTGGAGTTCGGTAAAGGAGACATCTGGGTGCAACCGTCTGATAGAGATGACGACAGGTACGCATAATCATTCTATTATTCATGATTTCACAAGTGATTCAAGTATTCCTATGTCCTCACATAATAGACTTGTTATGGAATTCCCACCGAAGTGGATAGACACTACAGATTTCGCACCAATAATATGCACAACGAGCCGCGCTACGCTGGGATAAACTAGACCTCGTAGCAGAATTCAATTCACCCCTTTAATATTTAAATTACGTTCCAGCTTGATTATGTCGGCGGAGAATTGCATCTGATAATAGGAAAATGTCTGCACATTTTTAAATCATTGAAAATATACACTAGTGTAGAAAATTAAATCGTGCGATTTATTAGAGTCGATATTTGATTGAATCAAATTAATAGGTGAATCGATGGACTAGTTTTTCGTATTATTTCCGCTTTTGTGGATGCAGTTTTCAAGGAAAAGGTAGTAGTAGAACAGTTGGTAACCCACGAATTATAAACATAATAAACTTCAATAAAAAATTGTTCCATCCAGTTCAAACATGATGAATAAAAAAAATATAAGCAATATTTATTGTTAACTTATTTACCTTCATCCCAGTCCTTCAAAATAATATAAAATAATGTAAAAGAGATTGACAATGAATGATTGTTTTCTTTGTCAATCTTTTACTCGTCTTTCTATTGGTCGATTGATCGATTGATTACTTCCATGATTACGAGGATGTCCGAAAATGCAATCTCATAGTATTGATAAAAATTTTCAAATGTTCTTTTTCAATCGTTTGGCTAGAAATGAATTCAATTTATTTTTTAAATCAGTCTTACGATGACAGCAAGTATCTAAAGTGTCTTATAACCTTGTTACAGTCACGTGGTATTCCTACAATTCGACTATTATGAAATGTAATTACCTAATTCAATAGATCTTGGAAGAGGAAGGTCATAAGTGGCAATAGTTGTGTGCCAGAGTGCAATTGTACCTCGCACGGTCCGAACACTTGGTCTATTGCACTCGAGTTGATGGTGCGCACGTCAGCTTGGAAACGGACGAAAGCATATATTCGCAGGTATTTCACGATAAATTAATATCTCATTTCGGTCTCAAAATTCACTTGATCCACTGACCACTTCCATCTTTCACTCGTTCCAAAATTTCACTTTCTCCCGATTAATCATCGCCAATTCGATCGCGAACTCGTGCAAAAAAAAAAGATTAGTACGACTATTCAAAGACCCGTGACGCCATTTTGTCGCAGCATACGATGATGCACTCTGAGATTCATTTGACACTGAGAGGTCATCCTGTAATTCAAATTGTTTGCTTCTGTAATCCAATTCTAGGATGCGGGGCAATAAAGCGGGAGGATGGATTGCTCTTCTGCTGCTTTTAATTCTCGAAAAAGTGAGTGCAGCGGAATCAACCCCACATGCCAGTGCTGATTATCTTCTTCCAAAAATTTCCGCTCCATCCGCATACGAAATTAAAATCGAACCGCACATTATTCCGGAACATTTCACTTTCGATGGAGAAGAGAATATCGCACTTAGCGTCTTCAAAGAGTCCCCGAATATCACTCTCCATGCGCATTCGAATCTCGTCATCGACGAGGATGCTACAGTTTTAACCTGGAAAAATAACAAGTTCGCAAAACCGAAGGCTCATATTAGAAAAGAGGGCTGTGATGTCTTGACACTGAATTTCGAGCCAAAAATTGCGCCAGGAAATTATACATTGCATTTCAAATTCACCGGTAAGATTACCAATGGCACCGATGGCGTCTTCAGGTCGTCCCACAGGAATGATAAAAATGAAAGAGTGTAGGTGCAAATTGTATCATATATATTAATCATTTCATTGGATTTTACCTAATTAATGAGTAATTCCGTGACAGGTGGCTCATTGCGACTAGATTCTCGCGAATTTTCGCACGCCAGGCATTTCCTTGCTGGGACGAACCGGCTTTTAAGGCAACATTCAATCTGTCTATCAAGCATTATTCCAACTATACAGCGGCATCTAATATGCCTGTCCAAAGGAAAATAGAGACTGGCGATGGAAAAGTATGGAGCAGCTTTCAGATCACCCCGAAAATGTCAACGTACGCGGTTGCATTCGTTATCTCTGATCTCGGATGTTTCTCTAATGCAAATCAGCTGTTGCAGACATGCGCTACTCAGCAAGCCCAATCGGGTTTGAAGTATGTCCAGGATGTCCAAGAAAAAGCCCTCGCTCTGTTCAATCACTATACGAACATGTCGTATGCTTTACCGAAACTCGACAATTACGTTTTACCTGACCAACGGCGAATTGCAGCCCCGGAAAATTGGGGTCTCACCGTCGATCGGTAAAGATAATCTCAATTTTAACCATTCATGTTTGAATTCACGTGCACAGGTCGCATAGTTGAATTTTAAAAAAATATTTAATGGGTAAGTCAGTGGTGTTTGTAACAATTAACAATTATAATTGAGCAAACAATTTAATGGCAGGACATGAATTCATTTGACTCTTCCGTGAGTTTTTCGGAAAGATATCCGAAATTGAGGGAGATGGGAATTTTTTTTTTTGCTGTTCATGAACTTGGGAATTTTTTTATCGCAGAGAATCTCGAATGATCGTGAAGGACGATTTAGTGTCCTGGGAGAAAGAATATGCGACGCTGGTGGTGATTCATCGAATGGCTTATCAGACAATTGGAAACTTGGTCAGTCCAGCCTGGTGGACAGACGTTTGGCTGAATGAAGGGCTCGTCCAGTACTTGGGGCTCTATTTTAAAAATCAAGTGATTTTTCTGTTTATACTCTCCAGAAGAAATTGAATAGGAGGAAAAATAAAATCATTTCGATTCCAGATGCACCCAGAGTGGGATTCGATAAACATATTTGTTTCTGATACAAGTCTATCGAGAGATAGAAAAGACTGGCTGTCGTGGGAATCGGAGAAATTCGTGAATGAAAAATTCAAACTGCCTTCTTCGGCTTATATCAAAAGTGCAGCTGTGATGCACATGCTGTCTAACACTGTTTCTAAGGAAGTTTTCCAAGACGGTGTTCGTATTTACCTCAAGAAATAGTAAGCGTCTTTTGACTGACCGAAAACACCCGATAACACCCAGGCGATCTTAACTCACTATAATTCCATAATTCAATTCACAATTTAAAAGTAAATTCCACTTGGGATTTTCCACAGAGATGAAAAAGCGATAAATGAATGAATATTTCTTCTTACATTCTTGTGCATACGATGATGATAATTTTTTCTATTAAAAATTTATAGTCAATATGGAGTTGCAACACCAGATGACTTCTGGGGTGCCATGCAGGAAGCGTACGATAAAGCAGAAAAAAATCCAAAAATTAGTATCCGAGATATAATGAACTCATGGACGAGTCAAACTGGTTATCCTATGGTGAAGGTTGTGAGGGACTATGAAGCAGGAACAGTGACCATTCATCATCCCAATAAGACCCCGAGTCAGCCATCCTCTCGATGGTTCATTCCTATAAATTACGCCATCAAATCCCATCCGAATTTCGAGTCCACTGCACCCACGCATTGGTTGAAACCCGGAGATGGTCAACTTGTTATTGATGGATTGAACAAGGACGACTGGATCATTGTGAATATTCAGCAAACAGGTAGATAACTTCATTAATCCCAATGGAATGCTCCAGAAAATGTAGTCTCACATTTTGTCGTAAATACTCCAAGGTTACTATGGGGTTGATTATGATGACGCAAGCTGGGAGAAGATCATTCAATATCTGAATAGCAATGACTACGCGAAAATCCATGTTCTCAATCGAGCACAATTTATGCTTGACCTGTACCACGAGAAGAATTACATGACACTTTTAAATTTTACTTCATACCTCTCTCGGGAAACTGAGTTGATCCCATGGAGGGCTGCACGATTGGCGCTTTCTTATTTTAAACATCATCTATCGGATGACGCTGAGCTCCAGCAAAATTTGAATGTAAGTATTTGGATGGGTTGGAAAATAATATGGAAAAAATTCTCTTCAAATCCTCAAAAGTGAGAATTTCCCATTTTATCTTCATGTTGTCAGAGATTTTAGACGATTGAAACCGAAAATTTGCAAAAATTTCAGAAATACGTTGAAATTCTGATGAAAAAAGTAATTGATGAAGTTGGATTGGAGGATCGCTCGTCAGATTCATACCTGATGAAGAAAAAAAGATCCGATGTGATAAATCTCGCCAGCAAATTCAATAATACTAAATGTCTGGAGGCACAATCTAAGAAAGCATTAGCTCATTTGGAAGGAAGGCTCGTATAATCTTATAATTATAAATCCAATAATCATGCAGAGGTGTTTTATGAAATGATTATTTAATTACAGAGCTTATCCGAACCTTAGCTATTGGGAAATTTGTTATGGTGCATCAGATCCGAAAGTGGCATCTTTATTAGAAAAAAAAATAGAGGACGGAAACACTGAAGCATATTTCAGTGCTCGAAGCTGTTCACGGAATATCACGTTCTTTGATGAGTACATTAAGAAAATTGCAGCGAATCAGACAATCGCCAAAAATAATACACGACTAGCAATCATCGTTCTCGCTGAGAAAACCGTGGAGGGCTGGGAATGGGGAATTAATTACTATAGAGAGAATTTCGATCAGCTGCTAAAAACGTGAGTGCACTCACGACATAATATAATTTTAATTGGAAATCAACATTCCGATGTTCTTAAATTCATTAACGAACTTCATACTTGCATCTCCACTCAGTTGATTAAATTTAATATTCCGTGAATGACTTAATAATTTTTTTCCACAGTTATGGTCAAACCGATATGAATTTCATGCTGAACCATTATATTCAGAAAACTGCAACCCCTGAACAATTGGAAAAGGTAATACTCTTACAATACTCTTTGATTTTTTACGGGTGCAAATGAATGCACAGCAAATGGTCGAGATCCACGGATATTTCTGAATTCTATGGCCAGCTTAGATTCCCCAGTGAAATAGGAATCTTGGTTTTCAGATAACGGAATTTGTCGATAAACATCAAGATCAGTTTGAAGCATCGGTGAAAGAAGAACTTTCGAAGAAATCCAAGCAATTTGAATGGAGTAAAACAGTGGCTCGACTGATGAACGACTGGATAAAGAAGCAAATCGCTTCAATGGAGGAGAAAGCTTGAAGTGCGTAAGCTGCTTCGATGTAAACGATAGTAGTCTTTAAGAGTAGCACGCTCTAATATTGAGATTATGACAGTGTCTACTTCATACAGGTGTATAATAAATGTACAATAAAAAGTGTACGATTAAAATAAATAATCAATACTATTACCTGCATATTCGACTCATTCTATTTTTTATCTTACGAGAATTTATCGGGAATCCTTGAGAAAAAAAAACCACGGAAAAAATAGACCGATGTTATTTTTCCTGGTTTATGTCTTCTGCCTACCCTTTTTCGATATCTCATTGCGTCTTTATTAGACATTGGCATTTGTTGCGTAGTTTGTCCGATTTATCTTATCGTGATCTTTTACGCAAGATTTTTTGAGCCTCAGGAAAATCCTGGAACACCACTTCGCTGGGAATTAAGTTAAATACTACGATAAATTTTAATATAAATTTTTCTTTGTCGAGTTCGAATGTGCTATCTCGAATTTTCCAATTTTACGACACGGCTTATCGGCCAATATTGATGAATAAACTAGATAAAATCCGTGATATGAGTATTGTAATAATATTCAATTCAATCTGAATGACGATCGACTCCCGATGAGACCCTACAGAGTAGATAACACCTCTCAAATATTAATTGGAAATGTATCGTTGCGATAACGTGCAATCTGATTTCGTGAATGTAAATAATGCACGATCCAGAAGGCACTGTTAAGGTGAGAAAGTCATCGAAAATATGCAGTAGCTATCAGTATCGGTTTCATTGATTTCCAAACGCGTCTCCAATCACTTCCGTGAAAAAATTTAGCTGGTAATTGCATACAATAAACTTCACCTCTCCCATGTACGCTTTACTCAACATTAATGAATAATGCAGAATTAATTAAAATAAATTAGTGGATGCTCCAATTGACGCATTGTTATCAGTCGACTGAAAAGGTAAGTGATAATATTTATTTACCTTCAATATAAAAATAGCGGTGAAAGAATAGCCTGCAAAACAGAAAGATAAAGCTAAGCTCCGAGTATTTGAGGTGGAGTAGAAAAATTATTGTGAGATTGGCGCGGGGATTAAAACGGTTTGAAATCTATCATTATCGGCGCGCATAATCTTGTCTCACAGGTTCGTTCTGATAACACTAATTCAAGGAGAATAAGTGCGACATAATATCATTGCAAATGATGTTATATTCATTTGAAGATACTCGACACATTTTGATTGAATTCGCAAATGTATCGAATCCTGAAATGACGCGTTAGGTATTAATTTGATTGGATCGGTGCTAGTGATGAAGAGCGGAGAAGAACCGGTCTAGTTGTGATTCATTGTTCGGGATTGCGTACACATTCTTTGAAGTGAATTTCGAAGGCGAGTGATGTTGACTCAGTGTGTTAACTTCACAAATCGTGACACAGTTATTCCATCCTCAATATCAGAAGAATTTTTGGCGTTTTTCTAATCATCGATAACAAAATTTTAGGAAGATAGTTAATCTGTTATATAGTGACCCGGGCCTTGGAATTATCAGTTGGAATTATTTTTTCATATAGAATGGGCCCTCATCGGATTGACTGGTTTCTGATGCATTTCCCCGTATTACTTATTATTCTTGGAAGCTGCACAGCAATTCCGACAAGCAACGAGTTTGCGGCTGGCTACAGCCATAAAAAATCGGCGCATATTCATCCGAGTGATAAAATCAGCATCAGAGCTATTAAAGATGATGATAAACTTGATTATCGGCTGCCGACTTCCGTCATACCTGAGAAATACGAAGTTCTACTATCGCCGGATCTCAACGAGGATCAATTTACTCTAACAGGATCTGTTAAAATTCGAGCTCGTGTGGTTTCCGAAACGAACAGAATCGTGCTGAATGTTGGGAAAATCCATGTGACAGAAATGACTGTTCTTAAATCTGATCTAAAACTCAATAAAACGGACGTTGAACCTATTCTCAATACAATTCACGATGAGGAAACCGAGAAATTTTCTCTTATCTTGGTGAAATCAATTCCAAAGGATTCGATTGTTAGTATCGCTATTCAATACAATGGAACATTGATGGATGATATGATTGGATTTTACAAAAGCTCGTATTTTGATAAGGACGGCAATCTCAAGTAAGTAAATATAAAATTTCGAATCTGAAAATTCTCGAGAAAAAATTAAAACAAAAAGATATTTTATTGTGCGAACAACAATTATTTTTCCGGGGGTTTCATTTACCACCGGTCACATTTTATTAATTCTGCAATTAATATATTAATTCGCAAAACTTTTGAACGACCTAGATGGATGGCGGCTACTCAATTCGAAACGACTCATGCACGACACGCATTTCCATGTTTTGATGAGCCAAAATTCAAAGCCAGATTTAAGATCAGAATTTCGCGAAATCAAAGGCACAAAAGTTTGAGTAATATGCCACTGAATGGCAGTAAACCCATTAGGTACGTAGGCAATAAACTCATGCTTCTTCAAACTATTATTTCAGCAAGAATAATCAATAGGAATTTTTCAGAAATTTAACTTGGGACACATATGAAACGAGTGTACCAATGTCGACGTACTTGGTGGCATTTATCATATCCGATTTGGCTTCAGCGTCAAATGAACAAAAAAATTTCACTGTGTGGGCTAGACCTGAGGTTATCGACCAGGCAGACTATGCTCTCAAAATTGGACAGAGGTCCATTGAATATTTCTCTAATTTGTTCAATGAAAGTTATAAATTAGAGAAAATGGATATGGTTGCGGTGCCGGATTTCTCAGCAGGTGCAATGGAGAATTGGGGTCTAATCACATTCAGGGAATCGCGAATGTTGTATGATCCCATAGAGTCATCAGATAACGCTCAACAAATTGTTGCATCCGTAATTGTACATGAGTGCGCTCACATGTGGTTTGGAAATTTAGTAACTCCTGAGTGGTGGGACTTCTTGTGGCTCAGCGAGGCATTTGCCAGATATTATCAGTACTATGCAACCGCAAAGGTACTGTCGTCGTAATAAATGCGTCGTTTGAATTTATTGTTATGTCCTTGTGATATTGATTTCAGATGGAACCGGATTGGAAAATGGAACAGCAGTTTGTAGTGGAGCAGCTTCAAACGGTTTTTATTACTGATTCTCTGAATTCTTCTGAGCCCATGTCTCGACACGTTCAGAGTCAAGAGGAAATAGAAACTATGGGGGATACTATCACATATTCCAAGGGCGCAAGCATTGTTCGAATGATGGATCTGTCGTTTGGATCGGCTGCATTCAATTCTGCACTACAGGAGTATCTGAAATCAAAGTAAATTCCACTATTCATCTCCATCCCATGACAACTAGCTATCGCGAATAGGTGTAACATCTCTGTATGAATGATCAATTAATTTACTGTGAATTCCCAATTTTTTTATTTCGAAAAAAATTCGAATATATAATTCGGTTCATACCGCAATGAAAATTATGAGTGAATATTATGAATTATATTTTGAAAAAAAAGGGGGGGGATTAAAAATCTTCATCCACTGAATAATTTCCCTCCACGAATTGCAATTATTCGAGGTCATTCATTATTAATTTCTTCTCATTTCTTCAAATTTATAGTAATTACAAATCAGTAACCCCCGACGACCTCTGGGATGCAATTGACAGAAATGTCGATGCGAAAAGTATAAATTTGGATGGAACATTTAAAAAGGCCATGGAGACATGGACAAACCGAGCGGGTTATCCTGTTGTTAATGTCACAGTGGATAATGGATCTTTATTATTGAAACAAGAACGATTTTTCATTCGGAGACCGAAAATAGCCGTCACCGATGTTCCCTGGTACATTCCATTGACATGGACAACGCATAGTGAATGCAATTTCCAATCAACGAAACCCAAATATTGGTTCAAAACAGAAAACAAAACCATTGAAGCAGCAAGTAAAGTAGATGAATGGGTGATAGTCAATATACAACAGAGTGGTATGCAAATAAAGAGGAATAAATATGGGAATTGTTACGAAATAAATGATAATTGGATAATTCATTATTTAATTAGGATTTTATCGCGTAAATTATGATGGAGCCACTTGGTACCGCATTATTGATGCTTTAAAAAGCAAGGACTTTGATGGAATTCATGAGATTAATCGAGCGGCTATTGTTGATGATTTGTTGAATCTGGCGAGGGCTGAGTATTTGAATTATACGGTTGCACTGGATGGACTTGAGTATTTGAAGAATGAAACAAATTATTTACCATTCAAATCTGCAATCAGGGGCTTGGATTATCTTTATAAACGTTTTGCCGGTCAAAAGCAAGAGAATTTCCTGAAGGTAATCATTTGAAGTGAACTGTTGAGATTTTTTAAAGTCATGAATTTTTTATTTACATTTCTCAAAAATGATGAATTCCTCACACAGAAATTACAGAATCGCGTGAAAAATCCTTAAATAATATTATGTTGTTCATATTTTTTTTTAGAATTTCACGTTGAGTTTGGTGTCCGAAATTCATGAGAAGCTGGGATTTGAAGACAGAGCAATGGATGACCGATTGACTATTTTATTGAGAGCGGAATTGAATGACTTAGCTTGCAAGTTTGATGATGAAAAGTGGATAAAAAAAGCTCAAGAATACTTTGTGTCGTGGAGACAGAAAAATGCCACAACGTATGAGCAAAATACAATAATCAATAGCATTAAAAAATATTCCGCATACAAGATGTGAATGAATATATATTTTTTCAGAATCCCAAGAAACCAGAGACCTGGCGTTTATTGTTCGGCAATCAGGCATGGAACATTTGAAGATTGGGAGGCTTTGCATGCCAAATACATAAATTCTAATTGCCCAACTGAGCAAATTGTTATTCTGAATGCTCTGGCTTGTACGAAAAACACAACCATTCTCGAAAAGTAAGGGCACAACGCAGTGATCACGTCAATGTTACAGACAAAATACACAAAGACTAATTAACTCCATTTTTAGGTACCTGGTTTTTGCTATTACTGACTACAAACAATCCCGCATTCGCAAGCAAGACAGTAAAACAATTTTCAATGCAGTCTCCAGTTCAAGTGTAGTTGGGGCAGAATATATCTTGGATTTCGTTGGAAAATATTATCCGCAAATGGATAAATAGTATGTAGTCTACCTAAACTAAAAAAAAAACCGAAGCGCAAAAAAATTTTAAAAAAGCTTCAACTTCAACTTCAGCTAAGAAACTTCTTTATTAATTTATTAACTAAAAGAGCTGATCGTATTGTTCTAGTTATGGAGATAATGATACCATTGCTAGTATCTTATCAGCAGCATCACAGCGTTTTTCGACAAAGGAACTTATCGACAAGTTCCAAAGTTTTATAGAAAATAATGACAATGCCTTGATATCCATTCGCGAATCTTTAGACAGATCGCTTGAACTGGCAAAGTACGAACTAGATTGGTACAGCACAAAGTCGCTTGTCATAATTGACTGGATCGCTGCGTACAATGAGAGAGAGGAAAAGAAAAAAAATCCTCCTGTTGAAGTGAACAATTACAGATTACCCAAGACGATCATCCCTCAGAGTTACGTTATCAAGGTCGTCCCTTACATTACTCCCGGGAACTTTACGTTTGATGGATTTGTTAGTATCATGACCCAAGTTGTTGAGAAGACTGATAAAATCGTACTCCATATGCACGAGATCAACATCCTTAACATCACTCTGCGCATCAATGAAAATGAGATCAAAGTTAAGGACCAGCAAGAGCTAAAGGAGTATCAATTACTCGTATTGTCATTGGACGAACCTCTGGCGGTTAAATCAAAATTATTGATTGAAATTTCGTATACTGGCATTCTCAACACAATCATGAAGGGATTCTACAGGAGTTCCTACGTCGATGACAATAGCACCACCAGGTTTGCCTATTTTCCCTGATTTAATTGTCCAATCAACTTTTATATATAGATTATATTGATTCCTAATAAAAATATGAATAGAGTTAATTGCGGTTTGCTCGGTGTTTAAAGTACAATCTTTTCGAGACATGGATCCATTTAGAAAATTTGTACTCTACAAAATCAAAGGCAAATATGGAATACGAGCGAATTAAAGATCAAAGTAAGCCGCTTTTTTGAGGATGTAATGTATACGTTTGCAGATGGTTAGCAGCAACCCACCTGGAACCCGTAGGCGCCAGGAAAATGTTCCCTTGCTTCGATGAGCCATCTCTCAAGGCAACATTCCAACTTAGTGTGAGTAGGCCAGCAAATTATCAGGCTCTCAGCAATACCCCAGTGAGAATAGAGGTTGCAGAGTAAGTATTGTTAACTTCCCCCCAAGTATTCCAAATCAAAATAAAACGAATTCGGTTTTCAGTGGCGACCGAATGTTGGTGACATTCGAAGAAACTCCCATAATGTCAACGTATTTAGTGGCTCTGGTGGTGTCAGATTTTGAAAATACCTACGTAAAGTTACTGTCGGAAGCCTGGGCAAGGCCGAATGCCATAAAATACGCAAAATATGCAGCTTCAGTTGTGTCTCCAATCGTAGAATTTTTCGAAAAATCTCTGAAAATACCGTATCAACTGAGTAAACTCGACATGGTTGCACTACCAGACTTTAGCTCTGGTGCCATGGAAAATTGGGGTCTCATCACTTACCGAGAATCTAACATGCTTTATGATGATCAATACTCACCCATAAACTCGAAACAGGGAATTATCAACGTAATTGCTCACGAAATAGCTCATCAGTGGTTTGGTAATCTCGTTAGTCCAGATTGGTGGAAGTATCTATGGCTCAGTGAGGGATTTGCACGGTACTATCAGTATCACACTACCGCGACGGTGAGTTGTTGATAGATATTGCCATCCTTACAGGTGAGACCAATGGATTGATTGTGTAACCTCGTCCTTCTTCTGTCTGTAGATTGAAACAAGTTGGGGATTGGAATCGCAATTTGTGGTTGAGCAGGTGCATTCAGCTTTTGCCACTGATGGATTAGTCTCCAGTCATCCTATGTCCCATGATGTCAATACACCCGCCGAAATCGCTGGTATTTTTGATACAATTTCATACGGAAAAGCTGCTAGTGTCTTGAGAATGATGGAGAAAGTTTTTGGAACCCAAGTGTTTTATAATTCACTGCACGATTACCTCATCGCTAGGTGAGTTACGATATTGATTTATTTTACTTCTACCCAGGACTATTTTCAATCACTCGAATTCTATCTGCGATTGCACGTCTTTCTCTTTCTCTCTGAATCGATTTCAATCGCACGCTTTCAGAATTTATTGTTACGACAGAAAACGCGCGACAACGCTCTGTAATTAAAAACAATTATGATTTAAAATTCCGAAATTAAATTCAGAATGTCAAAATAAAGATTTGGTATATTCGTTTCAGATCTTACGGTAGTGCAACCCCTCAGGATCTTTTCACAGCTTTCGAAGTGAATGTTAAGGGAGATAGTATTCAATTAGATGGTACTGTCCAATCAATCATGGAGAAGTGGACGGAGCAGGCGGGATTCCCCGTGCTAAACGTTCGAATCGATGGCAATAATGCAATACTGATTCAAGAACGTTTCCTGCTAAGGAACTCCGAAAACATTCCTACGAATCAGACTTGGTCAATTCCGATAACCTGGACTTCCAAAACAAATCCCGATTTCATATCGACTACTCCTAAATTTTGGTTTAGCGAACCGCGTAGCATAGTTCCGTTACCACATGGTGCTGGTGACTGGGTCATTCTCAATGTTCAACAAGCTGGTGAGATGATTTCGTACTCATGTTCAATTTTTCCCCTAAACCGATTCTCCAAACCGAATAGGGAATCGGGAATAGCCCGATAAAAATATTGTATTGACTATTTTTTAAAGGTTAATAGAATTTTCTAATTAATTTTTCATTCATTTCTCGGAACTTTTTAGGATATTATCGAGTAAATTATGATAATGACTCGTGGACCCGAATAATCGAAGGGATTAAACAAAATTTAACTCAAATTCACGAGATAAATCGTGCCTCGATAATCGACGATCTCCTGAATCTCGCCCGAGCTGGTTACACAGACTACATGACCGCCTTATCAGCCACCGAATATCTAATCCAGGAAACCAATTACATCCCCTGGAGAGCAGCATTCAACGGTCTCTCGTATCTCACAAAAAAATTCACTGGCCGTGAAATAAATGCTCTGTACAAACAACACATTCAAAAAATTCTATCCCCAATCTACGAAAAATTGGGTTTCAATGAGCCAAAATACGAGACTCATTACAACAAATTATTGAGGAGACAGGTGATCAACTGGGCATGTGCATTCGACCTGAAAGACTGTATTAGTAATTCAACAAAGCTGTTTGCTAACTGGAGAGCTAATGAAAAGGAATTGGTCCCTGTTAATCTCCGCAATACAATTTACTGCACCGCCATTAAACACGGAACGACTGACCACTGGAATTTCCTATGGGATAAGTATCACACTGCGCCACTTGCCACTGAAAAAATACAGATACTTACTGCCCTGGGATGCTCTGAGAATAAAGTATTGTTGAGGAAACTATTGATGAGCGCAATAACGGAAGACTCGGGCATTCGATTTCAAGACAGTGAAAGTGCATTCTCTGGAGTCTATGGGTCTGGACATTTCGGTGCAACTTTTACGCTAGATTTTATTAGAGAGCATTATACCGACATGTACAAGTACTACGGCAGTTATAGTGCAGTTGAGAGGATTTTAAGTGGTGTTTCCTCTCAATTCTCGACGGAAGAACTTGTAGCGAAGTTAACGGAGTTTGTGAATGAATTTGGGGAGAAAATTCCGGAGATTGAAAACTCATTGAGGTCTTCATTGAAACTTGCACGACAGGAACTCCAGTGGTATGATCTCAACAGTCCAAAATTGTTCGCCTGGTTGGGATATCGCTACGACACTAATAATTACCGTCTCCCCACCACTGTTGTACCTGTTAATTACAATTTATCAATTACACCGTACTTCGAAGAACGTAATTTCACTTTTGACGGAGACGTTCAGATCGCAGTGAATATTGATCACAGCACTTCGATCATTGTTCTTCATACTAACGGATTGAATGTTAGTGACGTCAGAGTATATTCCAATACTTCGGAGATTCTGGAATACTATCACTACAAGTGGAATTCTGTAACTCACAAATTTACCATTTACTTGGCAACGACCCGTAGTGCTGGCTCGATACTGCGGGTAAATATAAAGTACACGGGGGTGTTAAATCGTAATATGGAGGGTTTCTATCGGAGCGCATATTGGGATGCTGCGGGGAATAAACGGTGAGTTTTGGGGAGGCTGTTGTTTCTGGGAGTGTTTCGAATGATTTATTTTTACAGGTGGTTAGCTACTACGCAATTCCAGAAAGTCGGGGCTAGACAAGCTTTCCCATGCTTCGATGAGCCCTCGTTCAAAGCGAAATTTACGATTAATATCGAGAGGCAGAATGATTACAAAACGTTGAGCAATATGCCATTTGCCAAATCAGTAATATCTGAGTGAGTCATTTTTATTCATTATTTTTTTCGTGGGATCGCGATGTACAAGGGGAAAAAATTGTGAACTATTTCTCTTTTAAACATGTAATTTCTCATTAAGTTATTCGCTGTAACTGTCACGTTTTAAAGCTCCGTAAAATATCAAATTCGTCCTTTTATACAACAGCATTTACGAGATTTATCTATAAACGTTTTTGTACCTATTACTTCAGTGAATTGAAACGGCTTTCACAACAGTCGGCTTATTTCCCCGGAGCTTTAAAGATATTCATCAAAACCTTACGTTTAAAGCGAGTTCTTCTGTTTTTGCTTGTCGATATTGATTTTGATTTTCTTTATGTCAATTTTTTGGTAATTTGATTGATCGTAGAAAAGAGAATAGGACATGGGATATTTATGAGGAATCTGTTCGAATGTCTTCTTATCTCGTTGCATTCGTCGTCTCGGATTTTGAAACAATTACGAATGAAAAGAACAACTTCAGTCTGTGGGCGAGATCAGATGCGATTCATGATGGCTCTTATGCACTGAAGGTAGGGCAAAGATCTCTCGAGTTTTTGAGATATTACACTGGGATAGATTATCCCATCGGAAAAATGGATCTTGTGGCCGTGCCAGATTTCAATGGAGGAGCGATGGAAAATTGGGGACTCGTGACGTTCCGGTAACTTTTATCATACCATAAAAAGAAAAAGAAAGGACTGTAACTAATGTATTACTTGATTCGATAGGGAATACGGTCTTTTATTTGATCCTGCCTTGATCAGAACATTCTTCCAAAGATATCTGAATACCATCGTCAGCCATGAACTCGTTCATATGTGGTTTGGAAATCTCGTGACGTGCGACTGGTGGTCTTATATCTGGCTGAATGAAGGATTCGCTCAATATTTTCAATGGGTGACCGTCGACGATGTTAGTATTCACTAATTACCCAGTAAACGCTACATTCTTCTCTCTAAGACCCTCGCCGAAAGGAAGACCTCCTGAATTTTTACTAGAAACAGTCAAAAAAATATTACAATGCGAGAATAATTAAATAATTATATGTGGCGATAATTTATCCTTCGACTGCAGGGTCAACCAAGTTGGAATATGATGGAACAATTCATACCCTACGAGCTGCAAGAAGCATTATTGTCCGATTCATTTCCAACGATGCGACCCATGAACAATAAAATGGATAGCCCATTTGATGAGGGAGCTGGCTATAGCTCTATCGCCTACGGCAAGTGTAAGTCAATACCATCATTACCGAAATTGTACGCACTATAATGAGATTGCAGTCAGTAATTACTAATGGTTGTATTTATTAGCTGCCAGTGTTATACACATGATGAGGCAATCCTTTGGTGAGAGGATTTTCCGAGATGGTCTGCATTATTACTTGAACGAGAACAAATACGGCACCGGTACACCAGATAAATTATGGAGTGCACTGCAACGAAGTGCTAATGAGCATGCCGGACTGGTTAATATTGATCAGCCTGTTGCCACTTTGATGAATTCTTGGGCGAGTCAATCGGGATATCCAGTGGTCCATGCTAGATTGGTTAATGGAAATCTCGTTTTGGAACAAGTAAGCCCCCGATTTTTATCGAATCATCAATTAATCAATTAAATCAGTCAATCAATATGACATTTTTTCAATTATGTAAGATTTGCAATATTTATTGATTTATAAACAATTTATTCCCGCAGCGTCGATTCTTATTAACGAGGGAAGACGCGGATATCGATCAAATCTGGTGGATTCCCATTACCCTTCAAACTTCCAAACACGGAGTACTGAATGGGGGGAATCCCATATTTTGGCTCGGTGATAAGAATAAAACGGCATCAATCGCGGGTTTCGCTGGTGATTGGTTGATTGTCAATGTCGAACAAAAGGGCTACTATCGAGTTAATTATGACGTGGAGAATTGGTCCCGCTTATTCACAGCATTACGTTCGAAAGACTTCGGTGGAATACACGCGGCAAATAGAGCCCAGATTATCAGTGATCTCCTAAATTTAGCTCGGGGAGAATACATAGACTATAACACTGCATTGACAAGCACATTATACCTCAAAAATGAAGTACATAACTCACCTTGGGTAGCATTCTTCAGTGGTATCGCATTCCTGTCACATCGTTTCGAGGGAAATGAGATTAATGCTCTATTCAGTAACTATGTGCTGCGCCTCCTCGAGTTTCCCTACCGAAAACTTGGATTCTTAGAAAGCGATAGTGAGGGAATGCAGGACAAACTTACGAGAGAGTTGATATTGCATGCTGCGTGTAAATACGGCCACAAACACTGCATTGCCACTGCTAAAACGCTCTTTGACAGTTGGAAGAAAAATCCGAAGGAAACTATTCCTGTCAACGCGAAAAAAGCTGTTTACTGCACTGCTGTAAAATACGGTAGTTATGAGGATTGGAAATTCCTGTGGAATCGGTATCTCAGCAGTAATCTGGAGGCTGAAAAGGTAACGATTCTGCAAGGACTGGGATGCACTAGAAATGCTAAAGCACTCGAGGAATACTTTAGAGCTGCTTTGTCGGAGAATAATTTAGTACGTGACCAAAATATCAATTTGGTTTACTCATCTGTATACTTAGCTGATAGTTACGGAGTTAATGTAACTCTTGAATATCTCATCAATAATTATGATGCTATTCGTAAGGGGTATGGGGGGTGGGGAACTGTAACTGATCTTTTTAAATCCGTTGCGATGCAAATATCGACGCGAGAGCAAATTGATAGGCTTGAGAAGTTCATTAATGACAAGTCGGGTGAGCTTAAGCACATCTTGAGCTCACTCAAATCATCTTTGGGGGAAGCGAAGAAGAATGAGGAGTGGTTTCTGGGAGCCAGGGGAACTATCCAAACGTGGCTGAAAAATCCACACGATGTCGTTGCTCCCGAAGAATCGATAGAGAATAATTCGGAACATTACGATTTGGTAACAGTGGGATTGATCACTGGTGCGGTGGTTGTTGCTATATTGGCGATCGCTCTTCTCTTCGTCTGCTTTATCACAATTCGTAAATATCGCAAGAAAAGAGCGGAAATTAAATGAAAAGTGTCATTTTTCTGAGAAATTAACACAATTTTATTACTGGAAGATCAACATCTCTTAGGATATTGTTGTATGAAAAAAATATATGGAATAACATTTCTTCGGTTTTTCAATGCAATAAAAGAGTATTATATGGATTAAAATAGTTTTGACTTAAGAAATGACTTCACTAAATGTTCGATGTTGTAAAATCTGTGGAACAGAGGAATATTAATGGCAATAAAGATATCAGTTTGTAAAAATCCGACTTTGTGCGGTATTTTGAGTGACATTATCAATATGAGATTCACAAATATTTTTCAAAAATTAGATTGATTTTAAAAACACTAAGATTGAAAACTTACAATTCGTACTCGAACAAGTCAGGGATATAAACCCACTCTGACAACAATTTAAATACTTACATTTAGAATGCTCTTAACATGATATTTACAGGTAGATACAAAAGGAAAAACATTCAGTTTGATCTTTCACGAGCATTAGACACCAGTTTGTCTGTGACTTCTCATTAAAACATATCAAAGGTCGAGTCAACAAGATATGCTAGACTTCATCCCTTCTTTTGATAAAAATTCAATGGCTCAATTCAATTTTATTTGTTACCACATTCATTCACGCTGTATTTCTCAGGAGCCAGTCTTTAATTGTTTTGTAATTACGATCCAACCACCGAATGTTGGCTTCGGCGTGTTCAACTGACTGTTGAACAGCTCGTGTTGCACTTCCCAATTCCTCACTATGTTCTTGTGCAAACTCCAGCAACTGAAACAATAAAAATCTCCATAATGTATTACAAATTCAATCATAATCCATTTCTATCGTAATATCTCCACTTTAAAAATTTTGGACGAATATTTTTGTTGCATAAAATTTAGAGCGATCACCTGTTGTTTGCAGTCGAGATCAAAAATATTTTTTTGAGTCCCAAAAAATTAGTTGAGAAAGAAAGGAAATGAAAAACAAAGATAATGTAAGATTAAAAATAACTCACGTCTTTAAGTTCATATTTCGTACTGATTTTCTTGGTCGCCGCTTTGACAATGCTATTAATAGCCAAAAGAGAAGCGCCCGTGCTGAAAAATAAAATAAATGGTTAATTCAAGAACAAGAAGTAAACAATTCTCCGCGAAATAATTGAGATAATAAAAAGCGCAAAACTCACTATTTTCTGAGTTTCGACCAATAATTCCGTAAGAAACTAAAAACAAGCGGTTGACCAATAGGATTATTGGCAACAGCACCAAAAACACGTGGAGTGTCTTGTTTCCTAATTCCGCTGTTCTCAGTTGTTGCCCATTCGAGATAACGACTCAAGATCCAAGGTTCTCTCGTACAACCAAGTGCATATAACAGGAGATCCTTCTCAGAGCCAACATTTGTCTTAAGATATCTCTCCCATGCGAAATCCCATTCTGCCTGTCCTCCCGTGCGAATAGCTGTGCAGTAAACAACGCTCTTCAAGTTTGGTGAGATGGGATTGTCCCTGTCTGGGCTCGGTGAATTACGCCAGCTCTGGAATTGTACAACGGCATTTCTAACACAGTCATCATGACCAAATGTGCATGCCCAAGTGAGAACATCGATACGTGTGAATACAGTGAGTTGAGGATCACCGGGACTATCTTTGAATCCTATTTCTCGGTAAACATTGTCAAGAATTTTCAGAACGTAAACCCTAAAGCGATCATATCCTTGGTACTTGGTGAGTATATTATCCAAGTAGCCCATAGCCGTTAATGCGGACTTCCAGGGAATATATTCGGTCTCGTGGGCGAGGTATGAAGTCACGTCCAAGGCCGTTGTGTAATCCAATCTACCAGCACGGGCCAAGTTCAAGGCGTCATCAACCAGTTGTCCTCGATTTATCGTCGGAATATCTTTGAAGTTTTCATTATTCAATTGCTTTATAATCATTTGCCAATTAGTTTTGTCGTAATTGACTCTGTAATACCCGGTCTCCTGAATATTGAAGATTACCCACTGATTGGAAGCTGCCCCAAGATCATCAAGAGTCAGAGATTTCTCAGCTCTCATCCAATGGGACGGCTGAGTTTTATCAAAATTTTTTAACGCTTCCGTTGTGTAAGTTATTGGTACCCACCACACGGCGTCGAATCCAGGGACGTCTGCTGTGTTATTCTGAATCATAAAACGATCTTGCGAAAGCAGAGCTCCACCGGTTTTATAATTCCTGATTATCGTAACCACTGGGAAACCAGTTTGGAGCGTCCACGTATCCATAATCTGCTTTATCGAAACATCACTCGGTAGAACTTTGTCTGTGTGCGCTTGTTTTGTTAATGCCTGCCAGAGATCATTCTGCTCAGCACTTTGATACGCTTTGGCGTTCAGATAATTCGTCAATCCTTGCTTGAATACTTTAGTCGTTAGAAAATGATCCATCATTCGGATAATCGATGCACCCTTTCCATAGGAAATTCTGTCGAAGATTTCACCGATTTCATCAGGATGTCCCACTTCAATGGAAATAGGATGCGACGAGGCGAGAGCATCGAGAGTGAAAACATTCTGCAATTCATGAATGATGAACTGCTCAAGGACTTTCCATTCAGGTTCCACCGAGTCCATACCAATGTACTCAACATAACTTGCGAAACCCTCGTTTAACCACAGATCAGTCCACCAACTTGGTGTTACCAAATTACCGAACCACTGATGCGCTAATTCATGAGCAACAACAGTGGCAACACGCTGCTGGCTACTTTTTGTTGAGACACCCTCTTGAAAGAGCATTGCTGTTTCTCGATAAGTTATTAATCCCCAATTCTCCATAGCACCAGCGGAAAAGTCGGGCAGTGCCACCATGTCGATCTTCGGCAGTGGAAACTTAATCTGAAAGTAATCCTCGTAATATTTAAGAATTCTTGGACCAATGTCTAGGCTGTAGTGAGACTGGTTAATAGCTTCTTGACGCGCCCAAACACCGAAATTACTGGTTGAAGACTTGAGTACATCGAAGTCGGAAACGATGAATGCAACGAGATAAGTTGACATCGGAACAGAGCGCTCGTAGTGGTCCCAAACGTACGTTGGCATTTCCTTGCTAAAATCACAAGAACAATTTCAAGTGATTCTACCAGTAAATGGGTTTTCATTTCCATCCAAGATTTTAATCAAACCGTTCCAAGACTCGTTAATTGAAGTGGTCTGTCTTCAGTTCTAGTTAATTGAAACTTTTGGAACAAATTGTTTGAAAAGTTGACTAAACATTGACTACTGTTAAGACTCATTATTCGTGAGTCTTTCAGAATAGAAATAACCTCCGACTTTTTCGCCACTCCATTTCAATTCCTATCATTCGCAACAACCGCTTCATGATTCAAGTTTAACGTTCGTCTTCTCAGAAAAACTTCTATTTCTTTAGTATCCGCAATAAAAAATCATGAAGTGGTAAATTAAGATAAATGGAATTTCGTAACTTTGTTAAATATCGGTGGATTAAAAATCCTTGCCGTGAAATTAATCATCCGCCAAAATTCCTCCAATTTATGTACTTACGCTGGTTCTGATTCACCCCGTCGCGGCATATTAGATATAGACGTCATATTAGTTGGTCTAGCAATGCTGATTTGAAATTTGGCCTTGAGTGCTGGCTCATCGAAGCAAGGAAAGGCGCGTCGTGCATCAGTCGCTTGAAACTGCGTCGTCGCTATCCATCTATAATGCATAAACCACCAAAAACTTTATAGCAAACACGAAACGCATCCTGTACACATGTTACCCTTTCTCTACTGGGACATTACTTTGATGGTAACGCGGTAAGGATTACTTTGAGGTGAAAATCCCTCGAGATGCATGAAAACACCCCGTCCCATCCACCCGCCCACCCCATCCACCCTCGTCTACTCTTCATTCAGAGAAAATATAGCTTCTGGAGGTTAATGGAGCGTAAAAGGGTTGAGGACTAGTGATTAATATTTCATAACATTAAATTATTCTACATGTAGGTGAAGGCTGAGAAAGTTGTTTTCAAAGGATGATGAATAATGGTAATTGCCGAGTTTTATGATTTTTCCTCCTCAAAATGGATTGTAATACCTCGTTTGATTGCCGACTGTGTAGGAACTGCGGTAGAATCCTTGGAGGTAATCGTTGAGATAGCCGATAAATTTCAAGCCTATCACGTATTGTTTACCCGCTTTGAGGAATTCACCGGTTTTCAGGATGTAGAATTCTCGGGCAGTGTCATTCGTCTGGTCCAATATCTTGAACCATTTTGTTATGGTACTGTTCGCGTAGACTTCCTTCAGGGTTGTCTCCTTTTGGAGGATCTTCATGTCCACTGCGTGGAGAGTTATGTTCTTCGTGTCTTTCGTGACGTTTACACGTATCGTCACCTGCAAGATGAGAATAGAAACTTGAGGATGAGTCATTGAGTTTCAATGCAACGAAGGATTGCAGTTCATCGTTTTCTCGTAAATGATTATGAGTTCCTAGAACCTCGAGAAATCTCGGACAGTTGAAATTTCGGACAACAATGTGGGTAATTGGTTTCTCTTGAATGATTAATATTTAAAAAACATTATTTTTTTACAAACTAGTTAATCTCTCAAGAGGATAAAAAATTGAATGTAAAAAGAATTTTCTCGGAATAAAAAACTCATCTGCATTCGATGTTGTTCGTGACAAATTAGTAAACATGGATATAAAAAATTGATAGATAATTGTCGAAGCTGATTAGTCACGAAAAATGCGCGTCTTCTCGCGGATAATCTCATCATTTTCTGGAAACACCTCTTGATAATTCCTTTTCAATTATTTCCTCCAGAAAAACGTTAGAATTTTGCAATTGACAAGTTACAATTGTTATGGCAAAAAAAGTTGATAAAACACATGTTCTCAGTGTGTTCGGAATAATTGATATAATTCAACTCACCTCTCCATTGAAGGTAAAATTCCCCTCCCAAATGAATGGCATCAATTTTATATCGTAGGAATCAGGCACAACTGATCTTGGTAATCTGACATCAATTCTGTTTTTATTGGTCCCAGCTGTTGCGAATGAGTGTGCCGATTTGAGCAGTGCACTGCCCTCAAACCCATTCATACTCCTTCCTGCTCTACCATCAAGACACGGTGCAAAATGATAAACGAGTAGTCCAGTGGCCACTATCCCGAGAAGGAATAGTGAACCCAATAAAAATGCACCGCATCTTGAGATTGTGCAGCCACGTTTACGACCAAATGTCGTGGTGTGCGCGTCCATCATAGCCAACACCTCACGGGATTGTGTCATATCATGCGGAAACCTGGTGAAATATTAAAATGACGAAAAATATTCAAATTCGTATGGCCTTGAATTAAAATAGCTTGACAAATTATTCCTCTGATGGATTATCTTCTAATAAATATTTCATTGCGAAAATATTCAAGACTGTTCGAGACAAAAATATTTCCTTTCTTTTCCTCTTGCGCTCCCCATGAATATTAAAAATCAATAAAATGAGAGAATTATTCGGCAAATAATATCTTGTTTCGCGAAATTAGCGAGTACACTCTGAAGGATTGTGTCAAGGACTGATGTCAATGTGCTCTGTACAACGTAAAAACCGCAGCACGCGCCGGTTAATGTGTTGGCTTCTATCTAGATTTTTTTCTTCTCACACACCAGCTGTAACTATTGAATCAACTAATCTTGGAACGCGTAATTAAAGTGAATCCAGTGTAGAGGATATAGCGTAGAACTATCGCCAACTCGTCTTAAAGTCTCGCACTTGTTCTAATAACAGGATGGTACAAAGTGGCACGAGGAAATAATTTTCAAATTTATGATCGAATGCGGGAAGAATATTCCAGTGATCACCATATGGTAATTATTGAAGAATTAATATTCTTCACTCAGAAATTAAATACTCTGTATTCGAATATGTCAATTGCTAATTTTCGGATTTTTGCCTCTCAATAACATCGAAAAATCCATCAAGGTTTTAGAAATCGGGAATCGACACTGAAAATCACGAAAATCGATTTTCCAGAGAGCAGAAAAACAACAACACTGGCTCGATTAATTGGTTTAATGAGGCATTGGCAACGCTTCGACAGGTAATACCAGTATGAATTTATTTATGGCGGGATACAGTAAGCAAGCCTCTCCTGAGTACACCGTCAGTAATAATCGCCTCGGATAAAAATACTTGAAACTCTCATAAAATCTAAAAACCGATGACATTTCACACAATTTATCGAGTCCCCTCGCCACAAAGAAAGAGAAATAATTCTAGATCCAAGTGATTAAATCCGCCAAATCGAAGCAACAGATTTCCCATGAAAGCCCTGATGAATGCCTCCCATAAGCCCTAACAATAAACCAACAATTCTCCACTGATTCCCAATTCAACTAGCCGAGCAATTATTTGAAATCCGTGTCGCCGGACACATTGACCATTTCGTTAACTATTTCAATTAAACTCACAACACTCCGCCAAGGCCGGTACCAACAGTCCCAATTTTATCACCCCAGCGCTATCAATATTGTTTCTTTATCCGGTAAAACCCATAGGGATTGAAAAACGGTTAAGTATTGGGAAAAGTATCGAAGTACAGTTACGGCGCCAACACCTCCACTCAGTCGTACGGTTGCGGCAGAACTGTGACACTCAGACACCTCCCGGAGTACAGACATGCACGTTACTTCGGCATCACACCAGCCTCCCCATACGTCCCCATACCTCCCCCTCCCACCCTCTCCCACCCCATATCGCCCCCTCCCAGCCTATCCCACCCCATATCTCCCCCTCCCACCCTCTCCCACTCCTTCCCACCCTCTCCCACTCCTTCCCACCCTCTCCCACCCTCTCCCATCTACACCTCTTATCCATTTTTTCCGGTATCTAATAACCAGGTGCCAGCGTCTTCGCCATTGAATATCCGGAATATATCAAATGTCGCTCGTCCCATCCGCACTACTAATATTTTATCAATACTATTATATGTTATTATTTAAAAAAAGTGGAGTGAAAGTCAATTTTATTATGTTACATAAGAAATTATAATGGTATTATTGAAATGGTAATTACGAGGCTAGGTACTGGTAATTCTGGTAATTCATGTTTTTGAATTTCACAACTTTGCCAGAGTCATATCTCCGAAACTAGGAGTGATAGCAATTTTTTTTCAGTAGCAATTTTGCAGCTTTGGATTTTCGAATCAGGGGCAGTCTTTACTAATAAATAAATTTTTGGGGATAAAACTCAATTGATGTACTAGGGCAAAATGACCGGGAGGTTGACGGAAGTTCGTCTATTTGATGTTACGAATGGGGTTCTGGGTGGAGAATTTCAAGAGCATCACACGTACATCGAATAACTTTCACTCGACGCCTCCGTTTGAAATGTTCACTCACCCGAATATATAATACTCACTTCGATGGGAAGCACGTACGTCTCGGATGTGTGCAAACAAGAGAACTACCAGTGAAATCGATGCCCATCGTACACAAACGCACAATGAACATGTGAGGGTTTCAAGGAGGACGAGAGGGTTGGAAGAGATTCACCAGTGAAAGAGACGCTCTTGAGGCGACGATAATTGTTTCAGTGAACAATGTACCAATTATCAGTAAAATTACGATTATCATAAAATAACTTCCCCAAATAACAACCCAACAAAATCAATCTTCACGAATTGACCGTGACATCATAATTGAAATAAATTCTTTCAATTACCTGAACTCCACAACAGTTCTGAATCACAACTCGAGTATCCAATTAATCACATCCTCCACCATTAATAACCGATGACTTCAACGGCAAGTCTCATGATATCATTGAAGTGGCGAAGACTTGTGCTCGCTCTGTGTCATCGTTTAACTATTTTCACCAACAATTTGTGCATGCAACTATGCGAGTCTGTAAAACAATCGACACATTTTGCCCCAGTCACGAAGAAGTGGATGCGGAGAACTTGCCACTTGCTTTGGAGTTAAATTCAATGAACGTCACTGGCAATGTGTCTTGCCTTTTCCCTCCCACAGTCGTTATTTCCTCCACCCCATCCGAGGGCTTCCTCTCGGTACAACCGCTGGTGTCTTTGAATATCTAATAGACCGAAAGTGCATGCGCCTCGACAGGTCGTCAGACCGTCGACGACACAGTGGCGTCTTAAATTTGCATCCCTTACCTCGATGAAGTCTAGAGTTCTTTTGCACTTTTTAGAGGGTTGAGAAAATCTTTCTGTTGCACGGGGATGTGGTGGGGGAGGAGGGGGTTGCCAACTCTTTTCACCCGCGGAAAGTGCAGTTTCGACGAGCCACTCGAAATTTAATTATTCCTAGACAAGTTGGAAAAATGGAATCCCATAAGGGCATTCTCATTTTTATCTCTCTCTCTTTTGAATGCATTTTTTTTTCCCCCTTTGTCTTCGTGGCTATGTCGAGTGGCGTTGGTACTCATTTAGGTTCTTCTGTACGTTTCACGGTCGACAATTTAACGCAACGCTGAATACTCATCTTTCTCATTCCCACTGATGCCTCATTGTTAAATATTCTACATCTCTCACGTTCATATTTCTATGGTTTATTTCATTGTGCGTTGGGGGAATAATAATGGAGTTGAGTTGGGGATTTTAGTTGCCAGAGTTTTTTACTGCATTATGAGAAAAAATTGTATTTTTGGGCGACTCATTGTATTCAAGTTTGGAAATTTCAGAAAGCAGTTTTCCTGGAATATCAGGTATATCTACCTGAATTGTTCGGGTCGTGAGAATTTTTATGGAAATAATCATCTAGTGATTGAACTGCAACTCACGGTTCTCTGTGATTTTCTCAAAATTTCTACGAAATAGGGGTAATAGCCTTGATGTTGCATTTTCTTTTCCGCAGGGTGATGGCATCTGGGTACCTGTACAGAGCGATGAATTTTCGGTGAAATGAAGATTAAATTGTGAGACTGAACGCGGGTTCAACTGGCGGTTTTAATAAAAGATATCGTGTTCCACCGGTGGAGTTGGAGTCACGCGATCACCGTGGAGATTCTTCCACTTGTAAAATTGACGACACGTGCCTGGCAAACGTAACGATGAATTGTGATGGGAATGTTTGGATGAAATTTCAAGGGCCTTTGATATCAAGAGCGTCATATGTCGGGGATAATCGCATGCACTCGCCTCAGGAAGAGAACAATTTCAATTTAATTTCCATCAAAACGGTAATAAATGATCCGCAACTAGTATCTCTGAACTAGTCTTCACAAATATCCTATTTTTCCCCACACTTGCCCAATTCCATATATTCTTCCAATTCTATGATATAATATCAAAAAATAATAATAAAAATTTGCCAAAAATTGACAAAGTTTGAAAATAATTACACAGTATTTTTTTAATTGAGCTAATTTATGTGTTAATGTAATATTAAAAAAAAAAATTTTCCCGTGGGGCTGTATTTTTGAATTTTGTAAAAATTCACTGGTGATCCGAAATGACAGAGTGTCTTGGAAATTCGGAAGAGACGTGTCATTCGATCTCAATAGGTGGATCACCTCCCCATTCCTCTCTAAGCCCGTTCACCCCCTCGACCCCCTATCTCCCTGTCGTTTCCCTTTATATCCCTCTCTGTGCGCGGAACTGCAAGAGACAGCTTGGATTACCCCATTGTGGTGTACCCTTACAAGAACAGGATATACCATCATCCACCATCGGGTGCTGCAACTATATCCAACCGGGTACATGGTGTCTCCCCGGAGGTGCTTTCTGCCTAGTGCGGATGTACCCGTGGAATGCCAGTAGGTAAGTACAGCTCTATGGAGATTCTCAGCAGACCAGAGGCTTCCCTCGTTTCTCTGATACTCTACAGAAAATTATATAGATCCCACCACTCTTTCCCTCACTTCCACTAATGGTGTACATGAGATTTTACTCCAGCATGGAATACTCCCGAGTTTTAAGAGTGAATTACTACGTTATCAACTTCAATACTGAGGTGGAGACTTTCTGCGCTGGAAGGTATCCGGAGGTGAATGTAATCGTCAGATGAAGTGCACACAAGGAAAAAAACGTGGTTTCAGTTTGTGCGGGACTGATTGTCATTCAATCTTTCTTTTAGACTTCATCTAAAATTTAAATCACTGGAATTTTAACTGTGAATTTTAAATTGAGTAAAAAATTGCCAACGTGACGGTTTATTTTCAATCATTCCAGAGATAGAACACGAATGAAATGAAATATTCAATTCAATATATAATATTCGTAGTGAATTTTTACGTAAATAACTGAAAGTAAAAAACTATTTGTGATATTTGTTAGTGTAACGGTTGTCTAGGGGCCATTGAGAATTAATTAATATTTTTTACCCGAGACCGATTAATTGGCAGAAAATCGATCTCGCAGTCTTCCTCAATCATTAATCCCAAGTAATTGCTCCTCTAAAACCCGTATTCCAAGAAATTTCCAATTCTCCAATCTTTCCTCAATGTTTTCCTGGATTTTCCAAGGATTGATGAAGTGTCGGCTGAGTGGAATTGTCATTATCCACTTGGATGGCTCCATTCTCACCCCACATGCTCCACTACCTTGGCGTATACGTCGGAACGCTCGTAAAAGTAAATCGTGCAATCAATGTAACAAGTGCCATTGGCAGTTGCAACACTGGCACAAAAACCGTAATTCCCCATTCACCGTACGAACAACTCCCCAACAAACAAAATATTGTCATTTTTACCGGTCTCGATTCAGCACATAATTAATTTCCAGAATTTAATTAATAAAGTTTATCAGGTTCATTAAAACTCGGAGCTGTTTCTTCCGGCTATGGAGAATTTTTTTTTTTTACATCCCTGGAACGGCGGAAGAGAGTTGAGAAAAAAAGTTAAACACTCAGATGAGGAAGCGAATGAGGTGGGTCGATAATCTCGAATCGAGTGCATCTTCTTTTTATTTTTTTGTTTTCAACTCGAGGGGGTGATGGGGGGTTTATTTTTTAGCCGAGCTGGGATCAGAAAGTTCAGGGAAGTGATGGACGGGGTGGAGAGGGCCAGCTGTACTGGACGTTTGCTTTGTGGAAAGGGTGGGTCGATCGGGAATCCACTTAAGCATATTGGATCATTCACTGGGTGGCACTCTCACCCTCTCTTCAAACTCACCCTTTACCCTGGATACGATTTTTTCTCGTTAAAAATCCAATCTTTCGCTACCACTTGGCCATGCAAACGCCGCTGTAAAATCACGCTGCACGCGGCAGTGAATATTCTTCGGTTTGAATTTTCACTCGATCTTTTTTTTTTTAACATCGTGCTTTTATTATTCAGTGCAATGAGCGTGGTGCACAGGCACCGGAAAATCCATGCGGAATTTTCATCCTCGTGGGGTGTGTTTAACTGTTAACACGTGGTGACGAGTGGAATGCTCAGGATGCCCTGGTTTTTAATTTATTCTCGTGAAAATTTTGGCTGCACGTGATGTCAACTCCCCCTGAGATAGAATTTATGATACCATTTAGGGGAGTCATTAATCTCAACCCAAGACTTTCTGCTATTTTGCCCACTTTTTTCAAGTTTCAACGATTCCAAAAACAAGGAAAAACTACTCCCTCCTCGTTTATAAGGTAACGATAATTTATTTTTAAGTTTAATCACTTCATGAGGTCATGTCAAATTTATTTTCTATCTCAACGAGAATTTTTATCAATTTACTTTCATCAGAAAGTAAACAATTTTTTTTACTTGCTTCATATTGTTTCATCTATAAATACGAAGAGATGAAAATTATTTTAAGACCTCATATTTCATATTTCCACAAAACCGTAATTTCTGTAAATCCCCGGAAAGTAGAAAAACCTGACAACACACGCGCGGAAAATTCCACAAGAGGATTAGTCTACCCCCATCCCGCGTTTATCACCGACAAGTATTTCCTCGTTACATTATAATGATCATTTAGCATTCCCTCGTCCTCTATCGGCCACCAGTTCATCGAACCCAAAAACTAAAAGGTGAAAGGCCCGCATTAAAATTCCCCCGATTAATCAGCCGACTACTGTTACATATAAACTCCCAGCAAATGCTCTCCTTCGGCAAATGAGAATTTTTTCACCCCAGCAAGTTGCCTTGATAATTCAACTCCATTTGTTCCTCCCCTGGGCTTCATAATTGCCCGTTAGGAAGTAAATAGACTCTTCACCGGTGTGATAAAAATAAGGAGCTTGCACCTAACGGTTTGCCAGCCCTGTGCTTGCAGAATAGATAAAAAAGAAAAAATCGTCTCAACTAGACTGTCAAGGTTTGACTTATTTACGATTCGCACTAAAGATCGAACTGCATTCAAATTTATCGTAAAATTCCCAGCGAGAAATGACCGTCGGATATCTCCCAACGACACCTGCAGATTACCTCGGATCCAATACCTCCAGGGCGCCTCCTTGGAGAATATCTTGTAAACATAAACAGGATAAAATATGTAAAAAATTCAAAGCCAATCTTTACACACGACGAGAACCGGATTCCTTCCGGATTCTTTCCATCCCGAGGGCAGTTTATACCGTGAGATTTTCCTCGAAATATGCAGATGGCTCGTAATAATCCTGATTGAGTTGAAAAATACCGAAATGCTTTAATGATTACGGTAATGGACGGCTCTGGTGATATTTCAATGCGAACCTTACCCCATTAAAAAGCAACGGTTTTCATACGACTTGGAGCGGATTTCCTTATTCCTTTGATAGTGGAATTTTGCCCTCGAGTTTTTTGTTGAAAAAAGAGCACATTGCTATCTGATGAAAATAACTCTAACTCCTTTGAATTTTATTCGAGTGTTTGGATACTGTTTTTAGAGGGTATTTTTCGGTGACGCGATCAGTGACGAAACTATCTAAATTAAAAATAATTGATTTGTTTACGAGTGAACGGACTCTGTGGCGACTTAAATTCTTTATTTGTGTCAGAATCGTAGAGAGAGGGAGTGATAATCATGTTCGATTTATTTCGACAATCAAATCGTTTTAAATAAAAAATATAGACACATTTTAGTCATGCTCGAAACGTTCTTTTAATGTCAAGGGAATGTTAATTTAAAAATTCAATGCTAATTTAAAGCCGATAAATTTTTTCAAATCAATTCGCATCGCGAAAAGGCTTTAGAAGTACGGGGAATTATAATGATCATGTTAGTGTTTGAAAAAATTATTCTATCCAAAAAATACACTGCTGGTTATTCTTAGATTGTTTTTCAATTGTTATGTTGATGAAGACATGATAATTCTGGAGTACAAGTCAAGTGATCAACAATGAAACAAACACGAGTACAAAATTTTTGGAATGAACCCAACATTTCAGCGTGGAAATTCATATTTTATTGGAGTGACTGCGTGCTGGTAATTTTTCTTTAAATCTTGTAATTATTCTGAATAATTAAAAAAAGCCACGTGCTGTTGAAAAATGTTGATCAATAAATCATTTAAGTCCCTGTTATTGGCCTACAAACGTCCCACACTCAATTAAAAGAATAAACAAGACACCGTGCGATGACACAATTTCAATTTACCCGACGAGATTAATAATTGATTTGTTATTCATTTGATTCCAGATAATTGCATAAATGTTCGGTTCTTGCTCAAGATTTTTAATTTATTCCGAAGCGAGCGCATGTACTTGGCTGCATGACAATTTACAGCTGTCAGTTGTCTCTGGTCTCTCTTCTAGTTAACAATGTGAGTACAACAGTTACATAGTTCACGTTTTTAATTTTCCTCCGACTTTCCTCAATTCCCGGAAAATCTGTTATCGACAACTGAAACCACCTCTCGTGCATCACTAATTAACTTTATTCTCAGAAAAAAAAAATACCTCTTGATAAATTTATTAACGTAAATATCTATCCACAGAATTTCGGGGAGATAATCCATTAACTCGGTTAATGCAAACTAGAGCGTGTAATGAACATTAGCTGAACGATCGAGAAATAATCCCGGTGATACACCCCATCACCGCTTTTACACACAATCTATCGGTATTTCGAGGGGTTTTTATCATCTGAAATCGTGTCGATTTATTTTTTATTTACAGCGGATGATTCCAGCGATTTTTATAGTCTCAGGGGGGATACAATTGGAAATGTAATTGAAAAAGTTTCGATAACCGAGAGAGATGAGATTGGCGTTTAACCTGGGGAACATTCGTTATCGGTAGTTGAAAGATCAATACAGGGAGATGTGAATTTAATGAAGTGTCACGTGTGTTTCACTGATAATTCTGGTATTGATTATTTTATCGCATTTGTCAGAGTCGAGTACTCGTCGCCAATTTATGCGGCTACTTTTTCAGCATTGGTAATAATAAAAAGCCATAAGCCCTTTGAAATCATATGGAAATCGTCATACTCGAAGAATTAATTATAAATAATTAATAATTCAAGACCCATGACGAACCTGTCGATTCAGTTCCATAATCTAAAAAATTCTCTTTTCCTGGAAATTCGATTAATCAATGTGGAGAATGTGCGGACATTATTTTAATCAAATTTTTTCACGTGCAATAACGGGATCATGTGGTATGGCAGAAGACGATGACAGATAAGAGGACAATGGCGGAACATGTGTAAAGACCACTTGGAATACCAGTAGCTTTTGTCAAACCGTAACAAGAGAATTTAATAGTGATTGTATCAGTGTACAAGTGTCCCTGAAGTAATAAACCACCGATTGGCCTTGTACTTTACGCATAACTCGAAACCCTTCAAGAGCATCGACCGCTGTCAGGGGAAATGAGAGAGAGGGAAAGAGTGATAAGAAATGTTATCTCACTCCACACTAATACGTTGAATTTTCCAAGCAATAAAAACTAAAATGTGGGATTAACACAAATCAGTGTGTTATTACTGGAGCGATTGATACTAATAATTATTTATCGGTAATTTCATCTAGATGTTCCGTCATAAAGTTGCCAGATTTTTAAAGATTAATTTCTCATTTCTTTTTCCCAATTTTGAGGAATAATTTTTCACATTTTCTGGCTGCGAGGACAAACTTATTTATCCGCCCACATAAATTGTAATCTCAAACATTACGTTTTCACGTTGAGCAATATTTACACATTAGTGAGTGTTCTGAGCGGCCTGGTATTTTTAATTCTAGAATACATCGTCTCAAAAATTCAAGCCAATTCCAATTTTCGTGGTACAAGCGTCGGGAAAAAATTAGAATAACCCGTGAATACAACTACCCGCGAATTAAAAATGCTAATAACCCGATGAAAAAAAAATATCCCCCCGTGTGCAGCAAATCCCCGAGATCCACTGCGCATAAAACTCCGTGAGTAAACAACTCGGTATTAAATACTCATATTCATTCCCGTTAAATACTTGATGACTACCTAGTGCCCATTCCGCATAACCCGCTGGTAAACACCGCATTCATTCATTCAATTTTGCCAAATTGAAAGCACTTAATGCCGCAGACCCATTCATCCAACAAGACCTTTGATCGCTAGTAAATTCCGATCAAAGTGAAAACTACCAAAAAAAGGGGCGATTAAAATAGAAACTTGACTGTTAAATTCCAGACGATCTATGCAGCATGAGGTCAGCGTCCCCTCGACCCCCAACCATGTGACTTCGATAAACCGCCAAGCTTGTATCCCACCACCAAAGCATCAAGAAATTATTAACGATAAACCATACTCTACGTAAAGACGGGTGGTAGCCAACAGCTTCAACGGCCAAATGAGAAAATAGAAATACTTGAGGGCGAAAGGCTTGCAGCAGCTGCCGAAGCGAGCGAGAAAATCCACGGAGTGGGATAAATAATCGTAGAAGGCCGAATGTGAAGTGAGTTTTTGAAAAAAAAAAAGTCACAGCTAGAGCGTCTCCACTCTCACTCCAATCCAACTCAGGAGGAGAACACACGTCATTCCCCCGACGTTTGTTGGAAGGCGAGGTTACTAACCCAGTTATCCAGTGAGCTGTTGAAGAGTGTAGAGGTACGATCAGTGCGAGACAATCGGCTCAGGCCCACTGGCATCAGTCACTGATAGTCCAGCGAATCAAGTGGAATTCATTCATCCGCGTTGAGATTAAAATAAATTCACGATGGCGAGTGTTGACACAGATTTGGAGGAGTTGATGTCGCATCTTGGTGAATTTGGAAAATACCAGGCATGGCAGTACTCGTTGCACGTTCTGGCAGGATTGACAGCTGGATTGCACATGTTGACGTTGTTGACAGTTGCTGCTGTACCAGGACACAAGTGTGTTGTTCCAGGTTTAAGGGAGGAATTGGGTGGTAATGTGACTTGGGAGACTGTGCCAGGTCCACGCAAGCTGTACACCAATGAAACTGCATTTGGAAATATCTCGGTTATCCTGGACTCTTGTCACTACAAGGACATTGATAATAACACGAGGGACTGCGATGAGTGGGTGTACGATACCACTTACTACAAGTCCTCGAGGGCAATTGAGTGGAACTTGGTTTGCTCGAGGAGATGGAAAGGTGCGTTAGCACAATCCTCGTACATGCTGGGAGTGTTCTTCGGGGCTGTGACACTAGGAACTCTCGCTGATAAGTACGGTAGAAAGGTCATCTTCTGTATCTCAGCAACGAATCAACTGATACTGGGGATGCTTGTCGCTCTGATACCCGAATACTCGGCCTTCTTAATCATGCGATTCTTGTACGGAATCTTCGGTTCTGCTGGCGCCTACATCACCGGTTTTGTATTAACCATGGAGCTCGTCGGTCCATCTAAGAGGACTGTGTGTGGGTTGATGTTCCAACTGGCATTCGCGTGTGGTTTTGTGATTGTAGCCTTCTGGGGGGCCTTAATTAAGGATCGCATGTGGTTACAAATAGTTTATGGCGCACACTCTGCACTTCTGATTGGCCACTGGTGGCTGATGGACGAGTCCCCCAGGTGGTTGTGGGCGCAGGGACGGGGAAAACAAGCAGTGGATATTGTTCAGAAGGCATTGAAGATCAATGGCGATCAAACGGTCTTGGATGTTGCTAAATACGTATCGAAGAATCGAGCGAAACAGGCGTCGAGGGATTCCGCCGGCAGTTACAGCGCTGTAGATCTGTTGAAAACCCCAAATCTTCGAAAAAAAACACTGAACGTCTGTCTCAATTGGTTCGCCAATTCAATTGTTTATTATGGACTGTCGTTGAGTAGTGGAGCTCTGATGGGTAATCCTTATATCAGTTTAGCTCTCAGTGGAATTGTCGAGTTTCCGAGTTATATATTCACTTGCGTTACTATGGATCGTCTTGGGAGAAGATCTCTCGTCAGTTCATTCATGCTTATTGGTGGCACCTGTTGTATTGTTGCGACACTAATTAAGGATCTGCCCGCCTTCGTCACAGCTGCTGCCACAATTGTACTTGTAGGGAAGGCTTGCATAGCCATTTCATTTGCCGTTATCTACAATTACACTGCCGAATTGTTCCCAACAGTACTGAGGAATACAGCGTTAGGCATTGGCTCCATGTGCTGTCGATTGAGTGGTGCACTAACACCGATGCTGCTGCTCTTGGACTCACTCGATCCAAAAGTACCAGCAGTTATTTTTGGTGTTATTGCTCTGATATCAGGATTTCTGTCTCTTTATTTACCGGAAACAGCCGGACAACCTATGCCCGAGAGTCTCGAGGATGGCGAGAAGTTTGGTGTTGGTGATACTTGCTTTACGACTTGTCTCGGGAGAAAGAAAAACGATGATACTTATGATGTTGCACTTAAACCGATGGCTAAGGAGGCTGAGAAGATTAATGGTGATAGTCAGGATAAGCTGAAGAATTCTCAATAATCACGTAGGTTTTTTTATTTCGACGTGGACAGCTGATTTATGAGGGTCTGAGGAGATGGACATGTACATTGATGGGTTTATGTCTTGAGGTTCTGGGAGAATCGAGTTACAACGCGGTACTATCCACAGTGCTTAAGAAATGATATCGGTGCTCTTTATCTTATCGGTTGTTTGATTTACGCGATGGTGCTTATTACGTACGATTTTGGGAATGCAAAGACTGATGGCCCTCATTGTCACCAATTGTTATGTTTATTTCATCGCCTGTGATTGTGTTTACGATTTTATTACGCAAATTTTTGATGGAATGAGGACATACTGATGTGGTTATTTCAATAACTTGAAATTCTTGGGAAAATCGGACGGACAGTGTTTTTATTTTTAAATAGTATGACAATGCGAATTTTACGATGCGTGTTGGAGGAAATAATTTTTTTTTTCCAATTAGTGGTCATCACAAAATATTCGGGAGCATTTCGCTCTTAAAAATGCTCTCAGTAGTATTCATTACTATAATTTTTTTAAGATCCATCATTTTTCCTAAAACCAATTACTTTCTGTTCTTGCGAAATCTTGAAAAATGTGCAAGTGTTCATCGCCATGATTTTTACATTCGAGAGAAATTCAGAAGACAATTATTTTTTATATTTAAATGTTATGATAATGTAATCTTTACGATGTATAAAAAATATTGAAGAATACTCTATTTTTTGCGCTCTTTTTTTTTATCTTAAAGCCTATCCGCCAATTTTTTGAATCATTTTGTTTAACTGCCAAAATGTTTTAGTCGATATTGCGCCAATTGTTTCAGGAGATATCGTGATAGAGGAAAAGTGCAAATTTATTTTAGAAATCTCGGTTAAACCTGTATGCGCATGTCCATCATTTTTATCAGGTTTTTTTTTTCAATCACCTTGCAGTGAAGGCCAATCGGAGTGACTATTTTTGTTACTTACAGCTCAAATAAAATATGTACAGTCTATCTCGGCATTTCGACCGTGACTATTTATTTAAAAGTCCGAAATGTTCAGCCATTTGAACATCACAGCTTGCAGTTGGATCTGGGTTTGTCATGATGGAGATTGACAATTGGCAAATATTTAAGAGGGTCGCACGATAGGGGCGGGTACACGTCAACTGTTCAGAATGATAGCACGAAAAAAAAAACAGAAATCACATTCAATGTAAGTTTCAGCACTAGAATTTGGAATAAATTGTAGAATACAAGTGAATACAAGTGAATTATGTACATGATAATAAAAATTACTCTACGTAGATCCTGAAATTACAACATACCATAAAAAAGAGAAAGGAGAGGGGACACAATAGTTCTACATTTACAGTTAAATCCTTTCTCTTGATCATTGAGCATTAGAACTGACGGACTGATTCGATTAAAATTGAATTCAACTTCAAATAATTAAAAAACCGTATAACTTCGCAGCAAGGTTTTCTCGATTTTCTCTTTCGAATGAATAATTATAAATATGATACTGTATTATTAAACGTACTGATGGTCTCTCTGTACTGGTGCTTATGGCCGCCATAAAAAATTCAAACACGCGTCATTGACTGGAGAATGAGAGACGGCAAAGTGGAAGATGAAAACCTCCGCTAGTTCTATCTAGAAATTTATGGATCCAGGAGTTTACGGCTGAATCCAGAGCGAATGGAGGAACGTAAAGAGGTAAGTCGACAAATTTTGTTTTTCAAGGTGCATGTGGGCGATGGTATGGTGGAAATTGGAGCTGTTACATACCCTGACTTCGCTCGTGGCAATTTAGTCGTGGAAAATGAATGTTACTGCTGGTTTTGAATCCCCCGGTGATCTCCCAGGCTTAAAACTACCGTTCCGAGGGTTGGGGAATACTTTAGGATGGAAAATGCAATTTATTGGATACGGGTTTACCTTGAAATTATTAAGTGGCTCAAACAATGCCTTCTCACATTCCAGGGATACTCGGATTTTATCGCGATAGCTAAAACATTTTAGAATTTCAATGAAGAGAATGGAATCTCGAGTACCAAGAGAAAAAAAGAGTTACGCGTTGGGAATTCAAAATCTTCTGGTGTTTTGCATGGAATTAATTGCAGACAGATTATTTTTTTAAAATCAATTTCGTATCAAACTGCATTTTCGGGAATTTTAGGAATCGTGGCGATTTTCACGAAATGATGTGCATGACCTTAATTCCTTGGATGCAATCTCAATGTGACGTGTTTACTCACACGCTTGGTGGAGCTTCAGGATTATCCTTGGCCAATGGAGAGCTATCTGGCACCAAAGATCCCTGGACCATGTCCCGTCCGGGTTAATGGAAAAAGTTGGCCGTTTCACCGGTGACCCACGCAGCTTTTCCAATGATGAAGTTCCGAGTTGAGTGCAGAAGGACTTGCTCTCTCCTCATCTCTTTTTTCCACTCTAGATCTCGTGGTGAATGTCAGGGGTGGAACAAGGGAGAGAACGAGGGACGGAATATGTAACGATAACTTGGATACATCTAGCTTCGATCATATCAATTGAAATTTACATCTTGGGGGGATCCTCTGGGGTATAATACTGAAGTTATGGGTTTAATCGGCGCTCATCTCCGAGGAATGAAAATTACTAGTCGAAGAATGGGAGGATACTGTAGTTTTTGGTGGTAACCAATTTTCCGATGCAATTGATTTTCTTTCTTCAGTGAACGTTCGACAAATCACTCGCAAAACGCTTTTAATGCTGGAGACTATAGAATGAGCTGCATGAAAGTGCAGGAAAAAGTTGGACAAAAATAACCAAACAATTCATGTAACCGTCGAGCGGAAGTGATTCGTCAATTATTGTTACCCAATATCGGGTAAAACATGCGAGAAAAACCGTGAATTTCCCCGCCCGAATCGGCAATCAATTTATTAAACGTGAAGATAATTTGTATAAAACAATAAAATTCACGGAAAATAGCGTAGAATATTTATTTAACGAGCTATTATAATTTTTATAATATAATATCGAAGTGAAATCTTTATTGCGATATTACTCCAATTCACAGTGCGACTTTCAGTTACCCAAATTTTCCAGAATTTTTTATTCAACCTTTTAAAACTTTTATCCAATTGTTCCTCTCGGTTAAAATCCTAAAAAATAAAAAATTGAGCGGCATTGAAAAAAAAAATCTGTACATGCGATAAATTGGATTTTGAAATCTCTTGATATCATTCCTTCAATCACGAATACGAATACACGAGAAATTTATTCTTCGATTCTATTTTTCACACGGAATTCAATTCGTCCGCGGATGAAACAATGAATTGTTTACATCTTGGAGCCCGGGGGTATAATAGAGTGGGACAACTGAAAGATACGCGAAAACATAAATTGATATGTGCAACTATAACGGAATTCTGGTGTGAAGATACGTAAAGACGACGGGATAGAACTTCCCTCAATCCCTGACACGTCCGAAAAAAAGTTGAGAATTTGATCTGAACTCGAGCACCTCAACTTCTTCCGCTCTCCACCCCCACCCAATCTCTTCAAGATGTGTTCTACAAGGTCCTCCACATCTTCTCATCGTGACTTGTCAAAAAACTCCCCTTGTACATCTAAAAACGTTAGCAGACGATGAGGACACTGAATTTAATTAAAACTTCAAATATTTTTCTCCAATTTCACCAGCACTTCGCGCGATGAGAGAGGGAGAGAACATTGACCTCATGTATACGATCCTCTCGTTTTAATTAAAACGAATGTACACTATTGAAGGGAATTCTGTTCGCTACCACCATTCGCACCCATTTGGATAATATAATTACGAAAATTGTCACGTGATGAATTTTACAAAAAGAATAGCGATCTCATTGGCCATTTTTTAATGTACAATTAATACAAATGGAAATGATGAAATGCGGAGGGCAAATAGATGAAAAGGGTATTCAGATGCAATTGTCAATAACCGATATATGGATCCCTGGGAGTTATTAGTTGTTGGTTGATTGCACAAGAGTGCCGACATAGGTACGTCATATCGACTCCACATGATGGCATTCCCCATGCTTTCATGCCTCCAGCCATTCGATATTCAGAGGTAAAAAATATTTCAGCGATTTGGAAGAGAAAATATCAATATTCGGGAGAATAAAAATCCGGGGAAATTCTATGATGCGGATAAAACGAATGCCACGATATGATGGAAAATCATTAATTGCTTTTTATTCAAATTTTTTTTTCAATTATTTATGGAATGTTACAATCCAAATTTTTTTATCCGATCATTTTTTTATTAATCAGTTCATAAACGGAACTTGAAAATTGAATTGAAATTTTTGGATATTTTATAGATTTTTTTAAATTCCATAGTCTGGTCAAGGCTACGATCTGACGGGCACGAAGAAATTGTTTTTTGCTTCCATTAACTGTTGTGATGATTTATTTGTGAATTCAGCATCTGAGATGGCGGGTCCAGTTAGCGGGACATTTCCTTTAATCCCCGCCAGCAAAATATCATGAAAAATCTTCAACCCATCGCATCCGAGAAAACCGGTTCCTCTTAAATTCCTCATCTCACCTCAGCCTGAAGGTCTTTCGCAATTAAAAAAAAAATCAATCCTTCACTCATGATTTCCAGTTTCATCCTCTATCATTTCCGAAGGAAATACTACATCCTGGCCTTACAGGGAGAAAAAATATTCCCTCAGTTACGCGAAAGATCCGATGCAAAAAGATAAAAACATATAGTATCGACATTTCCCCGTTCCCCCGAAGATTCACTTAAGAGAAGTACAAATTTCCATAAAAATCTCATTCCTCCAGATGATCTCGACGTGAACTGAACGATAATCATATTGCTCTCGAGGATGCCCATTGGTTATCCCTTGAATAAACTCGATCAACAATGATCAGTATTAAAAAATTCCACAACGTTTTCCCCCAACAGAATTCGCTATCCAAACAAAATAAACAATAATCAGTGGATTTTATCTAAAAACCTATCCCACATGATCATTCAATACAATTACATAATCAATACAATTGCTATTACCAGAACCGAATGAATACCCTCGACAACTGGTTCAATCGAAAAGATAATAAATAATCTCTCGAAAAAAATATGTACATGTCACAAGTAGATCTTGCGGAAAAATTCTAACATCCGCCAATTCTAGATCGCGATATATTTTTTGATGTATGTTTGGATTGTAAACAAACACTCACCTCGATAAAGGTAACCACGTTGGCCCATAGAAAGGACGAGCGAGCCACCCGGGGGTTTACGATGGAGTTTACGATTTGTACGTGCTGTATGGTGGAAGGCGCGCCGTCGACTGAACTCCAGAGCGGCAGCCACCAGGCGGTTAAAACCCTTCGAAAACCCCCGAGTACGCGCAAGACTGTCAAATAACACCGGTGAAAACACAGGGCAACAGACCGGCTCTCCTACAGGTATTAAACTTGCTGTCCACCTCACCCGACTGTATACCCTTATACTTTCATCCTTTTTATTTCACGATAAACACATACATGCGAACGCCAATTCCTGACCACTTGGTCTGCCTCATGTCCACCATCTGGTATAAACCGTTATTCATACTTTTTTACCCATTCGAGAAACCCGATAATGGGGCGAATAAACTTTCCAATGGATACTACAATTTCCCTCCTCCAACCCCTACCATTTTTTTTTTTCAATATTCGGGGGTATTTAATGTTTTTTATTTATTTGTTTGGCGTTCGGTGTCTGATTTTTCATGATTCTATTTTTTATTTTTGGTGGCATGTGTTGATCAGGTTGTGATGTGGGGAAAAGGTCGGAGACACTGGGAAATTATTACGTGATAATGACGCGTCTTGCAATTTAATTGCTGCAAATTTGGATAAATGGACTGGGGGCTATGCCGAATTTACAAACTTCTGGAATATCATGCTCCTTTCTACTATCGTATGTTTCCCGTTGAATAACAGTGGGGAGAATTTTGTCTGGGCTCAAGTTTTCGAATTAACGAAAATCTCGTTATTCCGAATGCACTTTCCGTGTTGTGAGGGGGTTGTGTATTGTATGAGTGGAGGTAATGGAGATAATTTATCGGATATTAGAGGGAAATTTTCGTTGGTTTTGTGAAATTACTGTGAAACCATGAAATACACAAATGATTCTCTCAGGTCGACCCACTCTACGCTGATAAATTATTTTATTTCAGAAACGTTTTGGAAATAATAATTTTTTCACGAACTATTTATTCTGGAGACGTGACATTAAAAAAGGTAATAAACAATTCAGATAGTTATACCGAAAAAAAATAATAAACAAAATAAATAAATAATAAAAAATAACTAATACTAATAAATCATAAAAAACGTAATAAACAATTCAGATAGTTATACCGAAAAAATTATTTTAGACTAGAACAAGACATTGCAGAGGTCTTGAACAATTTCCATTTGTTAGATTATTTTTTAATGTTGTGGGCAATTTGATATTTGAGAAAATAATTGAGGATGAGTTATGCCGGTAATTATTCTGGGACATCGGGGCATCAATTCCTATTGACAAAAAATCGATCAATTTCGTTTCCAAAGGCACGGACGGATAAATATAAAGCCGGAAATTCTGCGGTTTGCAGATACCAAACATCCACCTATTGAATTTGGATTGGAAATTGGTGGAAATGATAATTCACGAAATACCTAGCAATCGCGAGGTTTCATCCGCGACGTAGAATCAAACCCGATGACATGGCATGATTCCAAAACCGATCAATTCGCAACCACCGGTCGTACTCCACTGGAAAAGTTGAAAGTATTATCGGTATCAATTTTTCATCGAATGAACTTTAATTTTCCCTTTGTCTGTTATTGAAATAGCAAAGGCGGAAAAATTGAAAGCGCGAATCAACGAAATTCATATCATTAAGACGTTTCGCGCTCAATTTCACTTTGAGATAAATTTTTGGAAGTGCACATGTCAGGGAATTTAATGTAATTTCGGTAATCGAGAATTCAAATTGACGCACGAGTCATTTAAAAAATCCCATGGCAATTAAATTATTCGTTCCATTCCATTCGTTTGCTGACTGGTTTAGTGAATAAGTTCGTTAGTTTATCTGCGAAAGGTTTCGAATTCAAAACGCAGTGGTAGAGAATGATACGATATACCCATTTGAAGTCTTGATGACATTTCGCGTGTTCGCGTATTCAGATAGAATCAAGCGGATGTAAACTGATAATAAAAAAAAAATAATGTGTTGAGATGATGAGATGAGATAATTTCATTGCACCTGATGCTTCAAATGAAAAAAAAAATGTTAGGAACAATAATTCTACAAGATAAAGAACATAAATTGACTATTGTTAAAAAATCGTTGAGGGTAAGTTCTTACCTAATCCATCGAGTCCCAATTAAATTTACAAAAGAATTACTCGTGGATCCATTGACTTTTGTTGAGCCATCGGAAAATTTCCGCCGAACTTTCTTATTTACTGGACCATTAAACCTCTGACCTGTGGAAAGAAGAAAAATGGAGAATGGTGGAGAAAAGGAGAGAAGTGACTTCGGGATGAGGGCAAGGGATGAATGGCAGTGTGGAAAGCTCCACTGGAAAAAAGCCCAACCGGTGGCACTAGACAGTACGGGTACTTCCGACTCGCTCACCAATTCTTTTTGCTCTTTCTTATTTTTATGGTCTTCCAGGATGCTCTTAGAGAGGTTTTATTCAACTTTTGCGATAAGGAAAATTCATGGGATATAAATTTTTCATGTCCTCCACGGCCCGATGATCATAAAATGTATCAGTCATTTTACCATAATTTTTCATACTGAAAAAATTAATAAATCATCATTTTTTCGTTATCAAAATTGAATGGAATTTTGAATGGATGGAATGGAATTGCTTGGGATTTCATGTTTAAAAAATAGTTTCGCATTTTCATCCCAGTATTATCCCAGTTTGTATTATTTTTAATTTTCCGTCAATTCCGTTTAATTAAATTTTTAAACAATATCAAGTGATTTGTTGGGCACGTGGAAATAATCTTCTGTAGTCAATACCATCCAATCGTGGAGCTCTTTAGAGACTGCAGTAGTTATCCTCGGCAATGACTCTGAAGAGATTACAATTTTCATTAACTCCACCCCGGGAGTCGAAAGAATCGCGGAACCGGGGACAGGATATCTCGGCAATCTCTTTCTTCGACAATCTCGGAGATGGGAGGCGTGTCGAGGTCGGTTATATTGAAGGACACGACAGTGGATAAGTTGGTCTACATCCAAAAGAGTCTTCATTAGACACGCTATACTCCTGTCTACCGTATCCTGCACCGATGGGCTGACGCGGAATGAAAACACGTAACCGCAGGCAACCCCATAATTTGCACAACTATTGAAGGAAAATGCAGCGCTAACTACGACACACGAGAATTTCAGTACGACGACCTATAATTCTAGGGTAATTGAATAATATTTGAATGCCATAGGCTGTCCTATACCACTCGGTACATGAATCAGGTCTTGTATAGTCGAGACACGTTTGAGGAATACAGAACATTTCCTTTCAACATTTCCACAACACATAAATTCACGTTTTACATTCCAATAAAAAAATTGCTGTAACCCATTTTTCCTCTGATCTAAGTTGAAAATTTGATTGCCTGTTCACCGAAGAAATGGCGGGAGCAAAGGCTATTAGTAAAAAAAAATAAATTACTACTGTATGTTCTCGTATCTCGCAACGATATATTTGCAGCAATGGATTCGTGAATAATTCATCAATTCAAGTTGGAAATTCAATTCAGAGTTAATGAGCCAATTATCACGCGACATCGACCTAATGTGTATCCATCCTGATTCCATAATCCCGGAGTCAAGTTCCCAGTGACATGGTCCTGAGATATGCTAAACAAGTTGAGGGATAATTGTGTTTCAGTTTAGTTCCAACGCCGAGAGTTTAATCCGCAACGACGCCACCAGCCCCTCATCCCTCCAGTTCAATCCCTCTTTCATTCCCTCCCACACCCCTCAGCCCCACCATTTTCTCCATTAAACGGCAACCACCTAGCAACGTGATTGAATAATTAGCCAAGTGCTATTTACAAACTTTTTTTTCCTTCCCCGTTCTTTCTTTTTTTAATTACGGTAAACTTTGTAGCTCCTGCTGGGAGATTGAATCAGGTACTCAATTTATTTATTCATTTTTTTTTCACCGAGTTTATAAGAATACTTTTCGCATTTTCTCAGCGAGCAATTTAAATGAAGCTGCAATCCAGGGCTATGTGTTTTCCTCTGGGTAATAAAGATTCATTTACGCATGTAGGGAGACAGAACTAGTTTCCGAGATAAAAGCTTGCCGTTTTTCACACTGAGGGAAGAAAATACTTCTAGTAAGGAAGTATGCGTTACAATGGTTTAGTCAATCTAGACTGTTGTAGACGGGAATCTACCGGCTCTACAAAAAATACTAGCTGGTGCACACAAGTGTCTGAATATCGTATTTATATCGTATCGCTTGATGGATTTCAAATGAAAAATAGGATTTTCCCTTCTCTTTGTGATCGTAGATGAACGAATAAAACAACTTTACATATTTGTTCTTATGGATCATCTTCTCTTTTTATTTTTCAATTATCCATAATCCAAGTTGACTCACAATTCAACGATAAAATCGGGAAGAATAGAGCCGCTCTGTTAGGCACAATCGAGCGCACTTCATTCAAGAATTTATTGCATCGAGTAGAAAACAGCTGAAAACGTTGGGAATTGCATTAAAAAGTTTGTCATAAAAGTGATAAAATAGTTACAACCAAAGTTTAGCATCAGTTGAATCGTAGAATTTCGGAAAATATGGGTATCTGATTTGAATCTAGTAATTCATTATGTGTACAATTTCTGACAATTTTATGATATCAAACGAGGAGTTTATTCCTCAGCATCTTCGGTGTCCATTATACTCTTGAAGCAGAATGGCTGGAACATGTATCCTTGGCCCACGTAGAATTTACTCATGAATTCAACCCTGCAAATAATTACAAACAAATTCCTTGTCAGTATATAATAGAGAAGAACAACCGAAAGATACGCGAGAGCAGAAATTGCGGAGAGGTGCAACTATAGCGCGATTCCAGTGTAATCATAATTGAAATCAATTCCCAATAATTAATTGCAAAAATTAGTGAGGTGCGTGTTGATGGCGGAGATAATGACAGTTTAAATAATTGATAATTAAATAACCGTACCAGTGGAGTCGGAGTGTATGGAGGAAGGCGGATAATCCCTCCATCATAACGAGAATAGCAACAGTGAAGAATGACCACGCGCCAAAGACAACGAACAGGAGTGCTGATTTCCACCATTCGCCCTCCAGTGCCCCCAATCCCACCGCCATCACTCTACCCCATAGTACTTCAGAGAGTTGAGCATGAGCTAATGAAAGGGCCCAGAGTCGCAGATAGGAGGCAGTGTGGGAGACCGTCGAGAGGACATACTCGATGGTGTGAATCGCCTGGTGGATCATTATCTCGCCAAAACTATCCTCCTCGTGCTCATCCGAATGACCTGATCCAACAGCCCCACCTGTTCCACCATTCGATGCATTTACGACTATATCAGTCTGGAGTTCGATGTCCTGCGATGGGACACCATGACCCTAATTAAATAATTAATCATTAGCTGAAGGTGACGGAGAATGAATTGGCCAAATTGAACTCCGAATTGAATGGAGGATGTTGGGAGGGGAGCTTGTAGGGATTGGGGGCAACTACTCACTCTTCGTTTTTTCTTGTTTGTTAATGATCTGTTGAATAAGAACCATAAGGGCTTTCCTAAGAGCAGAACTGGAACGCAAGCGAGAGCCGCCAGTACCAGTACTTTTTGGAGAGCCGCTTGGCCAGCGAACATGTATGGTGAGCAGCCCTCTGGCATACTTGTTTCGCCACCCAATATCATGTTGATCAAGGTGATCAAAACTGACGGAGCGCATGTTGGGGTGTAGGCAAAATCTAAAGGAAGATATATTTTGCATTATTGAGAGGATTGTACGATGCGAGAAACTCGAGGTTCAAGAGGAATTTATTTATTCAGGAAATCGAGAATCTCAGAAGTGGAAAGGAACGTTTTGAGTCGCATTAATGTACGCTAATTATCTGTTGAAACTCTAGATGAATGGTATTAAGGAACCCGCTTTGATGACTTGCTTGTAAATCATTGTCAATTAAGGTAATTCAACGCTTGAGAACAGCAACTTTAATTGATAATTCACGCTGACCTTTCGACGCGGCGTCATAGAGAAACCACTTGATGATCATCAGCGCTGCGAGATAAGCAAATAACAATACGAGGAACAGTAATTGTGGGAGGAATTCGAAAAATAGGCGAGAGTACTGCTTGAAGTGCCTAGAAAAATAAATAAAATTGTTTAAGTTGTTTCATTAGTTTTATATGACAATTGAATTATTTTACTTACACAATATTGATAACGCTGACGCATACACCGAAGATCATGTGAACAACCCCGAAGATAATTGACAATTTCATCTTGTATGAATTCAAAAAAATAATTTTATTCTCAGCAAGGGCCCAGACTGGATCCATACCGACTGGATAAGGCACTTGAGCGTAGACATCCGATGAATTCGGGTTTAGTGTGAGCTTTCCGACATCGCTTATCGTGGAGTAATCGTAAGTTACGTTCCAATTAGAGCCAAAAACGTTAGCGGATTTAGAGAATATGTCGTTGTAGATAATTCCCGTATAGATCGAGAAGAGGCCCATGAGAAGAATGATATATCGACCGCCGAAAAATATATTCCAAATTTCGTTGTCTGTTTTTTTTGCAAGCAATTTTTTCTCCCAGCCGACCATCCATCCACCGAACAGAGCCATGAGTATTCCTAATGAATTGTGTAATAAAAATTGTGCATTTTTATGTGAAATTATATATCTCAAATTCGTCTAAGTTGATCCAGAAACGTGCAGATATTCAAAACAGGCTAGCTTGAAATTTTTATTCATCTCGAAATACTTTATGTCAACTCACCATGACCCGCATCACCGAACATAATCCCAAAGAGAAACGGAAATGTAACTATAGTGTACAGAGCCGGATTAGCCTCGCGGTATGATGCTACACCGTATGCATCAATCAAATTTTGAAATCCCCTGGTAAACTTGTTGGTTCTGTTGAAGGTTGGTGGATCCTCGTCGGTATGAATAACGTTCAGGAATGAGGGTATAGAGCTACCGCACTGTCTCTGAAGTTACGAAACAGTGAAATATTAAATACAGACTATTACAGTCATGTACGAAGAAATTTAATAGGAAAACTTGTGCTTTCTCAAATTTCAGTTTCTGTTCAAGTTCCCGTAAAAGTCTGTCAGAATGATTTTTTCAAAAGTTCAGTATACTGCTAAAGTTGTATGATTTCAACTAGAATTTATTAATTAAATCGAGTGCAATAAAAGGTTCAAGAGAAAATGCAAGTTTTCTTCCTGAAATTCTTCGTCTACAAATGAATCTGCTCTAAATACCGATCCCTCTGTCAGACAATTCTGCACAACTCCGAGATCAGACATGGGCACCCAGCACTCTCCAATCAGGCACTTCTTGGAGACATCCATATTGAACAAATTCATCGTATGATAAATCGCCTTCATCTTGCGCACCATAATACTCCAATTTGGTATCTCCTTCGCGACATTGTGAAGCACCCTCTGTCTGTGATCCTGAGTCTCATTGAGAACCTCAAAGAAACGAAGAGAAATAAAAATTGAAAAAACAATTCTACCCGATTTGCCGTCTAGGATTAACTTTTCTCTTTGAATACCAAATTGAGATCCTCAAGACGAGTACGAACGCCTTTAACCATTTCCAGTCTCTCGGCATGGCTATTAGGACAGGGATAAAGAGATGCATGAAAACCAGTGCAGACTTTCTTAATCCTGTTCTTCAATTGTTCACCTTGAAAGAACGCCACGAATACCGTTTTGTATATCTCATTTCCCTAAAATAACGATCATTAATCCAATTAATTTTCTTTCAAGAAAAGAATAATCAAGATCAAAGAGAATTATTCATGAATGGCAAATTGACGCATTCACAACGCCAGAATATTTTCCCTGATTTCAGCATTTGTCTCCTTAATTGAATAAAATTATAATAATTTTGCAAATTCAGGTAATTTGAACACGACTATATTATGATGGCTGTGCGACAAATTATTGATTTGTGGCAGCTGCTTGGATGTTTCAATCAGACATCTGAGATATCCTGAGCTCACCGTACTCGGATCCTCGAGTGGTTTATCAAGCTCTGCCTGCCGTAGAAATACATTTCCCCTGGATATTCTCCACAGCATCCTCTCAAACGCGGGTACTCGCTCGCGATTAATCACCCCAGCGACGAATCTGAAAAGTGTTTCAGTTTTTACTGGCTATAATGAAAGAATAGAGAGAAAAAAATATGAAGAGTTCATGGAAGCTGAATGCCATTGAGTTTAAATTGAAATTGAATTAATGGAGATTAAGGTGAAACTCACTCGAGACGTCCACGACCTCCAGTTGGATATTGCTGCTCCTCGGTTATCAGTGCTCTCGTGATTGAGTCATTTGCCTCCTCCTGTTGATAGAGAAGCAGAAACGAGCCTTGATTCTTCGACTAAACGGTAATATCGATTACGGGATGGTGTAAGGTGTTATTGTTTATTCTGGGGTGGATTACTTAGGTACCTCGGTAAAAAATACTTGAGTCTTCTCAAGTACATGACGCAACTCGGTAAGTTCCAAGTAGTTGCTCTTCAGATTTACCGCGTTGTGGCTCAGCTCTAGAATGTCGTTCTCCGTTTTCTCGATGTGTGCCTGAGGAAGTCGTTGTTTTGTTAAAATATTCATTTTCAATATTTTTCTGGAATGAATCAATTTTGGAAAACGAATGGTTTTCTCTCGCCTCGATAACTCTCTTCGAATGTCGTATTAAATTCGGATGAATTCAGTTTCGCGAATTCGGACCGTTTCAATTCTCAGTGGAAAATAATTGAAGAAGATAAGAGTGAAAAGATGTCTTTTTCATATTTTTCAATTCTAAGTATGAGACGTTAGTCATATATTTAATGACTATTTACTCAAAGCTCCTTAACATTCAATAGTTCATTAGTCATTTTCGGGTACTTCCTGCGGCCGAGGCCCGATACAAGTAATTTTGTTATTACATAGACAAATACACAGATAAAGAATATCGAGGGAAATTTACGATAGGCTTCTTGGAAATCGTTATGATCCGAAATGACCATGGAAAATTTGATTGAATTGTTCACGTGCATAATCTGCGCCAATGTTCCACGCGGAAAGTGCTCCGCGGATTGTAAACCGTGAATCGAAGTTTGTTTTGATCGACAGTTTAATCACCTGCTCAAATGAATTGCAAATTATTTTGTAGCCGGATTGTAGAGAACTTCTCCTTATCCTCGATTCATGAATGAAATGTATTTATCCATCTGTTGATTATTCATTTTATTGTATAACATGGATTATGATTTAGGTAACAATTATTTCCAAACAAATGTTCTGCCTGCATAACAAAAATGTGTTTACCTCAAGATCAATAACTTCCCGGGGATTGGGTGCCCTGGGTAAGTCAGTGAGGTTGTCAAGTATCTGAACACCATCCTTCTTCACCTCAGCCTCTATGTAACGCAATTTCCTTTCCATCTCGTCGCATCTTCTTACCTCGTTGACAAACTTCCGTTGAAAATAATTCACATCGACATTGAGCTGTGAACATTCCCACATGCATAAATAAAATGGTAAAATAACTAAAAAATATTGCAATTACGGGTTCAATGGACTTTTCAATTGTCAATGATGGCGCGCAATAGAAGGAAAAATGCGAAAAGAGAATTGATAAATATCACGCTCAAGTAGTGAACGAGATAATAATTAATCGACCCACTTACGTCTCGAAATTGGACTGTTCCGGTCTCACCAAGTTCTGAGACAGAAAGATAACCGGCCTCTGGCTGAATGAACAGCTGGCACAAAGCCATCTCCTCGCTCCTGAACATGCCCCCCATATTGATAAAGGCTTTATCCCTTTCCCTAGAAAAAAGAACCAATAAATTCAATAATAATCCAACTGCTCTGGACAATCACCAACTGCCCCACAACGTGATCACTCTCCCAGTGGGTTTCATTGTTAACGTGTACTTGGGTAGTTAAATTATCATTTTTTCTTCAGACTTCCACGGAATTTTTCACGCTTATCTATGATAAATGATTGCTGATAATATCAATGCCGATCGCTGATAACAGCGCGCGTGTGCGTTTAACTCATTTTTGCTTCTTTTTAATATTCTTTATCAGTTTACTAGGTCAGTGGTAATTTCCTCCATTTTTCAGTGACTGTGAATCACGAGGTCGTGATCCAGAGTGACATTGCAAGTGAGATATGAGGAAGTGCTATGTCGGAATGGTATTAAATTCGTAATGGGAGCAGAGCCTTCATTTGATGCGTTGTGACGAGAGTATTTTGTTAGATGGATAGTGGATAAGCTCCCATCCTCGTGTCGATTCAAGTGTTTTTGATTGATGCACCGTTTATTCTGATAAAAAAACAAGCATCGAATTATTTTACGACTCTACAAATTCCCCGGAGTCATCTAATTTGAATCCACTGAAGTGTGGAATCGATGGGAATTCATCCTAAAAAAAAATCACTCTTTCTTTTACGAGATTCGTCTGATTTTCCACTTGTTGGCATCGAGGGTATGCAATACTTGATATGAAATTCCCTGAAATGTGATATGGAATGGTGCACAATGGTTTAATAGTCGGAAATAATTTTCTACGCTAGGATCTTTTGTGCAGCGTCAAGGCTAGATGCTAATTGTAAAGGATGATTTTTTTACTATTCTCGCAGATGACAAGACAATTCTTAATGATTTTTTCCAAGTGGTTACTTTTTTATGAATAAAATAGAAATTGGTACCCATAAAACGCGCGATTCATATTACGTGGAGTATTTTTTGTTGGAATCTTATCTGAGGAGATATATGTCACGAAATTACTAAAATAATTGTCTTGGAAGTAAAATAAACTTGACTAATGCTCTGACATTGAAAAAATACGTGGAACGCAAGCGCAGACTGTTTTTAAACTTTTGTAAATAATTGTACAGACATGCGCTATTACTAATTGACGTTTTATTTCGTTTCACAATTACGAATTTTCAAATTCAAGAATACTGTTGTCTCTAACACTTCGTCCTCCATTTGCTGTGATTATTTGATAAGACGTCTTGAGCAAATAGCGCAACAATAAATATCGCGTGTCTTTGATGTGTTAACAAGCCAAAGATTATGAAAAATGGAATAACACTCAGCGTGAGAGGCAATATTCGTTATTTCAGCCTTGATACTCGGTTGTTTTTTTAAACATCACAGGTGTAAATGAGTTTCTTTGCGCATCCTATTCACGTCTCAGTGGAATTCACCGAATAACAATTAGTTTAAAGTTATTAATAAAACACATGGTCTCGCTTTCGTGACGAGTTTGAATTGAATAACTCTGGAATCAAGTGCGATGAAAAATTACATGATTAGACGAGCCCAATTAAAACGGGATTATCTTATCAATGATCCTGATAGGTGATACGAGATTTCCTGTCCTCTACTGCGGACCTGCACTCAAGCATTTTGTGAGATTGAAATTCACTTGGAACTTCAATCTTCGGATATATCTTGATCATTTCAATACGCAATCACTCTCTGTCGAGAATTTTCAGCTGCGGGCTTTTAATATTTAAAATTCACTCCAGAATTCTCAGATTTCCAGTAATCGATCAATTCACCAGGAAAATAGACAAAAAAACTGTAATAGTATTAATAAAACAATAATACTCTAATAAAATTGTGTAAATCGTTTATAAAATCACAAAAAAATGGTCAGAAAATAATTCGATTTAATATTCCATCTGTCATGAATAATATGGGAATATCCCCTGGTCCAGCCAATGACCATCATCACGACATTCGACTTTGTTATGGTTAATCAATCATTTATTCCTGTTGTAACAACAAGTTGATAACCAGTTATCGATGATTACGGTTGAGACTCGAATGCTAATGAAAGAAAACTACTCAGTCATTTGCCCAAAGGGCAAAAATTGCAGATTACCGTGTAATTTCTTTATGACTTACGATAATCAGCTGTAATCACCAGGACAAACCTCACTGACGTCACTCCCTTGATAAAATTACCACATAATTGAAAGGAAAATCGTTTGTTAAGTATCAATGGAGATATTTGAACCGAAATAAAGAGTGATGTTACTGACGATTGAAGGCAACACCAATGCAACACCAGACTGACGACCGAGTGTTGATCAAGGTAGACACTCGAGTTACAGACTAGACCATAAAATACGGAACCTATTGTATAAAGTGGGGCATATCTCGGTGGGCAATTACGAGACCCATACAGATTCTCAGTGATAATACAACGAGATTTTCCGAATCCCTCTCTTCTTTTTTAGTCTTGGTCTTAGTGGCTCAACTGATAAGATAGTAGAATCCTCAAACACAGGTGATAGGTTCTTAGACGCAAAGAATTTGTTGGAGGGGAGGGGATGTTATCGCTGTTAATTACATTTTTTTTCATCTATTATTTAATATCCCTACGTAAAATGTACGGAGATGTTTTTATTCACTACGGAAATCGAGAAAGTTACATTCTCAATTTGCCCGGAAAACGGAAAAAATATAGAGTAAAATATAATGTGAACATTTTTTTATTTATACATTTTTATTAGTCTTTCTCAGATAATTTCTTTATTGCTCAGGGACACAATAAATTTAATATAAAAAACATCGTTGAAGCACAGCCAATTAGAATTTCAATCCATCGTCTACAGTCTATCTATCGACTAATTGCTGAATACTTAATTTATCTATTCATGTTCGTTTAAAAATAGAAAGCGTCCAACAATTGAGAAGAGAAGAATGTTTAATGGTTGTCCATTTTATCTCAGGCTCTCGTATTTTTCACATTCGTTATTCTTTTTCTGTAGATGATGATCGAGATATCGGAAATTTATCTCCGTCATTCTCCGTCATGAGGTTACATGACGCCTTTATAATCCTGAGGATACAAACAATTACTCCTACAATTACCTCCAAATACTCATTGTTAAATGTTTGCAAACCCAATGAAAGCGAAAACACCTGCAGTAAAGAGGAAAGAGTAATAAAAATGAGATGATAATACTTGGTTGCATTATTATCTCACAGTATCACACTCGTGAACTAAATCTTGTGATTGTTACACTGGCTCGTTGGAGGTTTTCATGATGTGGGAGGAGCGGTTGATGTTTCTCAAGGTGGAAGAAATATACTCTCGGTTTGTGTGCGGGGTTTCAGAATTTATCGTTATGCTCTTAAATGGAAACTGGATTATCACGATGCACTGAACAACCAGTACAAGGATTCATATGGACTGCATCAGGAATATATTTACGGATGATACTGCAGCCAGGGATATTGATTAATCATCGATAATCCGGTTTGCAGAATTTATACCGTATAAAGTTGAAATTTTACTGATGAATAATGAAAATTCCAGGAAAATTCTCTCTATCTACTAAAAACACAATCGAATCAATTGAAATAATTAAAATTTTTGTTTCCTTTAGCTGTTTCAGTTGCGCATGCAGAAGAAATACCTTTTAAATTTACACCTCATAGTATCCGTCCATCCATTGATGTCAATCAGGAAAAACAATTATTGCATAATTTTCCAGATTTCGTAATAAAAATTCATTTAGCTACTATCATTCGGCTTCGTCGTTCAGTTAATTAATTATGATGCAACGCTGATTTTATGCAATGCGGAATTAATGGGATGTCAACAGGAAAACAAATTTTATTAAACCATCTCAGTGATTGTCGACATAATTCTCAATATATGTGGTAAATTAAAAAAAAAAAGTGGTCAGCTAATTCCGCCAATTTTTTTAAACTAGAAAGGCAAATTTTTTAATTTTTAATTGCAATTCCCTATGCCCGTTTTACTAGCACTATTATTTACTACTTGAATTTGTTACGAACCCAGCCAACAGATGGCCAACATTTTTCGTGAGTCAAATCACCCGGCGATGGTGTAAATATGCGGTACCCAGGGTGTATGAACTTGTCCTTGTCTTTGGGGAGCATAGTATTCAATGATCGTTTAGTGAGGGTACTGATGCTGAAACCAATGCAAATTAAATTACTCGCATCCGTGTACGATTGTACGCGTGTTGCAATTTTTGAACGGCCTCTTTACTTCATAAGGGGTCGCTTAAATCCACCCGAATTTTTTAGGAAATAAATAATTCTGCTCGGCTAAACAAACATTTTCAATTAAATGGCGGATATGTTTTTTGTAAATTTTTGATATTTTTGAATATTTAGAAATTATTAAAGACCTTTTAATCGTGGCAATTCAGAGAAATTTCGTATCGAATTTACAATTAATTTGAAATTATCTGTTATTCTCATTTTCTTTGGACCTTTATTGAATTAGAAACCCGTAGAATTTTTTTTAGAATTCCAGAAAATTCATGAACATTGCGTGCTTTTTTAGTTTGATATAAATATTCAACGGAAGTAAATATTAAAAAGGGAATAGATGACGAAAAATGTTTGATCAGACTAAGGCAAAGAAAAATAAAGAAACTTCTCCCAGGGCACAGACATTCCGTTTTAATAAAAATTTTATACTTGCGGTCGCCGAACCATAAAATCCCTCGTCAATATTTGCTCGTTTTTTTTTCACGCTGAAAGCTACAGAATTTTTCACGCCGTGACTCGAATACCAAAAAATATAAAAACTGAAAAAAAAATGGTATCACAATGCTACACAGGTGGTGGAAATCTTTTGTTTGAATGGAAAAAAAAAACATGAAATCCATGGGGTATAGTGCGCGCGTTTATCGACTTCTCTGGTGGCAATATACCGCAGTTGAGGATGAGTGCACGCGTGTTTCTATACGCCCGTGGAATTTTTCATGAGAGAATTATTACCAGTGTTTTCCACCCACCGACAGATCACGGATAATTTTAAATTATTGGTGGATTGTTTGTCATTGAAAAACCGACAGAGCTTTTATAATTGAATGTAAACACCGAAGTAACGACGAGTTTAAACGATCAGAACCTAGAATAGAAACAGTTCAGTTCTATTTTCTCACTGATATTTTGTGCTCGCTATTTCCAATTGTATTGAATTGATCCAAGTGAAGTAGTGAAATCCATTTGAAAAAGTAATTCGCACTCTTTCAATTAATAATTGAGGAAAGCGGATCGCAGATAATTAGGAATTTGAATATCTTTTGCACAGTTGAAAGTGAGTCAATTATTTTTCCATATATTTGCGATGTTAGTTGTCATACCGGAAAATTAGAATTTCATTGAATATTCAAAGAAATTACTCGGTTTGTTGCAGAACGGAGATAAGCTTTGAATAAATTCAAAAGTCATGATCCAGAGGAAATCCGAATCATCGGGAAATGGAAAAATATTAATTCGTCACGAGAATTGGAAATAATAATAAAAAAAATAATTTGACGTCGAAGAAGGGAATTGATATAGAAACCATTGGATAGGATGTAGATTAGACAGGATTGGAATATTCGCAATAAAAACGAATTTTGCGAGAAATTTGTACAAAAAAATGGAAAGTCCAGACCGGGATTCAAGTCCAAGGCGTCGAATTTTCGTGTAAACGCATGGTTTGACTTGAAGAGTGAATTGTTAAAATTCATTGGTGTATGCAGTGAAAAAAATGTAAAATAGCTAATTGGCGGGCGGCCCACGTACAGGGTGAGCCACGAAATGCCTAAACAGAAGAAGCCTTGGACACCAATCAGCAGACCTCTTGTGACTGACCCTAATAACCATCGTCGACAGATGTGGCGCATTCAGGGTCTGCCTCGGAAATCGACCGTCTACAAAAGAAGCGACAAGTACTTCTCACCAATGAAACACAACAGCTTCTCCCTTTTAAACTAATCACGTGGCCCCTCTAAGTGACAAATAAATCGTTCTAATCCTTTACATTGATCTATTATTGCTGTTGGGTACAACAACGAGACATGAATGAATTCGGATTCATCTTTAACCCGAAAAATCTACAAACAACTAAAAATATTTAATTCTGCATTAAAAAAAAATGAACATCATCCACGAAGAGGTTTATTTCAATTTATATCACGTGAGATCATGTATCGGAAAACTTTTAGGAATTTTAGAAAATAAATCATGTCGCTAATGAAATTTATTCAAAATATTTGATCGTGGAATGAAATTTATAGAATCAATTTGATTGAGTCATTTTGAGTTGTCCTGCAGTCATAAAAAAATTGGCGAATCCTATCAAAATTATCATCAAGAATTGGAACAAAAACCTTGGTGTTATCGCTTCCAGTGGCCTCGAGGTTTGTATGCCTCCCTGTGATAAATAAACTCCTCGACTTGTTGAGAGTGTAATGAGTACTACCAGTGCACTCACGCGTCTAAATTTCTACTTGCCCCTCCCCCAGCTCCTGTCCGACACTCTCCAGATGTCACCGCATTAATAACATTCATTAAAAAAACGTCATCCCCATTTGAATAAAATCAAAAAACTTTTTTTTTGTTCATCAATTTTTTTCATCAATTTTTTTCATCAATTTTTTTTTTAAATTTTTCATCAAATCTCCTCCGAATCAGACAGGTATGAGAAAAAGAATGCATTAGCCCATTGTCGAGTGCAGCAACCCGATCGTTCGTTGAAGAGAAATTCCTGGAGTCTTTCCTGTTTAGCAATTCAATATCGGGGCAATTGAAACGGAACAAATGGAGCTAGAGAGCACTGATCCTGATGTATTCCGAGTGAAAAGAGAACCGACTTTCCGTAATTCTCAAACGAAAAATAGAAGAACATAAGGGAAAAGGAGGGAATAAGGTATCGTAGCAGCTGTTGAATTTTATCTTGTCTTTTTCACGTGATACTTGGCTCAACTGTGTACATATATACAGAGCAGAGCTGGATTTTCTTCCTGGTTAAAATGATATCGTGTTGGAGTTTACAGGAACCAAGGGTGTGAATATCCACAAAAGGCGCCGGTTAAGCTTTATGTAACTTTTGCCTACTATCAGACCGTGACGTCACTGTTTCCGGATCCTTTCTGGGTATGGATGGATGGGAATGCGAATGGTGCAATGAGAGAAAATTAAAGAGTACTAGACTAAAAATTCAAATAAATTTTTTATAAGAAATGATGATAATAAATTGTTATTTGAGACTGAATCTGCATCAACTCCTCAATCTCGAGACATCAGCAATACTGATCGAATTTCTACCATTGGGATAACGACCTTATCGAAAAAATAAAACTACTTCCTGATCAACAAACGATTCGATATTCAATAAATATGCATATTCCCGGAATAAAACTTGAGAGCCATTGGTGCTTTCAACCCAGACAGTTTGATCGTTTCAAACGATGACGTTATCGATATTCGATACATACCAGAGTTTTTGGTCAATATTGGAGATGTGCCCTGGAGTGGGGTCAGGACAATGCCAAATAACCCGTGCATTGGACATTAAATAGTTACGAGAAGGAGAGACATGTCTATGAGAGGCTGTGTTTTCTCGAGGAAGTTTGAACCTGATAGGTTGGGTCAAGGAAACTTTGGGGCGAAAGGACTTACGTGTACGTTCACTTTGCGCAATTGCCTGGAATAATTATCGTAACGTATAAAGGATACATGTATTATTTGACCTGTCCAGTGGCAAAATTCCGCAAGCTTTGATGGAAATATCTAAGGGATGGGGATTCAGGGTTTATGAATTTCTGGTTTTTTCTCTCTAAATGGAATATATTTATCGATTTTTTTAATTTCACTATTAGATTTTGAGAAACTAAATTGTATAATTGTACATATAATAATTAATAAATAGCCTGGGGGGAATATTGAAAGTATAAATATATATGTGTTTATATTTGATTTTTTCAATTTCTTTGGAATCGGAGCAACAGGTGAATTCGGAGCCGTAAAATCACCCGGGAAATTCAAAGCTCGCGCCGCGCTAAAATTTGAAAAACGATTGATCCTTCCCCGAATGAACTCTCACATGAATTTTATATCCAAAGTGACACACAGACATTGGCCAGATTACGAAGTATCTCCTCGAGCCCAGAGCAATGGGTCAGACGATCTAAAGCGAGCCAACGTTTAACTCCACTTGATTTATTAATATCACTCCTTATCTAACAATGCATAACTACAATTTACCTCCCCGATGAATTCCACTCAATTTCCCATATATCACATTGTAAAAGGTCACGCGAAGAAATGCTCAACAGCTTCCTACTTTTACCCGTGTCAATTCACTGGATCATTGACCAGTGACGAATGCCGCTTACAACTACAATTTGTTATTACGTAAAAGTCACGCTGGTATCGACAGCGATTCACCGAGATCGGGGCCATTGCATAATCCTCTTCGGTATGCAGGGATCAGGCTCTTACGAGAGATCTTTCGCTTATTTCGAGGTCGTGCTTCATCCAATTCCCTTTATTTTCTCTTTACCCCACTAGTTCGAAATTTTAATCCTACCGATTGTGATTTTTATTCGTCTTCTTTTTGACGAAATATTTTTTTACCTCTCGGTTTGGTAATGATATAGAGTGGAATTTGTGTCCACTCGCCCTTCCAACTTGTTCTGCTCCCTTTACGTTACGACAATCGATAAATCGCCCCGTGTATTTTTACCTCACGACGAATGGTCAACATGGAGGAAGTAGACATGCGGAAGTGAATTGGGGAGAATAATGACGAAATTGTCATTCAATTTTTACAATAGACTTTGTTCCGGAGTGAAAATCGATAAGTTCTCTCTCAAATTGTTCCACTACACCGCGAAATTGTCAATCAAAATGAATAATCAACGAAATTACAATTGCGCGTACGATAAGTTAACATTTTCATAAAACACACATAATGAAAATTAGAATATTCCCGGAGTAACATTAAACTGATTGCATATTATCATTGAATTATATTGACACAAATATTATTCGCAAACAGAAACAGAAAAACACGACCACTGATTCCCATATAATTACCCGAATAATAATCCTCCAATTACTCAACGCATTGTTTATAATTTAACGCAGCCGACTGTATGGTTATATTTTTTGAGTCATCAGGACTGAGAAAGTGTCATAATGAAGAATAATAACGCATTCACAAGCGGTTGGCATTCATTCAGAATTTCTCGCACTCAATTTTTGTTCCATTCAGGTTCAATTTCAATAGTATTTGGCAAGTGCTTACGAGTTGCTCCGAAATAACTGGCATCCACGTGATTGGTCCGCCCTAGCATTTGAAAACCTGTTGCACAGATCACCACCTACACCCACGAAAATTATTCCAAATGCGTGCAACAATGTTATTTTTTATTTGTGTCGGTTATGCGTGACGATTGCAACGGTATGACGGACGCTAAAAGACTGGCCATAGGCCGTATGCCCCTCTATAAGAGAACCCGGCGGCCGTCGGAGAATGTAAACACTACGACAGCTGATCGACTTTGGTAATACTGCAGATCTCAAGTTCTCGGTGGCTATCCCTCTTTATTCTATTACCCCACTCTCGCTCTATCCTCTGCCACTCCCCCATTTCTCGTTTCAATTTTTTGTCATAAAAAATCGCGATGATCCACGTCAGCTGGAACATCCTGACTACTTTTCTCGGTTTTCTTTTCGATAATGGCTTTTAACGATTCGTGAACAACCATTTCTCTGATTTTCGTTTATTCATTCATGTTTTTTTTATTTCGAAAACTGTCAAGCGGTTGATATTTTAAAAATTCTAATGGGTGTGGCTCTATTTAAACATACGTTGAATTATTTGAACTTCAAAAATTTATATCTCAAGTTCAAACAGGTCGACCGCAAACGGAAAGGGCTCATTTTGTAGCTCATTTTTATGAACTTCACCGTGAAATTTTTAACGAAAAGTGTTAAACAAAAATTTTACGATGCAACAACCTTAATGACCGAATTTATGGCGCTTCCGATACATTTGATGATTGCGAATTGACCGCAGAGACTGAGGATTTATGCGAAAATGTACTTTGACACTTCTCCGTAAAGTGAATTACCATCTACATCAATATTCAAAGAAGTACGAGATGATGAGTTAGTGCTTATCGTCAGACCACTGTTTCCGGTATATACTATTTCATTTGGCTGGGAATTATTGAATTTTGTGGCTCGGTCTAGAGTTTTTATGTGTGTGGGGCTTTATTATTTTTCCATGACGATCCGAGCAATTATCGTAATGGTTTTGAGTCACGAGTTATGGAGTCATGGCCTTCAGGTGTAAGGGAGTGACTCCGTCTGGGTGAAAATTTCTCAAATTACTAGTGGGGAGCAGTAGTAAAGTAAAATACTCCTATTTGTGTAACGGTCGTTTAATGCAATGCAATGCATTTTTTACTGTAATTTCACTTGAGTACACACGCATTCATACAATTACTTTGGTAATGTGAATTTTTGAAATCATAAAGTCATGGTTTCCTCCAATATTTCCTACTTTTGTCAATAAATGATCTAATAAATTCAGCTACAATTTGTAAAATCAATAATTTTGCATTGCTATATTGTATTGAGTGAAAAAAGTCCGCGGTTAACAGAATGTACAAGAAATTGCCTGTAAATTTTCCGTTAGGTATTTCGAAATGAAAATAATCCATTGAAACTTCCCACCCGTTTATGAGATTAAGTACTCCGGTAATTAGCTAGATTCCCTACCGTCATAATTTCCCATCTAACTTTGAATCTTAAATGAGAAATCAATGTTAACAGATATTTGTCATTTCCAGTAAAGGCTCAATTCCCATTGTCCAAATAATATCTGAATCTGTGTTCACAGTAACTTCGGGAGATCCATCGTAAGTATTAGATGTGCTGACCATTCCTCCGAAATTCAATGGAGTACCTGTAATGTACGTGAGCGTAACAAGTCGCTTATAGAATATAATCGTAAGAAAATAATTACTCGGATTCCACTTGAGGCCCGTTGTCGATGCATTAGCGGTACAGCCCATTGGAATGAGACCAGCCCATGAATTTTTTTCATGTAAAATCTCGGGAATTTTAATTCTGTGTTTTCCCGCCCTTAATAGCCATGATAAACTGTTGCCCGAGACTAGAATTATCTTTTCTACCTGGAAATACAGTTGTAGATATGATTCGATGGAAAACTGGAATTATTGCAGTAAGAAAATTATTGTTATTACGTGATTGTCGCCCATTAATGTTTTGCTCTTGTACAAGGTATTAATGGTTGCCATTATGTGATCGAATCGACCTCCATTGCCGACGAAAACGTACACTACGTCCAACTGCAATGGAAATACAAATTTATTAACGAATATAATTCATCTGGTCTTTTTTGGGTGATTTTTTGGGTAAGAATATATCCACTGAATATTTTTCCACAACTTTATGCAAAAACGAAAAACGAAAATGCTATGTAAAATTCAACTGTAAGTACATCCTGTGGAACAAGACATGGGACTGACAAAAAAATTCAACAGGAAAAGTGGTTTACGATCGTGAAGGAACATGTGAGTTTTTGAATTAGAAATAATGGGATCGGGGTCAAGTAGAGGAACAGTAATTACGAGAATTGGTGAGTAGTTGGTAAATGGCGGTAATCTAGACTAGATATTTGCATAAGTGAAGAGTAGAAGGATTTACAGGACATACAGAAATATTACGAGTTTTACAATGTACAGCCAGTTGGATAAGCGCCTTTGAAAGATCGGTATAATTCTGGTCTTGCGTCTCAATTATCTGAACTTCAAGACTTTTAAATTTATTGAGGGTCTCTGGTAAGATACTATCGAAATCTCCAGTTATTAATGTTGGAACTAACTCTGGATAATTTCCTTTGAATATTTCTTCAGCCAGTGGGCCAATGTATTCAAGCCAAACGTCTGCCCCTCCGTCAATAGCGATTTTTATCATTGCTAGAATAAAATTCATGTACGATTATTAATTAATTAATTTAATTATTAATTAATTAATTTTCTTCCGGAAGTAAACAAACTGGAAATTCGGGGTCATTTCGTCATTTCTTGAGAATGGCGTTTCGTTCTAATAATAATATTGGAAATATGTAATATTTCCTGATTTTTATTCGAAGTCAATACCTTCTTTCCAAATAGGCATCACCACATCTTCACTCAATGAAATAGGACGATTCGTGATGAGAACCGCATATTTAACTTGTCTTGGTCTTTTGAAAATCTCCACAGGATTCCACAATGTCTCCAAAATCTTTCCATTCACCGGCATAACTGCATCAATAGAATTCGTCATCTACTACGAACAAGACGAGATTGAGTGCGACGTAGATTAATAATTATATCAATCTCTAAATATTTTTCTAGAAAGCTTCATAGGATAAAAGAGAGTAAAATGGACCGTGTGGGTAAAATCCCAATCCCGTATCCCCTATTTTTTTTTAATGAACCCTCTTGCCCTTTTACATTCGAATGATTAATCCCGATAAAATACATGAATTGAACGGGCGACTCAGGAACTCAATTGAAATTTACTTTTTCACACCACAGAAAATCAAATGATTTTCTCCGGTGAATTCTTACAAATCTTTTTAGAGAACTGAAACCATATGCGGGTAGTATTTCACTATTTCATGGAATTATTGCAAATGCATTTTTTTAAATCGGATGTCGATGGGGCGCGCATCTAGCTAATATAGGTTTTGAAAGCAGTTATTTGATTGGCTGTGACAACTACTGTGCATGCGCGGCACTTGGTCGTTATGAAAGTACTGTACATGTTCACCGGTGACCATTGGAATCATTATTGACGGCGAATCAAAGGAACTGCATTCGTTTGATAATGCTTTCTGAGGAAAAAAAAAATTTTTTTTTAATTATGAGGGAGGAAGGTCCATTTTACTCACCCTACCCCAAAATTTTCACACTGTCAAACGGATTGAATGAATTTTGGTGGATGTTTTTGAGGTTAAGGGCTAGTCATTTGAGTGGTAAAAATTGTTGAGGAACGAGTTTCTGCTTAAGGGGTTGATTTTACCGTTCCCTTCCCTATCACAGATCCTCCTGCGTTGCTGAATCTACAATTTTTCCAAGTTGATTATCTTTATTTTTACTGTAGAAAAATAAAATAGTCAGACCTGGTGTTGACAACAGAAGTTTGCTGACGTAGTTGACGGCCATGAAATAGTAGTTGCAAAATTTGCGAGGGCCTTGATTTTTCGGATATCAGAACCGTTCGTTCCTTCTGAATTCTCCTGTTATAATAATCCCACCCGTAAATGCTTCTGAAATTAAAGCAGAGCTTTTGTTTTGTTATCAATCTGATGGGACTCCAGGATTCAATTTGATTTCATTTCACTAGATGTCTCTAGGCTGAGCTTGTAATAGGCAATGAGAAAGGTCTTATAACCGACAAACGAGACTGAAGGTTGCCAGATGGTATATATTCGACAATAGGTGCCAACCAGTCAGTCGATAAAGACTGGAGTATAAAAAAAAAATAGGGATCTCTCAGTGTCCTTGAAATGATAAAAAATTCATGCAGATGTAAGAGGGAAAAATAAAAATGTTGAAATTTTGGGAGAATGAAATTTTCTACTAGTACAAAGTCATTTTGATGTGCAAATATCACGAAATGTCTTTTATTTCTTCGGGCATTTTGGGAATCTGCGAGATGCCTCGGGGATTACACAACACCTGGCAAATTGTCAAGCATTTCATCTAGCTCAACACCGTCCAACCCTTGAGAATTGTCGAATCACTGCGGAAACTGCTCTCCTCAACCCTAACAAAATTCCCAGGATCGTGTTCAATTCGCCCGACATGTATCAGGAATTCTCCACTCCTAATTTACTTCCATCTCAAAAGACTAATTCACCCCCCAAATGAGCAGATTGAGCAACGATACCGTAAATTTCATTAAAAAAAAAATGCCAAGATATTGCAGCTTGTCAGCAGCACTCCAGCACTTAATATATCCCCGGGTTTGCAATATTACGCTGTCGAAAAGAACCCAGGGGATTTAGTTCCCTCGACGCAGCAGAACTACGTACACGACACACTTTTTCCAACACCTGGTGCCAGGAGTTATTAAAACGTCTGCGCTTCTGTGACTCTCATTGATTCACCAAAAAACCATCACCATCAGAATTTCAATCTCAATCCAACGAACGAAATATTTTTCCACCCTCCAAGAGGCTGATTCAAGCCAGTGGAATAGATTAAATAAACACAATCAATGTTCACCTGAAAAATTGTCTTTCAACTCACGAATGCATTCTCCAACACTTACATCCCAATTCCCCCGAGGACATCTTCAATAATCTCGAGGAAGCCTCAAAGGATGGCGTCAAGCTCGAAAAGTCGACATCACGATTGATAGAAGTCCGTGATATAAATCAAAAACAGATCAGACGCTCCGGGGGTGGAAGATCGATAGTCAATGTAACTGGAATAAAATCAGCTCTTATCGGAGATAGGAGGACATATGTGCATTGAAATGGTGGTACAACGCCTCATGGTGAATTCGAGGGATCAATAACCGTGGAATGATGGGAATGCAGTGGTCGTGCATGCGAATGGGTCGCATAGGCTCAGTGCGATACTCGCAATTTTCAACTTTACTTTATGGAGGTTTCTGAGTTCTGTAAAATGTTTTCCGACGTATCGCATTGCCTTTTACTTTGCGACTTTTATGGGTTTCTATTCGCCATCTTGGATCGGTTCTATCGTACCTTTCTAGCGATGTCGGTATCTAATAAGAGCTCCGTCAAGAAATTCTTTTACATTATTGATTTGGTTTTCTAACAAAAATGTACTAGACCTGCACAAGGACAGGATATCTTAGGAAAATATTTTTAGATGACACTCTATCGAATAATAAATCTCCCCGATTCTTCATGTTCTAATGTTCGAGATGTCGCGAAATAAACTGACACTCGTATTTTACCAGCAGACTCCACTCTCAATGTACTCCAATCGATTCTCCTGACATTCAATAATTAACAGACTCAATCTCGAATCCCCAAAGCCTAATTCCCAGCTCATTGGACACACCGTCAAGAATACGCTGCAACTAGACCGACTGAATGATGAAAACCATCGAAATTCAATGGAATTAGCTGAAAATTTAATCGTCCCTGTGATTAATATTTGATCATTATCGAATTATCAGGAGAGGTTTCGTACCTCGAGTGTCTCCCGATTATTCCATCCCCCCTTGACTGGCGAGTATGAAACTCAAGATGACACCAAGCGAAAAATGAGATAATTTCCGTCCAAGTGGAAAAATAACTTTGTCGTTATCAAAGATGAAGGAAGAGTTTACGTTGAATTACTTCTGAATTCAATTTATACGGGGAGAGGAAAATTCCAGGTAAAAGTGTCAGAAGCGAGAAAGACTTTATAACCAGATGCGTCACAACTGCTATCATTAATGATTCTATCTTAATTGAATGAGACGCGGTATTTTGCTGGGAATAGTGAACATAAACTTTTGCATTAAGTTGATGCAAGATGTATAGGATAGAGAGAATGGAATACAGGTGCATGGTCCAACGACTTCCAGAAGCCCTCTTCACTACTAGTTTACACTGAGGGCCTTGGGGATGAAAGTGCCGCCTGGATCGTGTCACCTTTGTCTTTCATTATAACGTGTATATAGATGGTACAAGGAGGGAAGCTGAGACTGTCTAAGTGTCATCAGTGAGGCTCTTAAACTTGGGGAATGGTGAGGAAATGTGGAGGGATTGGTCGATCCAAGCACACCAGACGATACGACCATAACTTTCGAGGCCTTTGGTGTCTGTTGCTGGCAGTGATGAGGAGAGGGCGACTGACAGCTATTGCTCGGTCCAAGACTTCCGGATTTAATGACTGTTTATGAGATTTCACTGCGCATCTCGGCTTTATATTTACGCATTTATAGATATCACCATTTATAATCACGCCCCGTTTTTATCATCTCCTTTCATAATCATAAATATCACTTTCAAGAACCATTCTGCGGCTTTTATGAGCTATTAACTTCCAGTGCCTTAATCACTCCTCAACTTTTTCCATTGGCGCAATATTTTGTATTGATATAATATGTAATATATTAAAAATATTTTACATGTAGATGTTTTTGAGAGGGAAAAGTTCTTTCTAGTGGTTTCCTTCAATTGATAGGCCGCAATGTTTACATCTCAATCTCGTTTTGAAATTAGTCAGCAAATAGAGGAAAGGGGATTACCAGTGTTTGGGAAAAATAGAATAACCCATGGGTTAACGTGTCGTCGACGCTGTGTCGGGAGCCAGGGAACTGATCTGAGAAGATTGTTGGCAGTTTTCCAGCTTTCCCCCTCAATATGACGCCTCATCCCTTTCGAATTTCCTTTGCATTCATCGAGGCCACTCGACCCACAATGTCGCTCTCTCCTATTCTCATCCCTTCCCAAGGTCCAGTTTACCGCAAATCCGTGCTACTTTTCTATCTACCCCATTCTCACGGACTGTGTGCAAGTCAGATCTAGTTTGACTTGAAGGAAGAAAGCTCTTTTTCAAATTAAATTTATCTGGAAACCCGGAGAAATGAGGGATTGTGCTTTTTTTCGGGGGGTGAACGTGCGGAAAATACTTTCCTCCTCTAGGAATTTGGGAGGAAACTTGGGAAATGTTTTCGTGTGAGGTTCATTGGTTTTTTTTTTCACTTCTCTGTTGAAGGGTTGAGATGCATCTAGAAGTCATTCGGAACTCAGCGAGCTAGTGGAATTTTAAATATATTTTATTATCTCATTTGATCGAGAACATCTATTTATTTCATCACTTTCTAATTGATGATCCGTGTTTTTTTGAATGGAATGTAATTGAAATTATATTCTATGATTCATTTAAAGGAATCTTGATTACTCGTCCTGTCGGTGATTCGATAAATACCAATTAGACGGTTCCAATCTGTTAAAAATTCAAATGAGCGGAGCAATCGGCGTTTTAAATCCCGATGACAAATGAGTTCGAGATTACCAAGTATTCTAGGAATTCTTATTTCCCGGTGTTCTGTCTCCTCAATGTTCTGATTCTCACGACAAGAACAAACTGCCGAGCACATAAATTCCTCCACTAATTCATCATCTCCCGATCAGTTATGCAACTTCCTTCAGAATTAAATCTCGAAGGATTCATGAAATTATTTGAATTTAATCACGCGGAATAAACTCTTGAATTTCTCCCAAAAATTCATCTCTAGTCTTCAACCCCTCATGATTAATACGAGAAAAACTCTCAATACCAGTCCTCTTCACTGGGGATGAAGATTCCCAAAAAAATGAACGAACGATTTATCACTCTCTAGTTGATTCAGAAATCCATCCGTTACAACAGTTAAAAGCGTTAAAACAGTTCTTTTTATTAAAAAAATCAGAGCGTCAAGCGCAGATTTCATGGTAATTCTCCGTTGAACGTTGTTGATGGGAATCGAAATACTGCGAATTATCCTGAAACAACGCCTCGATCTGGGCACCGGTATGATCCGAGTGAAACCGTCCAGTAAAACGAGATTAATAGACGTCGTTAATCTCGGATTTCATCCTGAGACACGAAGCGCACCCAGTCGACTCGATCACTCCACCTAGTTTTTACCTCATTCCATTATTCCGTATCTCCAGTGGAGTTTACATTACCGACCGACAGCTTGAGGTTTACTCATCTCCTCGACGAATTTATTTTCACAATTTTCAGTTCCGAGAAAAAATTATAATTTCAATATAATATCATTTCAACGATCGTTTGTTTGATAACGATTTTTAAATAAGGAAAATGTAAAACCCAAAATATTGCTAAGTCCTCTCAGTTCCCGAATATTCGTTAAGAAAGCTTTAATATTTTTGTCTGGACTTGTGGAAATTTTTCAAAAAGTTGATGTTGAATTTTGAAGGTTAAAAGGGTATAATTCAAATCGCTTTATTTCCGTAATTAAATTTGAAGCCTCCATCTTTGTCAACCTCGATAATCAGGGAGATAAATATTTAATTCCCTATTTAACATCTGAACCACTTGCAATGACTTTTTAATCCCCGCGCTGACCCGTATTTTGATATGATCCTTTTGCAAAAACAAATAAAATTCTGCAAAAAGTGGATAAAAAAAAAAGTGAAATTTATCATTCCACGGGCGAGAACATCTCGGTAAAAGTTTCCTTGCCTGGAACTTACAAAAGGTCAACTTTTCCGTCGCCAAAATGGGGAGAAGAAACTTAATCACAAGTGCGACGGGGTGGGGGTGGAGAGGCTAGATTGAGTGCGCGAAGAGTTGTGGGTTAAAATGAGAAAAAGGGTTGTAAGAATTTTTTAAATAAATTCAACTGAATCTGCCAATTTCCCAAGAGTTTACGGTCCAACAATTTGTATTATTGACGAGACAAAAATCCAGTGGAAAGACTCAACCTATGACCCCACATTATTGCATGAACTGCAGAAAACGAAGCCAGAATGGAGCCGGAATGGCGCAAAAGTCAATTGAATTCTGTCAAATAGGAGAATCAAATTATTTTCACTCTGAAATGTTTCCCTCTCCTCTTCTCATACGCGAATTTGAACATTAGCTACACAATAAGATATTTCATGAAATTTCCCTCACAAAGTAAAAATTCCCAATTATCCGAGTTTGAATTAAATTTCAATTAAAAACGCTCACTAAATTACCCATTACTCTTGAAAATTCAATAAAATAGTGTTTTCCACATTTAGTACTAATTGATTTATCCATGAAAGCTCGAATTTTCAGACTGACGTTGAGAACGCAGCACAAACTACCACTGAATTATCCATGAATTCTACAGAAATGTCACATTACCTCATCGTTAAAAGACCCATTCTTTTCTACTTGAATTCGAGAAATTCTCGATCACACAATTTTATCCGGTCTTTCCTTTTCCCGGTAGTTTGTGGAGTCCTCAAATTTTAATGCTCCTAATGACCAAACGTTTTGTAACATTACGTGTTTTTGCTCTCGAGTCTGTGGGTGAACCTCCCAGCCAACCCCAGCAACCCCCCAGCCACCCTCAGCAACCCCCCAGCCACCCCCAGCAACCCCCCAACCACCCCCCAGCCCTTGGAAGAAGACACGACACGTTCTTGCCGCACCTTAGCGGTTTCTGCTCCACGTCCCCTCTATTCTCGGCAATACATGCTTTTTAACTGATATGCGCGCGCAATTCTGGTCCAGAAATTTCATCCCCCTTGGCGCCCTTGCTTCGACCTCTTCCACACCCCCAACCCCCCTACCGAAAAACCCCACCCACCCGCCACCCTTTCACCGGATGGCAGTAATACCACGTTCCACACGGGGGTAAAAGAGAGGATGAGACTGTGGGGTAGGAGAGAGGGTGAATTGTTCGCACAGTGGCGCCTTCTTGCGAGGGAAATTCACATAAGACCGAAACGCCTGTATTTCACGAGTTACCCTCGAAATCCGTCTCTCAGTCGTGCAGTGAAGTGCGTGAGAGAGAGCACCGGTTTTTCAAGGGCTCTGCCTCCTAGAGTACCGCGTGGATAACGTTCAAGTGCGTGTGATTAGGTCAGTGATTATCAACGATGATCAATGGAATTAATCGTCTCCCTTGATTATCTCAATTTTTACTTTTTTTCATAATTCACTTTTCCGGCCATGTTCTTACATTTTTCCCAATTTTTCCCATTTTTCCCCCATTTTTTGGAGGTTCGACTTACTCGACTCTCGTTCATTCAGATTCGATTGGAGAAATGTAAAATTTTGCGGTTTATTAATTTTTGGTTTAGTTCAGTTTTTTAAATTTTAGGATGCGATACGCGGGATGTTGTTATTTATGAAATAATTAAATTCCAGGAAGCTGAAAAACCTAAACTGTCCGAATTTCTCGTCTTTTTCTCATGAAATTTTGGTCCGGCTTCTGACGATTGAAATTCGTTAATCATTGAAGATGCTGAGTAATTCTCGTTGTGCTTTGAAAATCAGAGAAATGTGAAAATCCCTTTCTCCCTTCTTTTTGTCTCATTAAAAATGAAAAGAGTCCAGCGCACACTCGCGCGATAATTGCAATTGGCGAGGACAAACTTCAATAAGAAATTTCTTTTTGCGAATTATTTCCGCAGTTGAACTCAAACCATTTTCAGATCTTTCTGCCCAGGTATTGATCTGATAATTGTGAACTCAAAGAAAAGAACAGAAACAAAACTTTTCCACCAAAGAAAACATTGACTTGATACAAAAAAATTCTCTCGACAACGAAGAATGCCGAAATCCTGTGATAAACTAAATGATAAGATGAGATTCCGCGTCCCGCGTTAATTTTCCTGAGTTATCAAAACTATAAATGTCTCCAAAAAATCCAGCATTGCTCACACCCCCACCTTTTCCGGATATCGATTGCGTAGTAATTGCATCGTAATTTTTCAGAGAATTGCGGTAATGATAGACTAAAATTTGGGTGTGAAATGGGGTCTCGATTCATGGGAAGCCCCGAGACAGTAGTGTCCGGGTAAAGAGTACCCGAAATTCCCTCGATTATTGGGATTCGGACACTTGCTCGATCCATCGAGTGCAACCAATCGATTATCCACTGGGATAGGGTACACTGCGGCCAGTGGTTTAGGCCGTTTACCAGTTTCACGGTGGTTAAAGGGGTTGCAAGGGGTTGGCGGGAGGGTGACAGGGGGTGACTTGAAATACGAGGGATCGTACGTTTAAATCTCGCAGTTACAACCCTTTCGAATCACACAGTGTCCATCAGATTTCAAGGTTTATCGTGAAATCTTGGGGATGGTGTTTCCACTGGCTTCGTGTAACCGTCGAATTATTTCTCCACTGCTATCATATAACTAGCGGAGGTGATACTTACTGGAGACAAGGGGTGACTGCTTATCTCTGGTCACGTCGTGCCAGTACTTTATCTAACCTCATGCCCCAAACCGCTGTATGGGGTCTAGTCATTTGGGTCATCTTGTAATCCCCCGTGTCTGACGAGAATACACATCATCTACTTATTCCTGCGAATTTACATTTTTCTCGTTTTTATTAATTAACCCGTTCGGGGGGAGGAAATAATCGTTGGAGATCCATTCCAGATTATGAGAAGCTGCAGTAGAAAAATTCAATTTTATAAATGCGTAGTCATGTATATTACATTCATGATTTAATCATTCTGATTAACAAGGAACAATTAAAATTTTTTACTGCCAGAGAAAAATAGAAATAGATATATTTTCTTCAACAAATCGTTTTTTCGAATTTTTTTACATCTTCAGAGAAATGTTTTTCATTTTAAAAATCATTTGTTTAATTATCATTTCTGCACCTATTCTGGCGGAAATGTCTGGACCGAATTTTGAATGAAACTGAATTTTTTTGTTTAATAATATTAATTAATATTATTGAAATAAAATTTCTGTTGTGTTCAGAAATTTGTCTGGACGCGTGGGAAAATTGTATATTGATACGAGAAAAATTGGGGTGCTGAAATGACTAAAACTGTCGATTAAGCGCCTCTTTTCGATGATAGCATTTATAAAATATCCAATGATTCTCGTAAAGTTATTTAGTTTCACAGATGACGAATAAAGTCCCAATTTTTCTCCATGAATTTGGTGGAACTCCAGCGATATCATCTGTCCCCAACCCTCGCACCTATCGAAACTAAACTCACCCCTTCTCAATACACATTTTTCTCGATCCGTCTTCAGTCCAGGAGTATTTGCCCACCTATACCTCCACATCCGTTCCAAGAAAGTTTCTATCAGTTTCACCTACATTCACGATAAGCGATCTGGCTCCGAATCGAAGGGGGTTTAGAACTTTCGGGTAGAGTCGGTTATCTTTCGATCCTCTGGACCCTAAAACTGATGCTGACCGGGTACTTATCCGCCAAAAATCAAACCCCTCGAAATATTCAAGCCCTCGAAACTTCATATTTACAACTTGATACGAACTTTGAGGTCCATTCGAAAGGTGGGATGGGCTCATTTCGTGAAGTGCTAATTCGACAGAAATTAACGTCTGCAAAAGTCAAGAGATAAGCACCCGAGTCTTTGCCTCATCACTTGCTTTTATCACCATTTCTCTATTTTTTTAAAAACTCTTTTATCTCCTTTTTTCTCCCAGTACACTTCTGTTTCTGAGGGTTTCCCCACCACACGTTTGGTGAATAGAGATCATTTTTCGTGAAAGTAGGACGTCTGAAAGGAAGTGGGTTGGAGTGAGGTCATTTATTCCTACTCACATTTTCAGAATCCAAACAAACCCATCATCTGAGCGTTAAAATTCCTGAATTTGTCCTCGCCCTGAATTGAAAATGATAAACAATTATTATATTCACATATCACTCTGATTTTCACAGCCTCTCCTGGAACACCCAATTATGCTCATTTGATTCATTAATAGTTCTATTTTCCTATCTAATTTAAAATTCATCGCTAGTCTCTTTATCCAGATATTAGGTTCAGTGGATTTTAAATTGAGCGAATTTCTCGAATCATTTGAGCCGAATATTTTCCCCTCCATTTGGTGGATCTTACTGCTGGTGTTCTGGACAATTTCATGGTGAATGTGTACCGATCTCACTCAATTTGCATTGGAACGTTTTTCTAACGTCACGGCGAATCGTTTGAACGCTCGTGGAAAGATATACATTGGGAATATTTTCCCATTAAACATCTCTTAAGGGTATTTGGTCAGATAACAGTTGATTTTCCACGCGTGAATCACTTTTCCCGCTATGAAGAAGGATTATTCACTCTATAACTCATTATTCCCGTTAAATTTTTCGCAAAGATTTGAATTCCTTAATTTCAAAGGAAAAAATCCCCGTTTTATTTCCAAATAAATAGTAATGACTATAATAATCGATGAATAAGAAAAAACGAATTAAATAAAAATACATTTATTATTTATTATTTATAAGAATGGGAATGTAAAATAGTAAATGGCCGGGGGAATGAATAATTTAATGGCTAATCTTGAAATTTGTAGTTGTGTTAGGAACGGGGGGCAGAGAGGGACTCACCACCGTGGGGTGTAAACCGGGTCCATGATGCCCCCCATAATCGGGGAAACTCTTCGCGTATGGTTTTTATCCGCACTAGTGGTACATGGGGCAGTGGCCGGTAATCCAGACGCAAAGCGTCTCTACGATGATTTACTCTCTAATTACAATAAACTCGTGCGTCCGGTGGTAAATACCTCCGATGTGTTGCGTGTGTGCATCAAGCTCAAGCTGTCCCAGCTCATCGATGTGGTGAGTACATATATATCATTCCGCTCATTTACTCTGCGTTAAAATTTATTTTTCCGGGAACCTGCAAAAAATTATTTTATATGAAAATTTTTTTTATTCAAAATTACACGTAATAAAAATTACGTACGTATAAACATTTATTCGAAGGAATATATATGTATCATACAATTGTATATAAATAATTTTCAATGGAAAAATTTAATTGATGTTTAAAAAAATATTTTCATATATATATTATTATTATAATGATGCAATAAAAGCATTTTTTGATCGTGCATAGTGAGATTTTTTTTAAAGGCCGGGATACAGTTTAGGAACAGTTTAATCAGTGTATGTAAAGAGTGAACAATTATTTATTAAATAGTGACATCTTCATGACCCCGTGGGCAATTGAATAGGCCGCAGCGGGGCGTGAAGGGTGTGTCGAGTGTGCGGTGGTTAAAGTCGGTGGTTGGGGCTATACTCCCTCGGCATAATACTGTACAGATATATTCATTCATACCTTGAATGCATACTCCAGTTTGTACAGAGAGCTCTTGCTCTTGCACGCGTATGTGCTCAATGAGAGCAACGAGAGAAACTGGTAGTAATAATGCTGGAATTTTAGCGGACTGACTCCTGCGGCTGGTTGTGGCCTCTTGAAATATAAGCTGGAATGCACGTGGGCTAGTTATTTTCTGTTGTTATGAGCGAGTACTTGTGTTAGAAATTTAATGGAGTACCTTTTTTCACGCTTCATGGCAATTGCAGATATTTAATCAAGAGTTGGGAAAGTCTGATTCGATACGTGAATTATTTTCATTGATTTTCATTACGTTACAGTAATTGAACCGGTGAAATTTACCCGCGTAAAAAAAATAGTGGTCGGAATATTTTTTCCACATTTTCAAAAAATTTCTGGATAACTTTTCGAAAATTTTTCTTTTGAAACAAAAAAATCGGGAAACAAAATAATTGTATTTTTGGGAAATGTTTTGAAAAATTAAAAAAAAATTTGTTTCAGAAATTTTTTTTTATAATTTTCTAGAAATTTTTGCGAATATAATTTTTTCTTTTAATTATCCTGTTGTTTTCTTACTGTTTTGATTTTTCAATATTCTCAAGAAAAACGCCATCTAAATTATAAAAAAATATTTGCTATTCAAATTGTTGAAACATTTTTCAAAACCTCTCCGAAAAATCAAATTGTTTTGTCTTCCAATTTTTTTGTTTCATAAAAAAATTTCTGAATAGTTTTCCAGAATTTTTTTAAATTTCGCAAAAATATTCCGATTACAATTTTTTTTACCCGGGTAATTACAGTACAGTAATTGAAATTGTTTATGAATTATTTTCATTTATTTCATTCGTGGGGAAGAGGTGCCGAGAGATAATCTCAGGACTGATCATCGAACTGAAAAAAAATGTTCGGAAAATTTGTCGTACTTTATTTCGATTGCTGAATAATATTGAAGCACTTTGTCACGAAAATACTCGGTGTTTCATTATTTTTACGGTTAAATGACCTGGAAATGAATATACTACTCGATATTTTAATTCCATTATTTGTGGAAAATGATCAGAATGACGAAAATCCACGGAAAAATGGACAATGCGTGTCACTGGGCTGATGAATATTCATGCTACATTGAGGATTCAATCAAGTTGTTAAATTTTCATCACCCTTCCAATTAAAACTTCTGAATTTCATTGGATTTCAGATAGAACTCAGATTTTCATCACTATTTTCCCCTGAAAATCGATTGCGGGTGTCTCTCATGAAAATTACTGCAAGCATTAACTTGGAGGTTCGTTGTGGTTATTTTACCCAATCGATAAAAAATCTCGAAATTCTCCGGTAAGTGAGGTCATTACACAGAATCCGATAGTTCTAATAATTGATTCGCCTGAAGCTCCGTGTCTCGAATTACACCAATTATTCAATCAATAACTCCGCGCCGGGATTTATTTCCCTGAAACATCTCGAATGATCGAAAGCAATGATTGAATATTCATCGGATAGGATCAACTTTCAACTCATAGAATTAATTGAAACTTGCCTGACATAGGGTAAATACGACATATGCCCTGAAATTGGTCATAAATCTTTTATACACTAATTATTGTCTTGCTCATCACTGCAGGAGATGTGTAACCTGAAAGAAATTCAATGCGAATGAATAATTAATGAACAATCCATCTTGTTACCCAATATTCTATTCAACTCAGGTACATAAAAATAAAAAATGTATTATTTCCCTCTCGTGTCGCAATTAATATTTTATTTTCACTATCTTATCACAAGTCCACTGAAATTACCAAATGTTTACCGACAGGATCGAAATTAACATTTCAAATGCTAGAATTAAAAATGAATAGACAAATTAATAGAATGTGTGACACGAGAAATTTCTCGACAAGATTTGGCCCATTTTAAAAATAGCACAAGTGGTATCCGAGTACTTTCTAGCCTCGCATATTGAAGTGTCTATTTAACCTCGCGAAAGTCACTTCAGTCGACGAAATTTAACTGGAAAAAAAAATCCGGGGATTGTCCATATAAATATTTCCGCGAGTTTGGAAGTATCATTTCATAAACCAATGAAATGATCGTTCCATGAATATCCTTTTAACCTCAAGCGGTCACCGACTGCAATCATAAATAACTCCCCCGATATTTGAGAACTAAATAATTCAGAATTAATCCAACGAGACCCCAAAGAGCAAATAGAAACCTCGACAGCATTCACTTCATTTATTTATTTACCGATTTTATTCATCCTTCTATCCATTTCTCCAGCCACAATCGACGACAAAAGGATTATGGTTCCGATCGATAGTCGATCATCGGGGATTTATCCCCAGTTATTTGATGTTTCAAATGTCATGTTCTGGAGTTTCGATAGTTACCAGATAACGTCATTCGCCTAGAGTGAAATATAGCCGTCGATGTACATTGCAACTCCGTCTCCTCCAACTCATCGTTGTCCGATGGTTCGACCGGTCGATTCTCACCCCCAATCGCCCCCTAAAAACCCCCTGAAAACCCCCCAACACCCTCATCATCCTCTGGGCTCTTTCCCACTGTTCCTCTATCCATTCCTCTTTCTTCGATCCGTTCGTTCAAGTACATCGGTGCTCAAGCATGATAAAAGGAACAAAAAAGAAATGGAGGATACTTCACTGCCATCGGAAAATATTTTTAAATCAATCGATATTTCAATTAACGAGGAATTCTTACTTTTCCATTTTAAAGAAGAATATATTCCATACGGAAAACGATATATGTCCAAAATACATATCAATTGTTAACAGATTTAATAAATTCGGCAAGTAGAATATTGTTATATATTATTATAATAATATTATATATTTATGGACTTTGTCTTAAATAAATTAAATTAAATTAAATAAATAAAAATATAATTAAATTAATTATATAAATTAAATTATTATTATAATATTATTATATATTTATGGACTTTGTCTTAAATAAATTTGAATTTACCGCGGATTAAACGTCTTTTGGACTGTATTCATATTGTTTTCGATGTCTGTCTGTTTATTTTATTTGTTCACTTTTTTTTAACAACGGAGTACGTCTGGTGAAAAGTTTATGCGTTTAGATAACTATTACATTTCCAGAGACTGTTGAGCCCTTTACGATCAATCCACCGTAAATCCAATGTACGTGCGTAATACAGATCCTGTGTAATATCCACGTAGATCGTAAAAATAACATTCCTCCCGGCGTTTTTCTCCTCGGGAAAAAATGCAAGTTGGGTAACTCTATACGTATTGCAGAGTATGTGGGATGAGAAAGGAAATTCTCTTTATGAGACTGGATGAGCTGAGGACATTTACAGTTTCGCCTTTCCGTCGCACTGGGAAAGCAAGACGAATGGAATTGTGATAATTTGAGTAATGGTATCGAGGAGGGAGCGAATGAGAAAATGTTATTGGGATTTTGCTCATTACTTCGATGATATGGGAGTGGTTCCATAAATTGCGATTAGTCATTATGACAGGTTTTTCGGGTAATCATTGTGGCAATTCCATCTCCACTCGAAATACATCTCCATTTATTAACAGATCAAAAATTTATATTTTTTCCGACATGATGGAATTTAATAAATAAATTCAATGAATCAACCTCCGAAACGCAAAACTTTTCAAATTTTCTATTCAACCGGTTAAAAAACCGAGACGGGAAACTTTATGCGGTGAAAGTCTTTAGAATTTTGGCAACCGTTGCTGAATCATTGTAGTTGGAATAAAAGACGGCAATTTATTCCAAGAGATATTTCCCACCCATAAAACTTTTCACGACTCTCGCGGGAAAACAAATCTGGAGAATACATGGTACAGTAAACCGTAAAGTATTTTAAATAAATGAGGTGTGGAAATAGTCGCGGCTGATTGAGGTGATGCAGGTGTTAATGTTTCGGAGAGATTAATTCTCGTCTTAATTGTCTTAAGGTTGAAAATAGTCATATATCGTCACTTGCGCGACATTCTCGTTGTCAACGACCAACGCACAATCACCGTTTCTCGCCTGATATTGCGACCCCCCCAAGTACTAGTGCTTTTCCGAGCCATAACTGCGGTATATCGGATAACTCGAGTATTCGCAATATTCCAGAATGCACTGGAGAACATACCGTGTTTCGGCGTAAGCACCGAGAGCCAACTCCAGGTATATTTATGATCATGGGGTGACGCCATTATACCAACACCATTGTCAGGACGATTCATCACGAGACTTCATCGCTTTGTCTTCTACGCCTCAACGGTTTATGCACGTGGAGATGTCAGTGCTCTGACAAGTTTTGGCTGTCAAGAATTTTCCGGAAATTTACACAAAAAAAAAGCATTATCTGTCCCAAAAAAAAAATTGATTACTCTGGAGAAATATTGATTTTCATAAAAATATTATTTCTCCAATTATTTTCGAGTGAATGGTAATGAAGATTTTAATAATTATCAATGTTAAATAATTTCGATGATTGCCTCACATGATTTCGATAATTATCTGGAATTCTCTATAGATCCATAAAAAGGAATGAGGAAATTGATGAAATTGTTCGGACAAGTGGAACTCGTTGATAATTTTATATCCGTAAAAATGTAGATGACACGGAAAACAAATGTCTTTCACAGCTGTACAGTTTGTCCTTGACACACCCTTGAAACTGTGATAGTCACCCCTGTCTATATCAGGCCAGTCCATGAAATCGGCCCAAAGTTGTCGAGCAACCCTCCCACTGATTGGATTCCCCTCTCTCTCACAATTTATTGGATCCTGCTGGACTGAATGTCGAAATACTGAGTAGTAAATCGAGGGAATTCGTCTTTGTAAATTACAGAGACATAGGAAATAGATAAAATTTCAAAAAATAATTCACCCCTTCGATTTTTGGTTGTTTCATTACATTTATTAGTTTTCGCGGATTGAGAAGATTTATAATTTTTTTTTCCATCGTATCCTCTCATTGAAAACCCCACAATATTTTCAGGCAATTCTCTGACTTTATTCAAGTCCCATTTCCGGTCGAAATTCACTTGGACTTGAGTAAAAATAATTAAAACTTGTCGTCGCATTTAATTACCAGCCGAAAATTCCGCGTGATAATAAATTTATTGAGATTATTGCTGTTATTTTTTAATAGAAATGTCGGAACAAATTTTTCAAACCGCCATTTAAGTACGTCATAATATTTTGTATTCAGTCAGCATGAAAAAATCAATTGAATTTTAATTTGAAAACTGCATTTTACAAACCGGCATAATGCAAAAAATGGAGAATTTCAATTTTAATCATTACAATGCTGATGTATTAATGAATTTTTATTAATGATTTCTTACGAAAATCATCCAGTAATGACGCGGGCAGGCCAAGAAATTAACTCTTTCCGCGGGTGAAGTGTTTGATCCGAAAATTGGCGACCACTGACGGAGTGTCTGGTATGAATCCCCGGAACAAAATATCATTGCTCGATATTATTGTTACTATCACGTTGTGGATTCTTTGTCAACATGTATAACCATTGGAATATATGAATTACGTACGCGAACAGGAAGAGGACTCGACCTCATTTCCCTCTCTACATACTCCACGTGCATACACGCCTCGGTGTAACATTTGCATGGATTGTTTTAAACCGTTGAGCACATAAATCACCACAAGCCTAAACCGTCCAATGCAATTTACATTTACCCACCCCCACCTGGCTGTCTTTCCTGTGATAACCATTCGAAATCCCGTCATTTTGTTTTTCATATCGTTATGAAATTACGACTAGAATTTCATTACGATATTCGAGAGAGTTGCGATCGCCCGCGTCATGAAGTTCTAATTGGATTTTTATTTCACTTTCTCGATTGAATGAACTGGCAACTCATTACTCGTCTTCATTATTAATATATTTTTGCCACTTTATTTTCGTACACCGTCACAAAAAATAATTATTGCTCTAAAGAACAGTCTTTATAAAAAAAAGTAATTTGATCATTATTTACATCAGTCACATCGCAATTATCATTTTAATTTTTCCACTGAAATTTCGGAACTTCTCGTCCTACTACCCCCAGTGAATTAATAGAATTGAAATATCTTGAAGAATTATTTTCAGGGGGTGAAATTGAAATTATTTTGTTTTTATGTCTTCAATGGGTACTTCTTTACTCCAGTTCCGAAAAGTTTGCCCGTTTCGATAATAACACAGTGTTTCCACGGCGACTGCTCCAACTGAAATCTATCCCAAGTAAAAAAAAAAGGTGAGAACTGTTGTATGACGTGAATGTGGAGTTGTGCTTCCGGGTTTTATCCTGTGAAAATATATAAACAACTCGCATTTTCCAGGACACGTCGGGCTCGGGAGTAAACTCGTATGGAGTGAGCAATGGTTATGGTAGAAGTTTTACCGGGTATAATGTACATTACAAGACTCAGTGCTATACATACAGCTGGGAATTGTACACGCATGCTTTTGGAAACTGTTACTATTTGTCAGTGGGAGAATTTCTTTTCGTGCTTAACCAACATTTGCTGAGTTACTGTTATAACTGTTCTGCACGCTTGTCAATTTTCTACAATTATAACGCAGGCGGGGAAAACTCAAATCTCAGAAAATATCACAGAACAGTACGAAATGATCTCATATTGGTTTATTCACTCATACAAACTCGACATTTACACACATGATAGCACATACTCCGGATTACATTCCATTCAACTTGATAATTTTATAATATTATATAATATTATAATGATATTATAATAATATAATAATAATAATATCATGTAATATAATTTAATTTATTGTTCCACTTGAATAATTGAATGAGTAATTAGTTGAAACTTGCATGAAAAATGGACTAGGATTTCGGGGGAATTTTTTGAATTGAGGGAAAAATTTTGAATGGTAGAAGTAGTAATGGTCCCGTTACATTCGCCCAACAAAAGGGGTAAAGTCAATCTTCAGGGATTTGTGGTTATGGCTTTTCCGTGGCTCTCGCCATTAAGCGCCGTGGTAAACGAACCGGACGTTAGCGCACCTGTTCCACAACTATTTGTGCGAATCCCCGGTGGACAACTGGGGGACAAGCCTCCGGTCGTAAAACAAAAATTCCCGGATAGACTAACGGGAATTTTTGCAGTTGGAAATCGTGTTGCTGATTTAGTTTAATTTACTTTAATCAACTTTAATCAACTTTAATCAATTATTCAATCGAATACGAGTTAGAGTTATGCAATGAAATAATCGATTGCAAAATTCCCGCAAAATAAATTTCGATGAAGTATACTCTGTATACTCTGAAGTATACTCTGGTATATTCTAGATGGAGGATAGAAATAATGATGATTACTGTGGGAAGAACTGAGATGGAGAACCGTAAAACCCACCCTTAATTTAGCTTTGGCGCACCCTACTCTAAATTTCACCATCAAGTGAGTGTTGTTGCTTCTTCAGCGTGGTTGTACCCCATTAAACTGTCGTTAAATATTAGCGGGTTTGTTCCACCCGCATGTACCATTCCGATGTGAATTATATGTTGAGTTTAACGGGCTCTGGAAATGACACGTGTCGAGCCGAAAAAAACCGCGAGAGACTTTCCATTATTCCTGAAAACCATTCAACATCACGGGAATACTAATTATCATGCTCCGACTGAAATTTATCATCCATTTGGATTGAATAATTACTCTTTTCAACCTCATAAGATTTTTGATGATCGCAATAGGTACGAGTTACATTGCCCGCAATTTATTTGATATTTATTCACCCACATATCAAAATTCCGAATATTTCTGGAATGGATTTAAATTCGGAAATATTTCCCTTTAAATTTTCATTTCGAGATCTATTTTCTCTTTATTCAACATTTTGGCAGATGATTTTGATTTTGCGAGGGCGAAATAATCATGGGATTTTGAAAGCCATGATTGATGATCGGTGATTTTCATTAAAAAAAAAACATGTACTATACATATTGAAATATAGATATGTATTTGTTAAATTTAAATTTTCAGAATTATATAATATAAAATAAATGTCAAAAAAATTATATAATATGTGAAAACATGCAATAATTAATTGCAAAGCCTATTCCGCAGTTGTGCGATTTATTCACAACCCACGTAATTCACGGTGGAAAAAGGATGAGAGAAAATGTCCCAAAAGGAGTGTAAAGTCATTAATCAGCGCCATTGATTCATTCCGAAGGGTAACGAAAAAGGCTCAGAATATCAATGCCCCAATTTTTCACCCCTCAATTCCAATTTCAAGTTAATCGAAAATTTACCTGGTCAATTTAACCTCCTAAATCAGGCTAGATATGTGTTGAGGTTGTGTTGCTTGCCAATACGCTTTACCCCATGGTGCCACGTTAATTATTACCCTTTGTTAATTGCCAAACATTCCACCTCTCGTGTTTCCCACTCTTGTCACGACATCGTCTCACCCTCCAGTTTTGCCTCTTTGTATCGCTTTTCGAGAGGATGGGCCTACTAAACAAAACTCTTGGACGCTAACTACCCTACATAGACGACGAGTAATTGGTGTTGTCTCAGTTAATTGCTTCAGAATTGACTTACACTGGGCCATCTAATACGTTCAATTTTGTAAATTATCTGCATTACGCGCTCAAAGTTATCTGAGCGAATCGACCAATTGTAGACCGCCTGAGAGAATTGGCCACTCCGAGAGAAATATTCCGTCAAAATTACGGAAGCATTCCGTAAAAAAAAAAAATAATAATAAATTTCTCTCGTGTTGGTATTTACAAATTTTCTTCGGTGTAATGGCCGGGTCCTTCTCTTCATCGCAAAACGAATGGCCGTAGAAACTCTGTGCATGTGTCATCATCGTAATATCACATCTCTATCATTTGCTCCCCCTCCAAGATCATCTCATAAATCACTCATGCAATGCTTTATCCCCGAGAGGATTGCATCCTTTTTTGTATCAAAACCATCTTACCAGTGGAAGGGGAGACCTCGTTGTTAGTGTATTCACCACTGTGCCCTGAAAACATCCCACCTTCCTCGTTTTCCTCTGCGGTGTATGTCTGCCATGTATGCGGCAGAATTCCTGTTATGGAGGCCTTGGGCTTTTCAAGGATATGAAGCGCTGGGTGTACGTTACCGGTGCTTTATGTCCCTGGAAAACAGATGGGACGTGAGCGGATATTAAAGCGAACACCACGCGTTTCAAATATTTAACTTGGCTAATGCATTACCGCCTCACAGGTTCCGGTTCTTAAGTTTCTTCCAAATTCCAATCCACTATCTATTTTTTATCAGAATATTGTGGATTCGACGTACCCTAATTCTCTCGGATGTGGAATTTCCTCATCGGCATTACATTTCAACTTAATGAACACCGGACACAGGGAATTTATCTCCTGGTAATTTTTAAAGGATTTCCTCTCGCCGAGAAGTTCTGAAAAAAAAAAGATCAGATACTTAGTATGACCGTGGAAATTTTAGCAGAGGTACGGTGAAAAGTGGTGGAATGGTTTGTCCGACGGTGAGCGATCGACGTCTCCTCCAGGATAAGGGAATGCACGGTTGGTTCATGATCCTTGGAGTTATGCACCCGTGGGTCAATGGTGGTTGGAAGATTAATTGAAGCACCGATGCTACATACTATTTAAAGCACCCCGAGGTTTCTCCAGGATCGTAATGAAATCTTGGTAGACTAATGGCGGAAAAAAACAAGAGTTCCGACGTTGACGGACGAGATTGTTCAACTCCATTTGACCGTGACTACAAACTTTTTGAATTTCCTGCATTTTCCTCATGTTCCTGCGGGAAAAATGACCCACCGCAATGACAGTGCATCAACAACAATCAGATAAACGTGAATTAGAGTTCAATTAAATGAATTTCAATCGCAATATCAATAAATTAAATATAATTAAATATAATTAAATAAATATAATTAAAATATAATTAAATAGTAAATAAAGAGTGAAAACAACTTCTTGATGTTTCAAAATAAAATGAATCGCCAAGCAGATGAACTGACCACACAAACAGAGAAATAAAAATATTTCCATGAACTGTCCTTAAGATCTAAGAAAAGGGTTCCTCTGATTTAATATTACTGATATTAGACGAATGATGGCGGACTAGAGAAGGAGATGTATTATTGTGGTTTAAAGCACCTCGCAAAACTACTCATCAAAAGTTGAAACGAATCCCCACATTAATCCCAACTTCGCCAAGGCTTCTCCCATGGAAATGACTCTTCATGGTATTTTGGTCTAATTAAAAGACCGGAGTATACAATTCCCCTCAACCGTGAAAATACTCGCAGTGCTCGCGAGATTTTACATTTAGCCGCGTCTGACATCGCTCCCCCCTACCTCCCCCGCTGTTTTACTTCCTTCAACTCGACGTAAAGGACTTTAACTCTCTTGACGAACGAAATGAGATATCCCCTCGACTCTAATCCTCAATTATTCCCCAAACTTAATTCCCCACTCCGAACTGTCTCCGTTGCACCAGTGAAAATCACGTGCATCCACGACATCCAAACACTAACTGAAAATTACTATCCCATCGGTAATGTCAATGAGCAGGCCCACAAATAACTTTACGATCAAATAAATAACATTCGTACCAATTTCCAAGGATTTCGGTAATCAAATCGTTGAGTAAACAGATACTGTCATTGCGTAATGGGGTCGGGTACCAAATGCTCCAAGTAGGTCAGCCAGTACGTAGCCCATAAATTTTGGGCTAGCCGCGATTTTCCTGTTGCCTCGGGAAGGAGAACGAAGGGGGTCAGTGCAAATGGTGTCCTCCAATACGGAGTCAACACAGAATCCACCAGTGCCATGAATATTTAGCAAGATTAAGCTCAGTATCTGCGGTACTTGGGGAGAGCCGTGCATTCCACTGGTTAAATTCATACGCGAAATTGCTGGGGATCGTCTTGGGTAGTTAGACCCGGGGTTCATCAAGGAAAGCTTCTGATTTCCGGTTGGGGATAGAATTATGATTAACGGATATTGATGTTCAGTGTCAGCAGATTTCGAGATGTAACCGGAGATTCATCTGTATCAAGGGAGGATTTCACGATATTCCACGCAGTTATTTCAAAACCAGTCGTTTTTCGTGTCAAGAATTAATTCATTTGATCTGCAATAGGCATGACATAAATTTCATTAGCCTCTGGTCATCTCCTCCCTCACCCTCGCGTTCCTTGAGAATAACCTCATATTTCTTGAGATGATAGCGATAGTGTTCTCCAATTTTTTCTACTCGCGCTAGTTTTCGTGTGGAACTCTATAAATGTTCGTGTTGCAATGGGCACGTATATCGATCTATATTCGAGTCCCGGGGGGAGAATTCAAAGAAATGATTGCGAAGGGTCATCACCACGAGGCGTTTCATAGATCATAGATCAAATGGCGATGTGATTCTGGTCGATGGCCGTGAGCCATTTGGAGAGGATTCGACCGAATCCCCAACCCTGATTCCTTCGAGGCATAAGCGTTGGACAACCGAAAAAACCGATATCCTCGAATCTCGGAAAACGAGGAAAATCTACTCAACTCTGGGGCGACATGATAACGATAGCCTGACGCTTCATTAAAATCCCATCGGACGTTTTCCGTCAAATGTCCAGTGAATATTGCAATCTGTTGCACTCTGTGAACTCCACTGCGAGCCGTATGAATTATTCATGGTTTTTTGTAATACTCCGGATTAAATGCTCGTTTGTGCAAAACGTTGTGACGCATTTCGATATTTTATTATTGCAGTGTAAAAAAATATCGATCGCGCCCGGTCGTTCAATACATCAATATTTCCATTTTTATAAATAGATGAGAGGATTTTAGAGATATTTTTTGGGATTGAAATGATTGACTCGCCTGACACTTTTCCAAAAATTTTGAATTTTTCAATTTCAGTGAATACCTCCTCCATTATCATGTTCCTCTGATACATTTTTGAAAATTTTGAATTTTTCAATCCCAGTGAATACCTCATTGATTTTCATGCTCCTTTGAAATTTTTTCAAAAATTTTGAATTTTCAAATTTTAGTGAATACCTCCTCCATTTCCATGCTCCTTTGAAATTTTTCCAAAAATTTTGAATTTTTCAATTGCAGTCAATACCTACTCCATTCTCATGCTCTCCTGATAATTTTCCAAAAATTTCGAATTTTTCAATCCCAGTGAATACCTCCTCCATTTTCATGCTCGCCTGATACTTTTTCGAAAATTTCGAATTTTTCAATTTCAGTACATACCTCCTTCATTTTTATGCTCCTCTGATGCTTTCTTGAAAATTTTTCATTTTTCAATTTCAGTGAATACCAATTTTGTAACGCATAAAATAAAATTCAACCGGTTGATTGGTCCCTCTGACAGCGGGACTGCTACTGAGGCAGTTACCGAGTCGGCTGACGGGCAGACCCCACCATTGGGTGCGGCCCCCTCTTCCTCTTGGGGTGAGGTATTCCCCCACAACTGAGCCGCTTAGTGGGGGTTTGAGGGACCCAACCGGCATTGTAGTAACTCACCCCAAGAGAAAGAGGGGGCCGCACCCAATGGTGGGGTGTCTACCCGTCAGCCGACTCGGTAACTGCCTCAGTAGCAGTCCCGCTGTCAGAGGGATCAATCGATTGAGTGAGTTTTATTTCCTGAAAATTTTCAATTTTTCAATTCCAGTGAATACCTCCTCGATTTTCATGCTCTCCTGATACTTTTTGAAAATTTGGAATTTTTTAAAGTCTGTGAATACCTCCTCCATTTTCATGCTCCCCGAATATTTTTTCGAAAATTTTGAATTTTTAAATTTCAGTGATTACCTCCTCAATTGTTATGCTCCCCTGATACTTTTTTAAAAATTTTGAATTTTTCAATTTCAGTGAATACCTCCTCGATTTTCATACTCCCCTGATATTTTTTCGAAAATTTTTAATTTTTTAAATTTCAGTGAGT